AGCAGAATAAAAGACGACAACACTCCTCAAACATTGTTGAAGCGGTCTCCAAGGAGAAGGTTCGGTGGTCTGTAAGAGCTGGCGACATCTACTTCGGGTAGCTGTCATGATGCAATGCGGGACGGCCGAGTTAATTGACACTTTCTCCGCTAGCTACACTGCCCACACTGTCATTGGACCCGTAGTTTTTCGTTTATAATGTATTGGGTCAATAAAAGCGACACTAGAACATGCGGGATTATTCGCAGACACATTCCACAAAAGCTGTAATATGAGTTCTCGAAAAGATATAAGCTTCTTTCCCTGCGGTAACTCTTCATTGCAACATCGTTGGATACTGTACATCATTGGATACTCTCCACATGGTAAAAGACATAGGACAATCAAGAATATAGAATCCTTCAACCTTCTCTTGCTATGCCTGGCAGCCCTGCCAGGTTGAGTCTGCAAGGGTGATCCCAGTCATCGAGGATTCTAGTCAATCGACCCCGAGATGATTCCAGTGCCTGGTCAAAGAAGCGCAGCCGAGACAGCTGCTTGTCGTGGCGAAGCTGAAGTCCGTCCCTCTCTTTAGTCAGGTGACTGCTAGCCTCCTTCAAGATCCCATTGCTCTGCTCTAGCTTCTGGCCATCGATGTGTTTGGACACGCACGACTCCCATAGGCGTCGATAGAGTCCGACAATTCGACCTGCTGGAAAGGCAAACTTGGGATCGTCGCGTTCGAGGTCTGCTAGCACATTCAAAATAGGTTGAAAGGGCTCGGTCGCCAAGATATGTCTTGTTTCTGCTTCCTCTTGCGAGGGAGAGAGCTGCGACGGTCAGCAAGAGCATTGGAAGCTGAGCCGCTTTACTTACCAGTGGAGGGACATGATCAGAAGCCTCCTGCGAATTCTCTGTTTCAGAAACGATTGGCAATGCAGTGGGCTGTTGTTCTCCTTCTTTTTCCTGGTCTGGCGTACTGTTAGGGGCATTCATCTTGATCGCAGGGGAAAGTCGAGTATCTGGGCAATAGTATGTCCACTAATTCTTGGAGGTTTGTATAGACTAGAAGACATCGGTGGCTAGTTACTCAGTCTCATTTCACCATGAAAGTTAATCAGCGTAGTCAGCTTTTCAATCGCTTTCAATCTCAGCACTCTGTTAGCAGTCCGTTCAATGATGGTGCTGGTGATCAGTCTCGTGGTGTTGATGGTTGGTGAATGTGCCTCATATTAGTGGCTTCCGATGATGAACGGTCCAAAAGATATATATTCAATCACAACGCATTTTCCACAATCGTTTGAGAGCTCAGAAACCCCAAACGTAAATAGAGTAAAATCTAGAGGACAGAAAAAGAAAATCGAAAAAATATATCTATCTTAACCAAGATCACAGGTTCAAAACCCCGTCAACAAGGACGGCCAAGCTTCAACGGGTTGACGGGTCGAGTACGTACCCGCGCCCGCGCACGACCGTGGCCTGACGCTTTCCGCAGCCTAGGCGAACAGAACCACACACAGCTCAGACAATCAACACTCGAGCGAGGCCAGAAAATTTCCATCTTCCTTAGATGAAAATGTGAGCGCTCTTGTAAGATCAAAGAATGAACAGCTTCCGTTGCCTCAATATTAAGACCGTAGATTCAACAGTGACCCAACGTTTAACCGACTGACTCACTTTGACTCATTTTCAACATGACTTTAGCATGTTTTCCCGATGAGCATCTAAGATCGCACCATGAGTTTCGCTGCTAATAGTTGCGGTAGAATGAAGGCATGGGTTGCAACAGGCCTCACTTAGAATAGACATCGTGTTCAACGTTTGCTCTCTAGTAGAGCCCGCGTGCTACAGGAGCCGAGAACCTATAAATACGTCCTCTTCGCCCAGCAATTTGTTCTCCATTACCATCACTTGGCTATGCAGAGTCGAGCAGGTCTTCGATTCCTGATAAGTTCTTCCCTTTGACCTACTGGAATTTCACTGTATTGACATCTATAGTTACATCGTGGACCGACAAGCTAGAAAGTGCTTGTGAAACGCGACGACCACCAGGTCCACTATGCCACCCATGGCAGCCGATCAAAGAAGCAGATTTATGTTAGATGGTCGATGTATTTATGCGAACATCTATCCACCATAGCAGCCGACCACGGTCCTGCCCCTGAATATCGGTGCGAAAGATCGATTTCCATACAGGTATGTAGATTTCAGCGCGACCCTATCCGAAACTGGACTGACTTCAAAGACGATGCGAAAGAAAGATCCATGAGTTCCGTCCAATGCGCGCCAAGCCACGGAACCCTTCCGGTGTCTTCTTTCAGAACAGGTAAGTCACTCATTGTCTCGCCGACCAAAAAGCTAATGATGGACAGGAAACCGTTGACAGCGCACCAGAGTGAGCCCGAACCAGCACCCCGTCAGTGTTCCACGCAGAGTCATGGCTTACACACCATTTCTGGCCCTGTCACTTCAAACCATGCAGCATGTCCTGAAATTCTGCAAACCAGGGCCGCGGGTCAACAAAAGGACGCATAAGCCCCAGACGTTCGTTGTTCACGATGAGGTGAGTGGAATATCGCGCCTCCTGCTGCGCCGGTTTTGATGTTCTACCAAGTCTGTGCCCTAGACACGAACACCACTGATATCTTCATACTGGTGTAGGAGCAGCCCATCGCCAACTGTGAAAACTGTTGACGCGAGTAACCTATTCCCGCCGAGTCAGATAAGATCAAGGAGCCGACGCGCTCCATCGCGTCCCCTCCTCACCGCCTTCACACCCTCAACAACGGAGTGCCGCTACACGAAGCAAGTCTCCCAATTGGACTGTACAACTTCTTGTCACAGGTGGGTTCGTCGCGCGCCTTTGCCGTCTTGTGAACTTGCCCGGTGCATGCAGCGCGGCTTCTCGAAGCGACAGTCGGAGAGTGCGACGAACCTGGATACAACATGGCGTGTTGGTGACTGCATTGCCGAAGAGAATTGGCAGTGATCTAGTTGGTGAGCTGGTATTACGACGATCTTAATTGACCATCTCTCCCAACCGTACACTCGGGGGATTTTTCATGAACAACGTAGAGCACAACACCTCGTCGGACTTGATCAATCTTTGCTGACTCGGATCCCACAACAGGAGATTCCCTCATGTTTCCATCACTCGAGTCGCATGCGGAGCGAGCAAATGTCTTGTCTGCCCGAGCTCCCCTATACCAATGCGATCGCATGCTGTCTATAGCTTTCACATGACTACTGGTGGCATCGATGAGTCGCTCCGTAGACCCTTTCTCCCAGTCGATATGGTGCATCAGATCATGCGTTGATATGCATACCTGATGCAAGACCCAAACTTCAATGAGCGCATACCACTGTCTGTTTCTCAGCATTCGAACACCCCAAAGGACAGCCTTCTTGTGGCTTGGGATCCGGGTGTTTAATGGGTTGACCATCGTTGTCCTCGGATAGTGTCTAGCGTATTTTGAGCCTGGAACTCTGAAAGATGCCGAGAAGTTCTGGTTTCTATGTCTGCTACATGGCGGACAAGCCGTACCTTCGCAGACGGCCAGGTTTTTAGTCCAAGTCTGCGTGCAAGGAGAAGGTGACGTGAAAGTCCCGTCATTTCTAGCCGGATATGTTAACATGACCATCCCAGCTTCGGATGGAGTGCACAAGACCGAGGACAGCCAAACCAAAGAGAGGGCCCATGACCCAAGAACCACCGTCTGATGTAGTCCCGCCTGATCCCTCTCCGCGTTGCTCAGCTTGTCGACATATACGAGCGAGCGGGAACGAACGATTCGGACATAAAATGGAGCTGCATGCTATCAAAAGTGTTTGTCTCATCCCTGACATCATTTGTTTGTGCGTTTTGTTACTCTAGGTGGATGTTTAAAGTATAATTTCATGGGTCATGTAGTAAACCATAGCACTTTCCATAGTAACGTTAATAGACCGAAGAATGACGGAATTACGGCCGATACTGTTTCTCAACCATTTTGTACGGCAAGTCGGCGTACAGTATGCTCTTTCAAATCTTCTATGATATGTTTCTCCTTGGCTAGCGGCCACCTTTGGTATTTTACGGTAAGGGCATTGCCAACACATGAGCTTTAGGAAAAGCCAGCTTTTCGCAAGTTTTATGAGCTTATCACTTTGCAATAAATAACTTTCACTAACCAAATAGATGTCTACATATAAGGTATGTGGAAGGCCAGCTCCATACTACCTGGTTTCGGTCGTTGTCCAATTGGTAGATTCATCTCGAAGAACAACGTCCGTCAGTGGCGAAGACGGTCGTGACCCCACAGAACTCACAATAAAAACAACTATCATGCACATGCTACAAGAATTGTTGTTCTAAACGACCGCCACCACCTTCAAGTGGTCAAGCCTGGGCGATCTCAATCAGGTGGGTTTGACTCCTGTGTTCTCGACCACAGTGAGAGCAATTAACGGGTCAACATAGTCTAGTTCCTCACATTTAAGATTCTCACTTGAGATCACTTCAGCCTCCGTTCTTCGATAGAGAACCAATCGGGATATTGCTAGGAAACGATTTCCATGGCTCGCGCAAATCTGCGAATGGTCTTCACCATCAGAGGCTAGAGTAGGGGTCGGTAAACAGTGAAAAGTTCTCTACTGAGGGCTGAGTTTTGCGTTTTTGCCACTGAAATCTGTACTTCGGTCGAATAGCATGTCCAACTTTGCTTAACCTCGAACTGATACGACCTGGAGTGCAAGTGACTCGCACGCTGCAGTATCGAAAACTAAGCGAGCCTGTGGCCGTTCTGTAAGAGCACTCAGTAAGAGAGAACTAGAGAGCTAGGCTGGATTTGAACCAACTCCGAAGACAATATATCCCCATAATGGTTTTATCGGGCCGGTATCGTAGGTTCCCAATTTCTGAGCCCCAACTGGTCTATTTGATAGCTAAGTTTAGGAACTTCAGAGCATGTCTCGCATTATTCAAGCAGCAGGGTCATCAATTTTGCCTCGTCAATTTCAGAACTAGTGAGATGTAAACCTCATTATCCTTCGGGAGTTTCACCACCCTTTCGGATCAATTCTTCATATGCCTTCGTCTTTTCCTTGTTGATTCCAACGGGGTTATTCTGGGTACTAGAGTAAACCCATATTTTTTAACCATACTACATCATCGTAGCCTTTTCCCTTGATTTCACCACTCACGCTCTAAGCCCAGCAGTAACTCTGGTCAAGTCTTTGTTTTGATCACCTCCAGCGTTGTATAGCTCTTTGTGGGGATGGTCACCAACAGCATCTTGATCTTGATCAAGAACAGCTTGAATACGTCCCTTCCCCTCATCTGAGACGTTCGAGTTGTTCAACGATCTGTCATTGGAAACTCTGATCTTAGCGTTTCCCATACAACCAGCCTTACGCTAGGTAGCCCACTCACGTCTTGTGACCGCTCATAGGATCAAAGATGCCCTTGGAGTTTAGGATGGTGATATACTGATGTCGAATATTGTTCGGCAGTTGACTCCGACGATAGTCAGTTATAATATTGAACGATGTGCAAATATGGAAATTGTAGTTACCGGAACGAATTATGATCATATATTGTGACATGGGCGTCATTTCGTCATACTACCGTCATTTGTGTAGCGTAAACCGCCACATGGACGGAGTCAATTGATTTATTCTTCAAGCTCCCACGACCTTGAAGTCATATGCAACCAGCCTCTAGGCATGCCGGCTATTGGGGTGGTCGTATGTAGATCGCCCCTCTCTGCTTGATGTAATTTGTTTAATGGTCAGACACTGGGTGTATTAGATTGAACAGTCGTTAGCCATTAGTTGCTAACAATGACTCACATCCTATTGGTGGCGAAAAATCGTAGAAATGGGCATGTCTAGGCTCGGGAAAGCGCATATGCAATAATTTTGGTTACCAGGATGTAAAAGATGTCGTCAGCATGGTTAGCCGACCTACAGGTATTTAACCACAATACTTGGCACAGATAATCCAAGGTGTTATGGATCCTTAAGTATACAATCCACTTTCTTCCCATCTGACAATGCAGAACTTTCGCCATGTGAGACTTACCCCGGGCGCACAAACAGGCCCCTTGTTCAGTCTCTATCACCATCTACGTGACTTGTTTCTTTCTGGGAAGCAGACCAAGTTATTCCAAACCAGGTCCGAAGGTCTAGCGACACAGACAAAAGGCCCTACAAATAATGGAACAGGAGCACCAAATGCCGATCTAAGCAGGGACGGTTCAAAGACCCATGAAGGTAAGATATATCTCGCTCTTCTTGTCTGGAATATGCGCAGTCGCATTGGGAGTCCACATTACTGACGAGGATCTGCAATCAAATATATAGAATCGCTCAAGTCCTCTCCTGCTGCAGCTGGGATAACAAAAGACCATGAGAAATACTATAGTCTCAAAGCGCACCGTCAAGGACCAAATACCGAAAGTGGAGAACTTAACCCCGATATTGAATCGAAACAAGTGAAAGATCATAACAAGGCCACGGCTAACCGTTACGAAAAGCGTTGACTACCTCAAATTACCTACAACACTTCATTTTACGTCTGTTACAGATTGTTAAAATGTAACTGTATTTTGTTTACCTTTTGGCCACTCACAACAGGCGATATGCAGATTGTCACAACTAAGCATATCTGTTTTTGGTGCTAGCTTAATGGGGGGCCAAGGGTTGATATCATTCTGATGTGATTCGCGTCGCCTATCAGTGGATCTAATGAAACAGCCGGGCCATTCTCATTTGTCGGATAATTTTACCGTGATTCGGCTGTCTTGTACCCCCACACTTATACTCGCCAGACTCTTTGTTTGCACTTGTGTAAGAAGACTTCACGATGGGATATCTCCATTGAAGGCACACACCTAATAACATCAAAATACGGCCGGCGAGGAATTCCTTTATGGGAAATGATGCCTCCATGGGGATCGCTACCTATCGAACAATATTTGATTGTATGATACATACACACTTTCTCCATTTACACTGACCCTTTGTTAATACCCTCAATAGAAAAACTGGAATCACTCCTCAACCGACGCAACCAGCCAGCAGCGGCGGCGGTTAATCTCTAAATTTCTTGAAACATGATGAGATCACCGCAGAACTTCTTCTTGATGAGCTCCCTCCACGAATGCCCACGCCAGAGGAGATTAGTCTTATTCTTCACACCCCGGCGGTCCGATGACATCATTCGCCGGAAGGCATACTATTTGTCTAAGGATAGCGTGCTTGTTTTTCTTCGGACCCATTATGACCCGGAAGATGATGGCAAAATGAACGAATGGGTCTATGAAACCGATCTGTTCGAGGACAACTCCTGGTGGGCATGTCTCAACAATCCACACTTGTTCAATTTCGGCTCAAATTGGCAGCGGGTATACGAAATCATGCCCGAGGTAGCTGGTTTCGTTGATCGTACTCAACGATTCACTCACCCAAGAGAACTAAACTGTTTTCGAGCATCGTTGAAAAAGGGTCCACGTACGAAGGAACAAAAGGGCGCCGATGAGTGTATAAAGAAGCGGCTTAAGATACCTGAGGAGTCAGAGAACCGTCTACATGATATCAAGATAGCGGCATATATTGTCATTGCTTATCAAGAGGCTTTTCGGTCTGGGCTGTTACGTCTGCTCTGTTTGGATGATCGACAAAACATTATTCGGGAGGTACGCGTGGATCAGAAGCCAGCTGAGATCACGAAACTTATCTTGCAGAGGGACCCTATCCTCGGACTGTGAGGTTAAATGGAAGGGAGTGGGGGTCGATGGGAGTGGCCGTTTGCGCCGACGATCTGAAGTATTGTTCATTACGATGTCGTCCTTAGGCAAATGATATCCATCAGCACGTATGTTGGGCAGCTCTGCGGGCAGACTCTTCCGTATGTCCAAGGTATATGGTAAGCAGTTGTGTAAACTAAGAACTCATACAGCGCCAACGTTCTCCACAAGTTGATTGAATTCAACAAGTAACTACACCATATTTTACTTCGTCAATTCCAATTTTCAACCTCAATTAGTAGCCAAAGCGGCCTACACGGACATAATTACCGCAATACCTACTGAGATGTTAAGCATAGTCAATATGAACATGAATGAAAGTTCCGCTATCTCCTTGGATGCTAATGTTAAGGAAGAAATGATGTTGTCTGTATGAATGGGAAGGAGACGGCAAGACATCCCGGCATTACGCTTGATCAACTAAAGTAGGTAGTAAGCAAACTTGGGACTAGGGTCTCTTCGAGATTAGCCTTTTCTAAAGCAACTTTGTAATTGACCTATCCGAGACACCTTGATTCATCGAAGAGCATTTGCACAATACCTTAATGTTTCTTGAACTCCTCGCTTACCCTGACTTGAGCGAGCAAAACTCATAGTCGTGCCGCTAAGTTTCAGTATTTGCTGGCAAGATGATTTAGGCAATGCAAAGGCTTGGACTGTTGCATGCCCACCAGGGAGTACTCTTCACATATGAGGCTGGTCGCACTGGGCCCTTACGACTCTTTCACGCTTTATCGTAAGGTCCGCTTGAAGCTGTCAACAAATCGAAGAAGTGGAAGCCTTCGCAATGCTTGTCGCAAACCTCCCTTGTTTTTCGTAACCGCCACTTTCGCCAACGAAAAAATGCCGAAGTTCCAGATGCCACTTTTTGCTAATTGCTTGATGGGTGTTTCTTTGACTTATTGCTGTCATCAAGTTGATATCACCATGTTTGTCCATTTTCCACGGACAACAGAACCATTGGCAATCTCCTCGGGAGTGCAAGGTCAATGATACCACAGATCAATCTTGCTCTGATCCAAAGGACTGAGATGCATTATGTCAATACGAGCAGCGCGCAGAACTACATCATCAGGTATCAAACCAGTAAAATCCTGTCTGAAAACGTTTTCCAAGGTAGCGACGAAATGGTCAGATGTCCAGAAACCTTCTCGCCGCGGGGAGCTACACACCAGGCGCAGTGTCTCCCGACGCGTGTGCCAGTCACAGCATTTAGTGGCACATAAATAGAGGATTTGCAGAATCATAGGTTGGGTAGAGAATATTGACATTTATTCCGCCAGGCTCAAGTAAAGCGCCGCCGACTTGTTTATCCGCTAGAATCGGAGTAAAGAGGATTCATGAGACATTTCATCTAGGGGACTCTTATGAGAAGCAAGTATGATATCACTGAGCTCAGTCCATAGCTCGATCAGCATCATCGGGCCGCAGGCTTGTGGTCATAACATGTCTCATTGTGCCGAAATGAAAGCGTGAAATTCGCTCTTCCAGTTCATCATCCTCTCCACAAGTGTCTTTTCTGCACTACCCTGGTAGAGTAGACCGGCAAGGGCAGCGTTTAAGCTCTGCAGACTAAATTCCACAGGGAGTTCGATTTTGAAGAGTCGGCCTCCTGCAAAAATTGCCAATGCATAGAACTCATAGCAATAGCTACATGCCGCACAGCAGGTTCCTCCTCGGCAACCTGGTGGACGAGTCGCTGCCAGAAGTCATCGATCATGTTCCCGGTACACTTTCTAGAGGTATGCCCCCAGAATAAATCGAGGTACCGCCGTTCGATGGGTGATAGACCCACTTCGCTGGGATCTACTAGCTGTCGTGGAAGTAACTGTCGTGCAATGAGATTGGGGGCCGAGGTGACCCATATTTCTCGCACGGCGCGTGTGCGCCGGTCGGGAGACTCTATGTATTTGCATACTTGCCTTGTGTTGGTGCACATCAGACAAGAGGAGTGACTTTCATCGCACGTTTTATGGCGAATTCTGGAGAATGATATATTAGTTGCCGTTGGAGGGGCGAATCTTACTGGTAGCTGTGTATAAGCTTACTTGCACGTTTGATAGCCCGAGCGAACCTTCTGATGACTTGTGGCTCATCTGGCTTTGCTGGTCAGCCGTGGATAGGGCTTGGGGTTCACTCTTAGCTAAACCCTAGTTATGTAACGCTATTCGGCATGCGAGCTGGCCACCCACCCAAAAAGCGTCATGTAATATATCTAAATCAAATAATAAAAACAATAAAGCAAATATAAAAAAAGAAATACTAAATTGTGTTCTAATTAGATATTTTTTGCGTAAAAAAGCAATATAAAAAAAATTACAAACAAAAAAAGTTTTTACAAAATCTTTTATTACAATTAGATGCTCCGGCTCCTGGCCCCACCACACCTACAACCTAAGATGTTGAGCATCTTCAGACCCCCCTTCTGCCAGCGAATCCTTTAATCCCCTAGCGATACGGTAGCAAATCTCGCTGCTATCTAAATTATCAATAACATGGCGCGTTCGCCAATCAAGTCAGCAAGGGCCGGGATAAAAACTTCTAGGAATGGTGGCATTTTCTGCTCTATCCCATCTCGCCAACACCGCCTTGTGGCCATTGTTGCTAAACCGCAAGACAATTGTTCACCACGATCTTCATATTATTTGCATTCTGTCTCCTCAATGTTTTGTATTTAGCTCCCGCGCTGCTTCTGGTCTACGTGACTAATGACCTGACATCCTTTGTTGCTTCCCCATAAACATTACCTAAATTAGACATAGTACAAAAAGAGTAAAATATTTGAGCTAGTTATGAGTGCAAGGTTCCCATACTGAGCAGAGAGTCTGCAGAGAGGCTTATGATATACAGTACCACACATAAGGTCGCGAAGACAGCCTTCCCCTAGACGGCCTAAGAGCGTCCGACACAATTGGCGTGAAATCTAAAGTAAGTTGATATAATGTCATGCTTGAAGCCAATATGATAAACCAACAAACAGCGTCCCGGAAGCTGCATCCTTGGATTCCATGTCTTAGTGGCGATGACGGCCAAGAAGCCTTCAATTCTGTCCAGCGTGATGAATCTAACGGCATCCTTATGGACCAAGAAATGAAAATTATGGATGAAATATCCGCAGCCATGGCAATCCACAAACTTGGTTGAGACAGCACGGCACATATCGCTATTTTGGGGATCACTGCAGACACGAGCACGGCCCAACCAGTAGATATGTTGACTTGTTCGAGAAGATGAATCAATAGTGATACTCAGAACGAGGAAACAAATTATTAAAGTGGCTGATATGCACTCCTCTCGAGTCACTTGCCCAGTTCCTCTTTGTTTTTAGGGTCTTTCTGTTCAATACCAGTTTGCTGGCAAAGAGGACTCTTTTTTTCAAGACTCGCCGTCTTCCTATACAAGTTCTTGTTGGCATCTTTGTCAACATTACTGGCACTTGGGACCGGAGAATAAGGGCTTGAAACGCTCTCGCGACAGGGATGCGCTCTGCCTGTTTGAATAGCGCCCTGGTTGGTTACTTGGTGGGCTGCGGAAAGAGCGAGATCACCGGAGTCAAAGTACATCCGATCCTTCCGGTTGTCAGTTGGAACTTTTTCCATTAAATTGAATCCAAATACCTTCGATTGCTGCCCGAGTAAATCTCCATGCGGCCGCTTTTCATATGGTCTGTAGTCACCTTTCTGACCTTCCGGGAGTGGCTTGAGGGAATATCATTAGCGCTTCAGCATGAGATAGGTTTTAGAAAGTCTCACTTCGGTAAATGATTCCTCGTCTCCTAATTCCATTTTGATAGATTATCCATGCGCACCTTTGAAGATCATTGTCCAAAATTGCGATAGAATCTCCGTATTAATTCGCCACAACCAATGTGCCAATGACGCAATGGCTTATTCTGTCTGCATGGTTAGACAATCAAGGGATATGGTAATTCCGGTCTCCTTAGACCAATATGAAAAAAAGATAAGTCAGCCCGAGTTACGCAAGGCTCTCACTTTGGATAGCAAGACTCAGCTCCTGTCGGTATGACGTAATAGCATAAGGGGCCATATTTCCACAGCCACTCCCTATGTTATGAAGAAGCAGAACTGGACTGTTTATTTCTCAGGTTCATTTTCGGGACGATCGTGAGGTCAAAATATTTGCAGAAGCTGTGGTCTGAGCGTAGAAATTGAATATCTTACAACATATCAAGCGGTGGAACTTCGCGCTTCACCGCCAGTCCTATAGCCAACTAAACCGACATCCAGCAACGCTAACAACGCTGTATTATATGTATTAGCTAGAGCCTTCATATTTTATAAATTAAGCATCAATCAGGTAATGAACAAGCTTCAAGGGCGAAAAGAGGGTGAGCAGCAAGTGGATGAATGCTGTGAGCAGGTGACTGTAGATTAGAGTTTCGGCTCCAAGTGCCATACAGGTGGGTTACTCTTCCTCAAATCCGCTTCTCACTTCCGTATCGACATAAGAGAGTTGAACCCTCAAACCAAGTCAAAAGGACACCCAAGCAAGAGTTTCGATCACAAAATGCCGAGGCCTCCGTCAGGTGTGTAAAAACCTCACTATTATGTCTGTTGGATTTGATCACAGATATCTCTCTAATACTCACTGCTATTGCCCTGGAATGCGAAATTTTTACTCATTCAACTTCAGTTCTGTGGTCACAAACGGCCCATGAATCAGATCCTGAACAGAATTCAATTACCTTGGTGTTCCAGAGTGAACATATTACACCTTCTAATATTTCCCTATCCCCTACGAACCTATTACTGGCGAACGATGAATACGGTTGCTCCTTCGATTTCTACGGCCAAATTGTACCCGAGAAATCAGATTTCAGTTACGATGGTCGTTATGTTATGCTCAGAGCGCAGAAGAAGTATTTCTCAAGTTCATACTGGCCGAGTTTGACAAAGGAAGCACTTCCATATATTGTGACAGATTTTAACAGAGTAAGATCCCCACCTTTCAAATTATCCGTCTCGCTGGGGTTTACATGCGCCTGCTTATTGATCACAGTCTGTCGATGTTGAAGATCAAGATATGGAGAGTCTTCGGTGGTTTAACATGGACTCACATCCCCGGGACTGAAGATAGCAACTGCCATCTTAGTACGAACTTTCAAAATATTATCTACAAGTGACGACCATTGTAATTGATAAGACCATAAGATGGTGGCTGATTACCTGATTGCACGGGAAGTTGTGAAAGCGCGCCCACTCAGACTTTTGGAAGACAAGAGAAGCAGTAGAAATATTCCGTAGAAATATTAAAGCAGAGGTTAAGGCGGTTGGTATGTAAGCACCTTAGTTGGCTCCATTAACCTATATCGCCAAGTCGTTGTCTACTATTTAGTTCGCTTTTGTAACCCTCGTCCTGACCCCTCATCCTGTGCGTAGTCTATTCCAGAAGTCGACATGCGCTTGTGCCTTTCAGGTAGGATAAGGCCTTTCTGTACATCATAATCAAACCTACATGGCATACAGACGTGGTTCGTACAAGACTAAACGACTAGGGACCCGCATCCTCGCAGCGGCGTGGGGACCAGAACACAAATCAATACTCTTCGCCTCACGTGTCACAGGCCGACTATGAGCTCAACTGGCATGGCGAATTGCGTGTAGGTAGTCTAGAAAGGCTGGTGCAGGAACCGGCGCTGCGTCATTTATCGGGCATCAGAGCTTCATACTGTAGCCGGCAGAGCGCGTAGCAGGTTGGTAAATCGGATCTTCAGGTCCTATTTGACTTGACGTTGACATACTCACGAAGGCAATCTCTGCGAATATTGACGAGGCTGGTTGACCATGTTCACGTCATACATGCGTAGTTTCAGCAAGACATCAATGATATATATCCGTCTCTACCCTTGGCTCCTTACTAGTAGCCCCCAAATCATAGAACGACGCCCAGAAAATATATATGAGAGCTCAAAATGGCATATGTAAAGCGAATACACAGTACAAACATTTCGCTTCGAATCCTTCCAGTAAATAGTAGAGATGATGGGTTTCAATAGGCCTCAATTAAGATGTGACTAATAAATTGTTCAATCATGAGAAACCTCACCGCCTTCGGACACTGAACGACGTAGTCTTCCAATACGATTGTACAATCCTAACACAGATAGGTTCGTCGACCTTCTTACAAGATATTTCCAGATCTGCCAGGCGAATAAAGTCAGTGCACCGTCCTTGCATGCTTTCTGCCTATGCTGCCTCATTTATTTCGATTTGAGACTGCACAATCTGAATTCGTATACAAGAGATTCGCTGACAGATGAATTCAGTCCGAGAGAGAACAAGGATCCGCGGCGCTTAATCACGCCGAAAAGTCTTGCTGCAGACTTGGACGATCTCAAGCGTGCGGTGCAAGATCTGAAGAACATGCTTGTCTCTTCCCAGCCCGGACCGAACAAACGGTATCAGGAAAAGCGCGTCTCTTTCGAACACCCTCTCAGCTAAATGACTTACAAATCATGAGGCCTCAAAGCGCATTGTCGCCCTACAATGTCTACACATCGAGACTGCAATGACCCACAGAACGGTAGATCTAGGCAGTTTTATTCGTGGCACGGGGAAGATGCTGAGAGGATCTGCAAGGATCTAGTCTTGACACGATCCACAAACCCAAATCGACGTCTGTTAGCGTCTGATGGAACCATGCTCATAAGAATCGTTAACCGGCGCAGAATCAGGTGGTATGAACCGGGTATTCGAAACTCAACCAATGAAGATAGCTAGGCTCACAATTTCTCCGCACGATGGAAAGCTTGACGTGATCTAGCCCCTGTGGGTCCCCCTAAGATATTACTAGAGAAAAGTTTCCCTGTAGCATTATCATTCCTGTCACAGACATAGATGGAGAATGCACGATGAGTTGAGGGCATGCGATATTAACAGATGCACAAAGCTTATTCTTTCTCCAAAGGAGTAGCTTGTTCCTAGGATCATGGCCAAATGTGAGGGTCTCACGTATACATAGAGGTGGATAGTGTCTTGAGATGAACAATCAATATTAAGAACAACTATAGTTGACTAAATACAAGACGTAGCGCGAGGAAGCAAAAGAAACGTAGCTTCCTCGCGTTCAGGGGAACCCATATACACCATGTGGGTCCGGTCCCGCAGATCATATATCCATTTATCCTGTACGTTTCATGTATATCCCTGACAAACTGGGTTGGAGCTCCCAGAAATAGATTTTGGTTTCCCAGAAATAGGAAAGAGCCCCGGGAGCTATGTTGGAGCTTCCAGGGGATACACAGCTACTAGAATTGCTTTTGACTTTCCAAGGTTAATGCATTGATTCCCAGAGTCAAATTAACAAGCAAGAGAATTTGTGAAGGCTCTCCTGCCGACCCCAGAGTTGTGTGTTTTCTGCCAACAATGTTCGTTTTCACTCAACAGGGGGGCCTTGACCGCGATCATCACATGGTCACTTGAATCAGAGGTAGCCTGTGTGTTTTCAATCCGTTGAGGTGATAGTGAATTTAAATGATACATACATTGCTATGGCTAATACGCCCCCTCTATATCATATACAGCTCAGGCGTCACCGCCAGTCCTTTGAGTTCTTGTTTGCTAGTGACATCATCACATCACAATAGTACTCCTGCTCCTCGTTCTCGACATCTGGCGTTTCAAGGCCATTTCACGCCCTGCACGTCGCAAAGCAAGCCGTCACTCCCGTGTTGAACAGCGTCGCTAGCATATCAGATCACACGCCGCCGTCAGCCTAGGGCCATGTTTACCTGGAAGAGACCTCCATACTTAGTTTGAAAATGGATTTCCTGAACCTGCCAAACGAACTGTTTATGTTGATTGGCGAACAACTGGAAACGTAAAAGGTTATTTATGCTCTTATGAGAACAAACTCGAGATTTTACCTGCCCCTGCTTCCGCAGCTCTATAAACACAACGTTAATTACTCCTCGAGTTCAGCTCTGTCGTGGTGTGTCAGGCATGGGAACGAAGGAGGAGTGGAGTTATTGCTGAAATGGGGTGCGAACGTTCAATTCTGCAAAGCCCCCCTTCCTAACACATGGGGCTTCGATGAAGATTTTGGATGTGCCTTACATTTCGCAACGAACCGGACTATAGCTCAACTTCTTCTTGAACATGGAGCCGATGTGAATGATTTATCTCACCAGGGGAGATCAGCTTTGCACGTAGCTGTGGAAAATGGTCAACCAGCGATGGTGGAATTACTTCTCGATTATGACGCACTGGTCAAATCAGAAATTGAAGATGAAGAGACCCCCCTACAATAGATAGATCTACTTTGCCCATCGTCCGTCTACTTCGGCACGAACACAGAAATGGAGATCGACAATGGTTTGGGAGGATAATGATCATCGTTTCAAAAACTTGCGCCACGAGAGTAGTGTAACTTGTTTGAAGAAATGCATGAATGCGAATTCAGAACTATTGCATGTTATGCAGAAATACGACAACTAAGTCAAATCGGAGCGACTGGGGTCCCTCCGATATGACTTCAACTATTTGCACACCCTCTTCGGCAATCTTCTCGTCTACTACGGCTTCCTCTTCAAGCTCGTCTTTTACACCATCGACAACCTCAACTACTACTACTACTACTACTACTACTACTACTACTACTACTCCACCTATTACCACCTCGACAATGCCTACAGCCCTAAAGACTACAAATCCAACCACAATCAATGCCTTGATAATATCCACCGGCACTTCTGTTGCACTGTGTGCCAAATGCGCCCCCACCATGGTGGATACGAACCTTTCCAAGACTGCAGTATTCAGCACTTGTTCCCAAGGATGTATTTGGTACTTAAAATCATCATTATTTCAGTAAAGACGGTATGGTAACTCGTACGGGCAACATTAGAGGGGATTAAGGTTAAAATTACAATCATCAATGATGTGCTCGGAAATTTCAGAATTTTTCGTTTAAAGTGAAAGCACAATTTGCAGAAGATACTACTCCTTGATAAGATTAATAGCACGCAAGATGTCTTTGAGACCGTCCTGGCTCGCCGGGAACAATATCTGCCCAGACCTCTTCCGGAACTGCGTCGTTGGGGTCAAGTAGGTTCCAGTTGGGACTAGGTTCAGACTTGATCCTTTCAAATTCTTCTGCCTCGCTCCAGCGGTCATCACAATCGGGGCAGTCATGGTCCAAAGACCACAAACGAGGACGGATTGATATGACTGGCAAAGAAAAAACAATGCAAGAAGAGCACTGACATTGGCCCTAGGTATGCGACTAAACCGAATACTGGAACAGTCCTCAATGATGGGGTTGCTAATGTGGAATCTGAATCCTGGACTTGCATCGTTCCCAGGCCATGAACCATCTTGAGGCCAAAAACTACTGCATCATGATGATTATACGTTTGCGGGATCCGGTGCAACTAGTTCAAGTCCAGTCCAAATTTCGAGCCGTGTCGTGAGAGGATGTCCATACAGACCAGCCACGCTCGCTGCGAGGAAGGATCCTTGGCAGACATCTCCTTCAGCCATCGAGTGGCCTTCTTGACCCGGTGGGTAATGCTAGCGGCCTTTGGGCTGCCCAAATGGGTACGGGCCAAGAGCTCGACGAGGAGGACGGTGGTTGATTGCATGATGTTGTGGACGATGCACCACCACGGCGCGACACTATAAAGCCAAAGCCGATCTGCCTCCTCGGGTAAGAAATCGAGCATTCGACAAGCCGTTTGGACGCAAATTGCTGCTATATTGTCGCACGTTGCAGCTGGAGATCTTGCTTCAGATGATTGCAGAGAGAGACGGCGGAGAGAAGGCTGTGTGATTATCAGCTTAGTGGCGTAGAATCGGAAGGCAAGATTGGCACGTTGCTGTGCGGAGGTCTGGGTTGTATTCGGTGTTGTGAAATCAAATTCAGCTGGGAGACGAGATAGCCAGTCGTCGGCATGGCTGTTAAACGTTGAAATTGCGGTTTCGATCTCATCCCACGATTGCCGCATCGCTTTCTGAGCATACAAATTTTCAATTGCCTTTCGCAGAAGTTGGTCTAACTCCACCGCGTACAACAAGAATAGAGACGTGTTAGGTTTCATACTGTTTCTCGTAGCGAGTGTTGCCCGTGCCTCCGTTTTATTCCCGATACCCTCCCATGGCAAATTCGTGTTGCTTCTCGAAAGTAAAGATGTCAAAGATGCACCCTGGGTCCCTTGGTCGGTGATAACCTGCGTAATCCGCGCATTCGAGAAGTCCTCTTCCATAAATGGTACAGGAAGAGGTGTGGTGCAGAAAATTCCTCTTATGCTTAGTGGATGACCAGTCATCTCGCATAAAATGGTATCTAGCATTGAAAGCGCCCACCACAACCGATACCGTAGCTCTTTCGAGAAGTACGGGACGCTCTCGCTGTCGCTTCGAAGATTCAGACCCATGGTCATGGCCGATCGGATCGCAATGCCAATGGTTTTCCAAGACCTAAAAAGGAAAACATCCTAGGAATCAGAACACTCAGTGTATAAAAAAAGCCCTCTGCAGAATACAAACCTGTTGACTTGCCCAACCGAAAGAAGATATAAAGCGGCCAGGCCCTCCACCTGCACCTGTTGCAGATCCGGATGGTCTAGCAGCGCGACGTTCCCTACACTCAGCTCCGACGCCCGTGCAAAAAATGTCCGATGATCATCGCGGTCCGGTTGGGGCTGATCGATAAGGTATAAATGTCTGGCTGCAATGGCAAGGATCAGGTTCAGTAATGCCAACCATCGTTTGCTAGGTTTCGAGTTCGGTTCCGAATAAAATGATTGGTATTGGTTCAGAAACAGGGATTTGCCAATGAAGGGGAACGCGGGGTGTACAGCGTGAAAGTAAGCATCAACGAGTCTGTCAGCGAGAATTTGCGGGGGGCGGCGTGCGAGATCGACATAGTCGAGTACCAAGAACTCCAAGTTGTCTTGAAAGTAGTTCACGGAAGAGATTGCATGGCAACCCAGGGATTCCTTGATTGGCGTGGGGTTGTCCTGATCCAGGTAGCGTTTAAGCCTGTATAACCATGCTATTTCCGAATGTTCGCCCACAAATCCTATTGTTTGTACCTTTTTATCACAGCCCAATTCTTCTTCGGTGTAGTTTACACCTCTAAAAGAAAAGATCGGGGGCCCAGCATCTGCATTTTGTTGTTGAGCGTGACTTGCGGTAGTAGTGGATAAAGAAGTAGCAGGAGGCTTAGCTTGTGGGGTCATTTGTCTTAACTTTATTTCCCTTGGAGTGCGGTTCACTGATTGAACTGATAACACTTCGAGCTTGAGACAGATAGCGCAGTAGTGAATTGTTGAAGGGTGTCAACCTGCATGGATGGTCAAATACAGGGGTGTTTCCGGCCGAGTTGTCGGGACCGGGTATTTCGGGTCCTTGGCCGCAGATTTATACCGCCTACTATATAAGTAACTAGCTTACCTTGGCGCGCATTAACACGCTAGCGTCGCGCTGTATATCAGCCAGCGTGTTGTTTGTGAGTATTTCTGCATATATCAAGCTTACTAGTGTGACTCCAGTTCATCAGAGGCGCCGTGAGATTTTTATATACCACGGACGCGGCCTTGTAGTTGAAGCTCCAGAACCGCAGTGCAGCTCTGATACTTTCGGTCCCGAACTCCGGATATTCAATAAACAGGACAAATCATAGAATGCCCGTGATATACACATTTTGTGCAGTGCTTGACTGTATGTTTGACTATTTCGCTTACATAATACTTGATACTTATAAAGAAGCCTTGATGCGAAATATATCACAGAAATATCAGATCAACAGCCTTTTTTCCTCAAGATAAATCAAGGATGTTCTACGTGACAGTGCCAGTTGAAGCATGTTAATTCTGTTGCGGGCTTTGACGTCGCGAATAGGTTCACAGGGGATGGAGGTATTATCAATATTGCCGAAGAGGCGGACGAGGGCAAGGAGGTGTCGTTCATTAAATGAAAAGGTAGCTATGAATCCAAGGGTTGCAACATTCTCATTTTTGTTTAGTAACGTTGTAGAAATGGTGACTCAGAATCTTCCTCAAAATGTAGTGGATGACGAAGTGTGTGGAGAAATCGCGGAGATGATATGCGGGTAGGAGAAGGCAAAGACGAGGATTTGTGAGTTCTGTTCTAACGTGCAGTACTCAAAGACCTCATACGTTTTTGAAGTCCTAGGTCAAGATGCATACGAGGATAATCAGAAGGCTTTCACGAAAACGATCGAAAAGCTGGAGCAATAAAGGGTATGTATCGACAAAAAGAAGAACAGCATAATGCCCACCCAGGAAACAGATTTGGCCATCAGCTTTCGTGTATAATGCAGAATTCATGAGCCAAATTTCCGCTTTCCATTATGGTCAAGTCTATAGCAAATCAAAGGAATTGACGACGATAACGGTATCACTGACATGCTATGTGGAGATCGGTGTGTTCGGAATAAGCTGGGAAGATAGAGAAAACCCGATAATTAGCGTAATACTAGGGCCCACGGTCAACGTCCAATCCAAGTGTAGAGGCGTGACGCGAGAGAAGATCCATATAAATAAGCCAAGCTCGCTGCGAGGAGGGATCTTTGGCGGACATCTCGTTCAGCCACCGGGTAGCCTTTTTGACCTTCTTTACAATGATGGTTGCATCAGCTATGATGGGATGGACTCGGGTGAATAGTGCGATTAAAAGGATCGTGCTGGATTGCATGATGTGGTGAAGAATGCACCACCACGGGGTGACCTTGTATAACCACACCGTGTCTACCTCATCTGGGAGAAGATCGAGAACCTGTCCTGCAACTTGGACGCACATAGCAGCCATGGTATCACACACAGCCCCGGGAGAAGTCTTACCAGATAGGTCGGAGAGGCGCCGAAGGCAGGGCTGTGAAATGATCAGTTTGGTAGTGTAAAATCGAAAGGCTAGGCTGGCTCGCTCCCGAGCGAAAGGCTGCGATGCATCGAGTTCGTTAAAGTAGAATTCTGTTGGAAGACGAGAGAGCCATCTGTCGGCATTGTTGTTGAGGGTAGAAATCTGGATTTCAATTTCTAGCCATGATTGTCGCGTCGCTCGGGGAGCGTACAGAGTGTCCACGGCCTGGCGGGTAAGAAACGCCAAGTCCACGGCGCATAAAAAGTACAGTGAAACATTGGGTGTAAGGGCTTGAGCATTCTGCCCGACTTGCTTTCCTTTTCTCTCCGACTGCACGGAACGGAGTCGACCCGCGAAGGTCTCTCTGGCCGCAATCGCGGGGTCAGTAGAGAGCAGTGAAGACATGAACTCGTTCCGGGCTTCTTGATCAGAGATAAGCTGCATGATCCGCTTATTGCTGAAGCTCTCCTCTGTATACGGCAACGGAAGAGGCGTAGAGCAGAAGGTCTCCCCGATGCTGGGTGGTCGGCCGGTCATCACGCATAACACGGTATCCAGCATAAATAGTGCCCACCACACACGGTATCTTGTCTCCTTTGAAAGGTGCCCAATGACGACATTCTCGCTACGGAGATTAAGCCCCATAGCCACGGCTGATTGGATCGCGATACCAAATATCCTCCATGACCTAGACAAAGAGATTCACACGGTCAGACATCGAATCCCACAAAAAGAATACGCGCAGAAATCCGCACCTGTTGATTTGTCCAACAGACAGAAGATAAAAGGCCGCTAAACCCTCGACTTGGACCTGCTGTAAGTTCGGGTGCGAAAGCAATGCCACATTATCGATGCCGAGTCGCCAAGCCCGCGTGAAGTACACCAAATAGCTATCTGCCTCCGGATGGGGCGGAAGGCCCATCATCAGCGAATGTCTTGCTGTAATCGCAAATATCAAATTTAACACCGCCAACCATCGTTTTCCAGGTCGCACGTTGGGATTCGCATAGAACGAGTTGTACTGTCCAATAAACGTCGTCATGCCGATTATGGGGAAGGCAGGGTGGACCGTATGGAAGTAGTTGTCGACAAGCTGAGTAGCGACGTGTTGAGGAGGGCTTATCGAAAGATCCACGTCATTGAGCATTGAGATTTCGAAGTCATCCTGGAAGTAGTTGACTGACGAGATGGAAAGGCGATCGGAACGGTTTCTGGTCGGCGTCGTAGTGTATTGGTCGAGGTCCCGTTTGAGTCTGTACAACCATGCTATCTCCGAGTGCTCGCCCACAAACCCCATGGCCTGGAGTTCCTCGCCGCCATTGAAGTCTTCTTCGGTGTAGTCAATGGCGCCGTAGGTAAAAGCCGTGTCCTCGGGGTCTGCGTGGGGTGTTAAAGGACATGAAAGCTGGAAACGATGATATGGTGAGAAGCAATACTAGGGAACCGAGGATGAATGCAACATACCTTCTGAAGGGTCTGGTCAACATGGCGGGCCGACAGCTTATCGAGTCTAGGATAAAGGTCTTGCAAGAGAGTTTTGTAGGCTTCGACCTGTGTGGTTAGATCGCTCAGCTGCCTAAAGAGTTGTTAGAAGCCAGTCGGAGGTGAGCTGCTGCTCTATCTTAAGCCACCCACTTGGCTATCTTCTCCCCCTTCCGGCCACCATACAAACACCGGACGTCAGCATCTTTGCAACGATCACAGGTGGGACGGTGTCCGCTACATTTGGCTTTTTGTTCACGGCAGTTTTCGCAGGCCCGACTGACTCGACCGCTGGTAGCTAAGTTACCAGGGTGCGCAATTCGTGGGATCTGGACCTTTGTATTCGGTCGGTCGTAGGTGGCCACTTCGTCACGGCTAGTGAGGCAGTCGGCAGAGAAGTCGAACGCAGAGGGCTGTGAAGAGAAGAGGATATTCAAGTCATAGTCGGAGAGGGTTGATTCGTTTTCTGGATGGTTCGATGGGTGTTCGGAATTCATTGTGCAAGGCCTAAGAGGTAAAGATACCTAATGAACACAAGCCAACAAAGCCGAAACATTAGAGTGGAAAGCCCCTTCGCTCCGTAATAATATACAGATATGCAGAAAGCAAAATCATGAATATCAGGCAGGACCTTGGCGCAGCGGTGTGGGTTTATGGCTCGAGGACGGTGTAATGTGGTATGCTGGATGCGAAAGCCGCGCTATTTGCCACTACCCGACTGTTCGTCCCGCGCCAAGCCGAGTCCGGATAGTCTTCGTATTAGACATCTCAGGCGGAAACTCTCATCAACATCTCAGGCGGAAACTCTCATCATAAACACCTTGCCCTGCATTAATTGGGGGGGTTGAACGTTATTCTTCGGCCATGATCCGTGGAGACGCAGGCATAGCTCGTATTATAGGACCGTAGTCCAATTGTCGCCAGCAGAGATGTTCAGTTCGAATCTTGATCTTATTGTGCCATGAGTCAACTGATATCGACTGTCTCTCGGCTGGAATGCCTACCCGTCGACTCTGCAAGGAGCCGATAGTGATGTGCAGAGTCGTTGTGACGCTGCACATTCCCGAACAATGTTTCTATTAGTGCACGGCGACTCGAGCAGCCATCCATAGCTTGCTAGAATTTGGCTCGGCGTTCCTGCAACAGATGGTTTCTTCCAAGCTGTGGGTCAAAAGCTTACGAACGTGGCGGCTGACATGGTTGTTCCCTGCGGCGACCTAGTGGTATCTCTTCAATCAAACCCGGAATAGGCACCGGTAAGATTTGTTTCTCAGACCGCCTGTGCAATGGATGAAGGCCCATCGGAATGGTCAGCCTAGTGGCCTTTCTGATTGCTGACGCCGGCGTAGATAGGGCAGCGCTAGACGGTCTACCCGTGATATTGGGTTCTTCCTCCTCGCCCGCTCCGACCCCATCCCACACGTCCCTTGTTCATCATGTCTGAGACAAGGCAAAAGCGAGCGACCGTTCGCGTTACAGACCCAGCTGCACGGGCGCTTAACCCAAAGATACGGGGCAACCTGGCTATTAAGTGGCGAGTATTCTCAGTTGGCAAACAACAAGGTTTCCGCATTTTCTGAGACAACACACCGGTATTCATGATCTTGAGAAGTGACGACAAAGCTATATCATGTTCAAAGAAAGAGAAGTTCGATGGTGATACAATGGCAGATAATGATTGGTGGTCCTTGAGTCAATGCTTGAAATAGGGATTGTTGGTGGGCTGTTCGGAAATTTTAGCAGGGACACAACACGAAGTTGACGGCCACTATTGAGCCCATTGCTTCCAATGTTGAGTGAGTCACCCCATCATTCATCAATGTCTGAACTCCACTGATGCTTGAATGTTGGTGATTGCAGAACAATGACCCTCCTGGCCCCTCTCGCAACGCACTCGAAGTCCTCACCTGCTGCACATGACGATCCCGAACACACAGAACACCCAGAGAACGTGACTTGATTGATTGTCTGTCTATCGAACCGATTTAGTATATTTCCTCCATGTATCTTATGTGCAGGCGTATGTTTGATGAATTATCACCGCGGAGGTGAACATTCGGTCTCGAGGTCTTTCACTCGCACGTCGTCCGTCGAATCGAAGATACATACACACCATGCTCTTCAAAACCACGTGCATCAGCAATGGACTTTCATAGACAGCTCACATGGGTTGAGCGTGGATATTCACCTCGCTGGCCGCACCTTACGCAGTTGCAAGCACTCCAGAAATTCTCTGTGATGCATTTAGCCACGTCAACCCCATCCAATGAGCATGGAATGTCATATCGATCGAAACCCACCGGAACTCAACATAGCCTCAATCATTTGCACACGCAGTTTGGATACTCTGGTTCGTTTGAGGAGCCCAGCCCTCACTTCTGCAGGCGCTCTAGATCCTCACCATTGGGTCGCACACGTTATCACTTCGATCGAACACCTACACAGTCGGCGAGATTACAATCGAACTTCCATCAATTCATACAAATGAAAGTATCGGATCGTTCGCGTATTTCGCGTGCTTTTGTCGAGGGAGGATAGTCGTCTAGACAAACCGGCCGGACCCAGAAGCTCCCAGCTGGTTGTGCCTTCCACTTTTGGGTGGAAATGATGGCCTGATCGATCAACCACTGCCTGGATCGCCCTAAGGACTAACTGGCTCGACATTGTCGCGTACTCTGAGAGATGTTCACAACAGTTCCGTGAAAACTGTTGGGTTGGAGCTTTCCATTTCGGCCTTGTCGCTGAACAACTGACCACTCCTCGTCGGGTTTCGCCACACAGTACTGGTAATATCAGTGCGAGACAGTGCTTCTTCCAGCTAAGAAATGCACACCCATGGGGGTTCTCCCAAGTCAGGAGATCTTTGCGGCCTTTGTTGCCTGAGACCTGACGAATATAGGGACAAGTTGTGTGTTGTTATGATGATGTGACAGGAGTCAGGCGTTGATGAAATCGAAAACATTGCGGTTTCACGAGATGGAAAATTTTCATCCAGCCCAACAGCCCAACAGCCCAACAGCGTCATTGTCTGACCGATATGCTCAATGCAGATGAAGGTCTGAGATATAGGTAGGTAGAGGTTCGATGGAGCTTTGAGAGATGGTCATCTTGACGGTTGGTTTCCACTAACTCAGTGCCAACCAGGTCCTGCGAGGTGGGCTTTTGGGTCTCATCGGCAAGAACAGCTAAGTAAATTCTCAGCCTGCGCGATGCGATAACAAACGTGTGAAGATGTTACCCTTTGCAAGTCCATATTCCAGCTTCGGGTTTGTTCAAATTTTGTTCAAAATTTCAAGAAACAGGCAGGGGCCGGTGTGGCGCGTTATGGGATATGGAGGAATCACACTAACCAGGAAAAAGAGCATCGATATCAGCATTTTGGGGAAGTGTTGGTCACTAAAACTCACTGTCCTCACACGATATTTTCTGGCATTATGTCCCCATCCGTGTCCATCTGCGTCCATCCCCTGATGACCATCTCGACCTTGTATCTTTATCCCGTCATTTCTCTGTCATCATTGTACAGTTTTATCCTGTCGGTTGATGTGTGGCAAGGTGAACCCTGCATTCGGTTGTGAACCGACCAAGGAAAAGGCCTGGTTTTTTCTCTTTTGAAAGGACTTGCTCTGATCTCTCAATGCTTCCAGAGTGGCAATGGGACGGATTATAAAGATGCTGGGCGTGATACATGGCCTAATTTGAATCGTGGTCAGATCACCGCGTCCGACGGGCAACGTCTGGTTTGTGCGAAGGGTGCACAATGAAACTGGGGGACGGATGCTCTGTGGAATGGGAGAACACGGGAAAAGACACCAGGACTCCTTGGCCCAGCATGTCGGGACCACCTCATCCACTTCGCCCCAGCCCTTCTAAGCGTCTCGGCCCTTTATCACCCTATTATGATGGTTTGGAACGACACTAAGCAGTCTAGGGGATTAAATGAGTCTTAGACCAGCTATGGGAGATTCGCCCCAAGGAACCCAAATTGGAAATCTGACCAACACTGGATGATTGGAAGACGCATGCGCCAAAGATCCCTTTAGGAAGCGCTCGAAAGCTATTATTGTACGAGCCCCGGCATAGTGACTGGGTTTCTCCATAGCAGCCTAGTCTGTCGGTAATATCGCACAGGTTAAATGTAGCAGCGGCTGTTTATTGCTGCCTTGAATACTTTTCTACAAGGTACGCCCAGTATTCCGATATTTACGATCCATGGTTAGCCAGTTTTCTTCGGAGGCGATGTTTCCACGCCTCCAGCTACGCGGTCGATCATCCAAACAAAACCCCACACCACGGTACTTCGTCAGTATCCGTATTAAACATCGGAAGCACTTGGGCTATCATAACTGACTAGTTGTTAGATTCACCTAAAACATTTCTGCCTCAGGCATTAATACCAGGTGACCTGATCACATGACTGAGTCAAGCTCCCTCTCCCTCTTACTCTCTTTGTTTTATCCAGTAACCCAATAAATTGAAGAGTAAGATGTCTCTGCGTAGCCACATGTGGCGGTCTATCTGATTTAAGTCATCGATGCTAGCCTGGACATGTTCTCTGCCAACACAGTATAGGTGTGAAATATAGACGTCGATGACTTCGTTGACAACAATAACTGTTGTGATATGAACCTGGTGCAGATCAGGAACCAAGCCGCACCGTCGGCATTAGCTCCGAAGTGTCTATACGGACGACGAAGTTGATTTCCAATAAACTTGGCTAATTGTAGTATATATAGGCTCATATATCCCTCTGAAATAAAAAGTCAATTAATGCCTCTGAACAACAACAGGTAGGTCTGATCTTGAGCGTATCGCCTGATTATAGCTGAACCGAGGGAAATCCGGTGTTTGCATTCGACCACCTCAATCGAATTGGAGGCCGTATGTCAACTTCACCGAGTGATCAGCTGGGGACAGATGACGCGGAATTGGAAAAATGCAAAGTTATACATCTGTCATGTAGTTGAGATGGCAAGAAAATCATGCGCTATGTTCGTGAGACGTTGACAACCACTCACCTTCACCGCCCGGTTATTTCAGTCACTTCTCACGACAATACTCACATCAATGCTAACCATTGCTCATCAACACATCCGCGACGCACCAAAACACTCACGTCTCTGTTCGCTCTACGCCTAGATGGCAGAGATGAAATCTATCGCGGCGCGAAGACTAGCAAACCGCAAATTACCAAGACAGGAGAGTGGGGAACACGGCAGTCGATAACGAAGAAGGTTTAGTCTTGAATTTTACGATTCTGGTGATTGACTGGCATCTACCTAGGGATTATGCTATCTCCCGACGATCATACTTCAGAATACGAAAAATATAAAGATGTTGCGCAGGTCTTTGCTGATTCGAATACTCTTGGAATACTCGAATACTGGTCCCTAGCTCTACGATGAGGTGCGTGCACGTCACTAGGGCCTTGTTGTTGCAGCACCCCCTTGCGAAAGATTTTTTTTAACGCAGATCCTATTCTGCGGAGCTGGCTGCTTCTCGCATCACCTTTTTCTCGCAGCGCTCCGCCGCGAAGCACGCTTGTTAACGCAGAGCTCATCCTCAGGAGCTCGATTATTATCGCAGCGCCCCCCTACGTGGAATTCTGTTGACGCAAATCCCATCCTGGAAAGCACCTTTCTTACATCGCGGGGCTCAAGGCAGCGACAGCCGTGGCCACGTAAGCTCAAGCATGCAATCAAGAGAGGGACACCCTGTTGCACTAGAGTGTGAGGACAGAAGTCCCGATTATTTTTGACCAGCTAACCCTAGTTTTGTCTTTGCGCAACCGCCTGAGCTGTTAGTTGCCACTCGCGTGTTCGCTCGGATCAAGGGACTGTAGTGGACACGGCACTACACTACCAATGGGCTCCATCTTTCTCCTTCCTTCATACTTTCCTCCTAAGGGGTCATTATTTCGGTTCCCCTTCTTCCACACCCAATCTAGCTGGATCGACCTCATGAATCTGAAACATGAGGTCAGTTTTGATTATGAATTCTGCCACAATGGCGCTAGCTTCTGGTCGCGTTAGAAGCTCGTTCCGGCGGAGAGCAATGCCTTAGTCGGATAGGATGTTTCTCATCTATTCCCGCCCATCTGGGTGCAACAGGCACTCGAGCAGAACATGACCTACCGTCGGATTGCCTAGCTCGCAGTCACACCGCGCTGAGTCGCCTCGGCTGATACGGCGCAGATAGGCATCTAGGCCGATCCACTGGGTGCGTTGCTGCATTAGAATCGACCCCATTGGTTTGCGCAGCTGGGGTTTGATGATATCAGTTTTGCGTCATGATCACGGGACGTGTTTGGCGTACGACGATTCTGAGACGATGAGGATATTCATGCTGTTAGATGATGCATATGAGCAGTAGTCAATGAACTGAAGTATGTCATGAAGAACAGGCCAACCTTCCAGTGTCTCTTATTGTATGGGTTTTCTACTTTGCAGAGAGTAAGCCAACACAAGGCAGAGAGCGATATGTGTATAACTGGATATATGTCATGGACCACCGATTACTAAAACCAAATTGCGAATCATATTCGTAATTTCCCTACGGGACACCTTCGTCAGTATTGTGAGCTCTTTTTCTTGAGTTCATATGCATCACTATGACGTTGTTTATCAGAACTCTGGGTACGTGAGAGTATTGCCACCCCGTCGAATTGTGACGATATAAGTGAAAGTTATTTCTTAATTGCACCTTTTCACACAACTGGTCTTACTGCAGCAACAATTATTTTAACGGATGCAATATTGAGCTTTCAAAATGGCCACAGGAAATACAAGACAGTCCAAGGTTTTCTATAAGGGCCGGTCCGAGGACTTCGTTATTTTCGTTGCAGACGTTAATGCCATGGATAAATGGAGGAAAGATCGCTCAATCCCACTGGCGCAGGTGATGGATGGGTGGAAGGTATTTACTGCACATCAGTATGTGCTTACTCTTGAATCCTAGTGCACCGGCTTAGGCGAAGGAATAAATACGGGACCTGAAAGCTAGCTAACGAAATTCTGTAACCTTGCTAGGCACCATGGGCCTCAGGGGATACATAACGAAGCCAGCAGGATTACCCTCGAACAAGAGTTCGGGACATCTGAGTATCGTGAAGTTATTTTTCATATCTTGGAGAAAGGCGAACTTCAGGAGAACATCGTGCGTACTGATCCCTCTCTCCTTCCCTGCCATTTTAAGTGTTCCATTCAGATCAACCATTGCCCCGTACTACATAGATCACGGCATGTAAAATCCTATTCTTCCAGAGAAGTTCTAATCATTGGGCTACATGCAGACTTCCGAACGACAAGGAGTCAGGAACGAATCTCATGGAGTAAGAGGTCTTCATTAAGAGATCAAATGAAACAGATCGAGAAGATAAAACATATTTTTACCTTAGGAAATAAAGACAGAGATCTGAGGAAGTTTTACCTCAGATCTCTGTCTTTATTTCCTGAGGCCCCGCTGTCGATCTGTCAATGGACACTGGCACAATGGTTTCGCGACCCGTTTCGCACTGCTTTTATTTTGTTGGTACTGCCAGTGAAATAAAAAACGTCAGTTTTGTTTTTAATACTAGCCTACCTATGCAATCATAAGGACATGTTTAATTTGAAGTCACATGATTGATAAAAATCAGTTTCATTATTTTAATTATTGAAACTTGTTTAAATTTTATACTGAAACATGGGAGTACGTATATGAAGTGGAATACTCAAAATCTCTTCATAGCAGGTATCACATGACAAGGGTTTGAAATGCACCCATATGCCATATGCGATACTCACCGCTCGTTACCCTCTCACTTTTCCTTTCCTTTACTCCTCAACAACGCTCTACTGCCTACTACAGTCCCTCTCTCACCATATATCCTCGGACTACTACTGTATAGTTAACTCGTTGACCCGTCATCTCTCTCGAATTTAGTTACAATCATTCCGTTACGTGACACTGAAGCCTAAAATACCAAGTGTATCTCTGACGAAGACCGAATATGGACTGGCCACAGATTTTGTCCGTAGATGGACTTAAGCTAAGGAACTCGCATGATTGTGAGCTATAACTTAATAAGGAATTTTGTCTAGTCCATCCTCTGTATAAAGAAGTGACGTAACTGTTCATTGATCAATGAACCGAACTCGCCCATTAGCAAACCTCGGATTTAGGCTTACAATACTCACAGTCTACAGTTAACAGTGAGGTATCTTGATGACAATAGGAAGCTCCAGGTAGAGACTGCACTTCTGATGTCAGGCTGTGGAGAAGCTATCTTCACGCCGGACGTGGCACACCGGTTCATGGAAATAGTGGCCACCGATACCCAAGCAAACATGCCGTTCAAACCCAGTACGAAATCAATAACCACCCGATCACCTTGAATTTGCGCTCAAGATCTCGTTGTTTGCAGACCAGCACCATGTTCCCCCGCCCCCATTGGCCACGCAACTCAATATTCAATGGATGCAGTTCCAGCAGACCACATCAGCTGAGTTAATACAGAGCGAATGGCAATTGCCCCACGGTTGGCTAAAGAGGTGCGATCCAAAGCGAACTGACTTGGTCAGACATCTAAATCAATTTACGTCACATGGTCCAACCCCCAGCTGGGACGCACAATTACCCGAGTCGGCAACAGGGATCTACTACGACAATACTATGAGAAGGCATTTGAAGGGGTTCAACAATCAAATTACCGAGCCATCGTCAAGTCCTATATCAACCTCGTCGAGCAACGAAAGCAAATAAATTATCCTTATAGCGGGCGCCGAGTCGTATCTGGCGTATCACAACACCTCGACACCGAACTCACTAAACCCGGATGGTGGCCTGTCGGTGCGCGACATAGGGAGCCGGATCATCTACTCAAGCCTGGTCAGCAAAATGTTGTCGACTGTTGAAGTCAAAATTATAGATCTAACATTACCCTCAGCACTTGACATGATTGTTAAGCGATGTCCAAGTTCAATGGGAACGTTGCAACAAGTCTACGTGAAATACCGACTGGCAAGTTGATATGCGGTATTTTCTGATATTTGGAAGATATCTCTTATTATTCGGTGGAATTGCAAGGGTAATATGTCTGTTAAACGTAGATAAATGATACATAGGAAATAGTCACGCACCGCCCAAAAGTTTTTCACTGAAGGCAAACCACGTAGTATCAATGCTTTGGCATCAAATTCGCTCCAAACCAAAGGCAAAATGTGTAGTACAATGTGCAGATTTCTATATAAATTCAGAGCTCTATCCAAATTCGTAGCTCCGGAGTAGTTCCCGAGAAAATCGCCATGCCATTAGGTAGAAATTTCACAGTAGGGCGCTTGATTCGGTTTTCAAGAAGTTCGATGGGCAATGTGTTTTTCAAAGGAAACCATTGCTTTGTTACTGAAGGTACATCTATTTCCAGTTATTATAAGTTACTATATTCCTGTCCAGGCAAAACCTTCTGCTTTAACTTGGAGGGATTCATTTATTACTTACATCAAATATTGGAAATTTTCAGAACAATCATTCAGTGAATCGATTTTCTTTTCATGAGTCGTAGTTGATCAAACGAATTCTCATAATTTTTGAGAGTACTTCCACTCTCTCTCGGCATATTCCTTGATGGAGAATCTTCACTGGTTTTGCACCATTCCATTGTGTTTGACGATAATCCTTTCCGAGATATTGGTCTGCCCCGAGTCGGCTCCTTAAACAGAGTCGATGGAATTGGGCTTAAAGAGATACCGTATCCATTGGAGGTTGTTGGCGCCGACGTAGCTAGAGATTGATGCATCAAAAAATAACGGCATATATCAGAACAGAAAGATCCCTGCGATAATAATCGATCGCAGTTTAAACAGGAGGCCGGTGTCGAGGGCATTTCTGCGAGAAGATACTAGTGAAATTAAATATGGTTATCTTGTCTACTAGGAAGACCTCCATACCAGAATTATATATTATTTACGTTGGTGCTATTGCACCATAGGTTTTCCTAGACATGGTTCAAAGAGTCATTACTATTGGATAGTGTCTTATTTTTTGATAGTCTATGGTTCTAGATCTGTAGTCTTAATGGACGGCTCTTGCTCCGCTTATAGGCTGCGGAAAGTTGTATCCTGGCAAAGCGAAGTGAAAATTTGTTGTCAAAGTCAATCACTACGTAGAGTACCAAGGATTTGAGGGACTTGGGTGTTTTGTTTGGTCCAATATACTAACTAGGAGAGATATTAAACGTTTAACGCCACAGCATTCATCATACTATTGGCTGGAAACAAATGCCAATGGATTTTAGCCATCCAGTGGAGGCCGGATGCAGTTGTTGAGAAACAGCGCTTGGTTTCACCAAGTAGCCCAAATCTGCGCTTTTTTATTCTTGGATCAGAAGGATATTCCCGAAGACTTGGTGTCAGACTTGGTGTCTTCTTAATCAGGTATTAATACCACTGAGTTAATAGCAACCCCCTTTTTGTATTTCGCTTTATAACATGGAGGTCTTTCAAACTTTGTGCGCAGCTGAAACTGGAGCCTTGAGCGGACGCTTGACAACCTTTTCTTTAGGGAAGGAAAATGGCACTAAGTGATGTAGTGCAGCTCCACGGTAGCAATATTTTAAGATCATGATGGAATTGTTGTCTCTCTTGGCAAATGGAGAACAGAGGATCCACCTGAGCTATCCACAGGTAATTAAGGTGGATGGCATGCTTGACAGCCCAAGCGGAGGATAGCTAATGGGAAAGGCTACTAGCTACTTGTAGAATGTGGTACATATGACTATTGGAAAGATTTGGCTCTCGGAAATCATGCGATTGGTTGGGTAAATCAGCCGCGCATTCATTCCTAGGGCAAACTCTGCATGAGTTCTTGGTTCCCAGCACCAAAAGTTCTTGGCCTTCTGCAAACAACTGCTCGGCTCTAGATACCGAGGATTCTTTTCACGAATGGCAATTGTTAAACTTGAATATATTTCCTGCTTGGAAATCAAAATCAAAGCAGTTGCAGTCCACGGGGCGGGCTGCTGTGCGGCTTCTACAGTATCCGCTGCGATGGGAAGACCAGGGCCCTGGTATAACACACCACTGGCGGGGAAATCGTACGAATCCCTGTCGCTGATTCTATGGTTTTCACTTAAGTCAAGAAACGATATCTGGGACAGCGTATGGGCCTGCATGGCGTGAGTATAGGCTTCCATGGCGCTTTGGGTTCAAAGGTTGCTAGCAGTAGTCGAATATGGATACGACGAAGTAGTCTGACTCTGGGAAAAGGTTGTTATAGGCACAGGGTACAGTAGGCGTGGATATGCTTTCAGGAAATTGTTGAAGAAGCAAGTAGGATAGAATAATACCAATGGTAGAATTGGCTGGAAGACCAACTCACTGAAAGACGGACGATTCGATATCGTGCTGTTGCACGTGTGAAATCAGAGAAACCAGAGGGGGGGCCCACGTTCACGGCAAATAGGGCAATGTGACGTCATTGCTCTGCGTTTTGGAACCGAAGGCGAATCATATTAGTTCAAGCCCTTTGGGCTAAAATGTAACTAATGGGATAAGAGCTTCGCCTGAACTGTAAAATCAACTGCAGCCTTTACAAAAAAATGTCGGCTCAAGTCGGGGATATTAGCTTTACAGGTGCTTTAATTTACCATGAATCATCGAAGATGTATGGGTCCCGCGACCGTACCGTTGTCCCTCGACAAGTGACACGCACACCGCATTCCAGCTGAATCCTGCCGATGATGTGTGGCCATGAATATGGCTGGCTGATACGTAATCCACAAATACACAATTAGTGTGGAGCCAAAGCATTTAATTTATCTGCAAAGTTCGGAATCATACAACTTACTCTACAGTGGATAGCCGATCGTGATTTTTATAATGTGCATGCAAACATATGTGGGGCGGCAAGACGGGAACAAATTCACAAACCTAGTACATAAACGTTGGTACCTAAATACCTACCTAATACTTGCAAGTCAAATACATCAGAACTGATACCCAAGTTCGTTCTAGTCCCCAATCCTTCAAAGAAAAAAACTTGCAAATCTCAACGCCGAAGGCCCAACGCCTCGCGGGGGAAGCGGAAAGCAATTCCCGGGCGCTGAAAACAAAAAAAGGCGGCCTGTATAGCTATACGGACATGCATGCATGCAACTCCACGATTTATACAAAACCGAAACCAAAACCAACAAAACCCCCCACCTTAGCCCCGCCGTTCATCCCCTCACTGACCAATCTCACGACGATTTAATTGACTACGCACATTCCCAACGCTCATCACTTGCAGGCTTACGGCTTTGTAAAAACTAGTGAAGCAGACTACGACTGCGTTACAGAAAGTCAGATTGGTGGTAGATGAGAATGTGGTTTTGGGCGCATTTCGTCATCTGTATGGTTGCGAACTCTGCTCAGACGGAGAATTTATTATTTGCAGAGAAAACGAGCGCGTTTGGCCCATCGATTATTGTTTAGATTCTTAACGTAGTGATGACTATTCCTTGGGTGCACGGGGATATGGGACTCTGGTAATCATCCAGGACGACCGTTTGATTGACGACCCTCTTCATTGGACTTTACAAATATGAACATGTGCCGTCAGCGTGGTAGGTTCGGGGTAGATGCATGTACAATTATATATTAGGTCTTGTTGGCCTGGTTTGGAAGCATACATATTAAGTGATATTCGAAATCAGTTTTACCACCAATCTCTTTTTCCTTACTTCGCGAGGCTCCATCAAATACGCGTTAGTTATTAGGATATCCTTCCGCCATCCCTTATCTTGGTCCTGGTACAATTCGGGCGAATCAAGTGCTAGAGCCAACGCACAGACCATCCACTGATCTGGGTGGGACTAATATCATTCGAGCTAATTCCGAGTTACCGCCACACTCGGCCGGATCTTTTGGGTGATGGTAAAACTCGTTCGTTGAACACGAGCTTACTTAGGGAAATGATCTGCGCGTTATGAGAGGTCTAATCGATGCAGGCCAACATTCCGAAGCGCATTGAAAGCTTAACGATTTTAAATTTTCATAAAGTCAGGATTCGGTTCCACATACTCGAGCCTAATCCGTGATCATTCCCAGTGATTATTTCCCTCCTCCATCCCTTTAATCATTCTGGGTACATCAAAACATCCCACCATGCCCAAGTCCAGGTTTAACAACAATATTATCTCTACCGCAGTTCCGATTACCCACATTTATTTAGGGGATGATGAGACAGATTACCTCTGGAAATGTTTTACTGGAGAGATAAAGCATGTTCGCCTCGCATTTGAGGATCAAAATGGCCGAAACCGGGACCTGCAATACAAAATTGCTGAAGATGTGGACTTCCTCACTAATGAAGGCGTTGTGTTATTGGAAGATCAACGTGAGCAATTTTATAATACGGGATTAAAGAATCATCACTGAATAGCTATTTCTAGGGGTCCATAAGTTTTACCTTCAACAGGGCAGCAAAAAGACATGGCTACTTTAAGTCGCGCAGGGGCGAAAGTGGAGAGACTCATACCACCAACGTCAATGAGTAGCTCTAACGAAAAGGGCGCATATTGAAAAGCAATTAATGGGAGATAATACAAACTGTACGATGAATCTGAGAAGAACTTGAACATTAGGTTGTATTGAGCGTAGCAAAAGCACGCATTCGTATGTATATCTATATACCAAACGTCAGTATTTCAATTCAACATCAACGCAGAATCTAGATTTTGGCCTGGTCTACTCAAAATCGCCTTGGTTTCCAATGTATTATCCATGTTCGCGTGGTGATTATGGAGAGTAGGAAGGCAATAACCCCGCCAAATCGCCCGACCATATATTCTGTGTTGTTTGCAGAAGATATCCTGTGAAGGGCTAAAGCAGGACTTAATTCAATCTAGCAGGAAAGCAGCAGGTTCCGCGACAACTCGCGGTGTGAATTATACAGTAGTAGTTAGATCTTGAGCGAGCTTGTGTGGTGGGAGAGTTCATGTATATCCCGGGTCTTTCGTACACATGTCAGTGACTAGCCTCGTGATATGAGGGTGTGACTTATCAAAGCTACATTAAAAAAGCCAGGTGGGCGGATGTATTGCCTAATCTGACCTAGTACGCTTCAAGGTAGGGCACTGGGAGATATTTGAGAGAACACTAACTTGAATCTGACTTCGAATATCGCTGTACATTGGGATTGGCATCAGTTTTCTCTTAAAACCCCTGTCTAAGCTCGACCATCTAGGAGCATATACTATGTATGGAATCAATGGTATGATTATTTTTATGGGTAGAACAAGCAAGTCCAACCATTCATAGATCTGAATAGCCCTTCCTTGTCAGACAAACCGGTAGATCCTTGCTTCCGTACTTAAGCTATGACCAGAATCGACCTGATGCCTCCCTTGCGTCCGTCCTCGTGAACACGGCGTGTCTGGTGGCGCATTTCTCATGGGACCCGTGCAAAGGGAGGGTAAATGTTTGAATAATCCTTATTTTATATCCTAGTTTGGTATGGGGTATATGTGCGTTTATATTATTTATTTGTTTTTAGTGTAGAGAAATAGTCGTTAGTGTGAAGGGATAGACTCAGGTATTGGTGATTAGAGTTGAACATTAGGGTTGTGATTAATGCTATAAACAGGTATTATTATGCCATCCCAAGGCAGACAGGGCCCGATGTCCGAACAATAGAAACAGGAGAGAGTTTTACGGAGTTTTGAGATAAAAATTAGTCCAAAAGTGGTAATCTTTTGAAAGATCCGTATCATGGTAATACATATAAAGAGTCTACAAATGAAAATCGTAGTAACACCCAATAAACACAAAGCGTGAGGCTTTTGACAAATGTACAATTGGGTTTCAGAGACCCGAGCACGAAGGGGAATCAAGAGAAAAGAACGGTAGGAAGTAGAGACTGACTAGTAAATAAGAGTCGTAACTCTTGCTAATGCAGAGGGGCGGGAGGGGAATTTGAGAGACTTGGGGGTTTTTCCCTATTTAGTTGAGCAACCTGTTGAGACCCATGCGGGTGACACAGGCAGGCTCAACTCTGGCCATACAGGGATTAGGCAAGTCAGGTGGCTGATGCCATGAAGACATGGTAGGCTGGTGGGACATCCAGCGCTTGGAGACAATCTCAGACAGAGACTCCAATGAGTGGGCTGGGTAGCTGGGCGAGTCTTCAATGACGGGCAGAAACATAAGTTGCGGCGAGGGAATAGTGCGGGGCGAAGAAGAGCAGGTGGACTTGTAGTCTGAGACCATGGATGGTGGCTCACTGGAGGTTGCGTTGGAGACTTCCGAGAAAGCGGGCGAGGTGAGAGGGGTCTCGATCGGTCGATTGATGAAAGGAAGAGTGTAAGTGGGGGAAATTTGACGGAAGAAACCATGGATTCTCTGCGAGAGTGGGAGAATTGTTCAGAGATAGAAGACTCGATAGAGTCAGTGCAGGATGGGTGAGAAAACGATATGGAGAAGCGGGGGCGAGAAGGGGTCATAATTGAGGCTCGGGTATAGGGGGCCTCGATGCGGCTAGAGTAAGTGCGAGAGGTGGTGAGGGTTGACAGCCCACGCTTCTTACGGTTCATATTGCCATTCCAACAGGCCTTAACTGCGTTGTCGCTGCGGTTCCCGAGGCGGTGGGCTATCTCTGCCCAGCGCTTTCCTATTTCGTTGACCATGCGCTCGATCACCAGACCCTCGTCGGCTGAGATGGGTTCCCGGTTGAGGTAAGGCTTAAGGTTTTGATGGAAACGCTCCCGACATTGCTTGGGTGATCGGTAGTACATGTGTTGAGAGATGCGAACCCAGTTGAACCAGTTGAGTGAGAAGTTGATCTTCCTCTGGGACCCAAGGTCCACGGCGATTTGAAGTAGGCATTGTAGAGGATTCAAGTTGGCGAGATGGTGAGAGTTGAAGAGGCATTGATGTGAATTGATATGGAAGGAAGTGTGAGCAATGGGAAGAGTACTTCAAGAAAAGGAAGCATCCAAGTACCAGGGGGACGGGTCCAAAAGAAAAACCTGGTCCCTCTTTGAGAAGAAGATCACGATCCAAGATCTCGGGGCTGACAGTTCGGAACAATACATGATTTTTCGATGTAACGTAATTCCCATACGAGCTGGACACCTAGCCGAGCTGGACACTCAAAACACCCTAGTAAATGCGATTATATTCTACACTGATATCTCAACAACCACGCTTTTAGTGGAGAGAAAGAAGGAAATCGCAGATTTGAATCCCATCCATGTACGTCATGGGGATATGGTTGAGATTGCAATCTACAAACACTTCCATCATATATAATTGGCAAGTGTCTCCAATTTCCTTTTCAGAAGGAAATAAAGGCTGGAAGTGGTGAAGTTTGTATACTTCGAGTGCCAAGCATTCGCGCTTATATAAAAGCCTCAGACCCACCTGGACGCCCGGAGATCTGCCACTTCGCTCTCTTCCTCTTGTTATGGGAATAGTCATGGACGACATTCACGCACCTACTGTCGCCTCCGGACCTTCGTCCGGGGCTGCCCCTCGCGACTTGTCTAAGCTGTCGATGACCGATCTGATGCAGGAGAAGCAACGCCTGGAGGATGAGCTCCAAGCTCTGAGCGCTGTGCTCGACTCGGTTAGACTCCCTAGCTTTCTTCTGTCGTGGCTACTAACCCACTCCCTTGTTTTTTTTATTCTTTTCCAATAACCGTTGATAAAGGCATTTATCAATTTTTTTTAATTTTGAATAGATCTAAAACATACAATGCTGCGGTATCAAAGATCACCGTTAAATTACGTTGCTAGGAGCTAGAAATATATATATCTCGATCATCAAGTGATAGAAATTCATCAAACTCTTTTATGAGTCTAGATACTACCTAAAGAGTATGTGTTGAGAAGGATAAGTCCCTACAATTTATGGTTGTTGTGATACTACGTTGTAATTTATTGCATTTACTATGGTGTTTTGGGTGTCCAGCTCGGGTAGGTGTCCAGCTCGTATGGGAATTACGTTATTCAAATATCTAGCTTATCTAAGCATTCATATTTAGGGCCTCCGCTTGCCAATCTAGGAATGATTTAGAATTAGATATAGTAATCGGATGATTTAGGCTGAGTATTTGCTTCTGCTTGGTTAAACAATCTCGTAGCAAATTGATGGCTTCGGCATTGTGAGCTGAAGATTTCTAGGTGAAAGCGAAATTAGCCAGCGTTTTAGGATGAGTGGTGCATTGAAGTTGTTGGGTCTCGAGAGGAGAGCGCAATGGGCCAGTTTCGGCACGCTGGTGTGGTTGTCGAAGGTTGATAAAATAATAGATCCTTATTACTCTATTGACTGCGATCATAAAAAATTCATGGATCTGTTTGATGCACATCACCGGGTGTTGAGATAGATAAATGTAGTGTTCTTGTTGACGTTACTATCAAAAGTGGGAAACCCATCTATTTAAATGTACATCGCTAGTCTCGCCACACAAGCTTTGACCACCGTGATATTCAACACTCCCACTCGATGGCAACCATCTCCTATGGTGCCAGTGACACTTCAATCGCGGTTGAGACAGGTCCCATTAAAACCTTCCAATAACTTCCTTGGGAAGAAAAGAAGGAAAGGGTATCCTGCACCTTGGACTGGTTCAAGTGGAAGTGGAGGCGTGATCACTGGATGCCAAGTTCTTTTCGAAACCACTCAAAGCTTTGCCGAGTCAAAGGTTTGGTAAAACCATCAGCAATCTGCTCTGTGGTTGGGACATAACCAAGCTGCACTCTTTCGCTATCTTGGACCTCTCCTTGCCATTTGCGTTGGATTTCCATATGTTTTGTGCGGGAGTGGTATTGTGAATTTGAAGCAAGAGCGATGGCACCTTGGTTATCACCGCAGATGATCGTGGCGGTTGTTCCTTGATCCATATTCAATTCATTGAGAAGTCTTCTCAGCCAGACTGCCTCTTTGGTGGCTTGCGTTTGCCCTAGAAACTCGGCTTCGCAGGTTGAAAGGGCAACAACGCCCTGGCGCTTCGATTGCCAACTGATTGCCCCGCTTCCAATGTTGAAGAGATAGCCAGCTGTGGATCGTCTCGTGGCGCGACATCCTCCCCAATCCGCATCTGTGAAGCCTCTCAGTGTCTGAAGCTGACCTTGGTAGGTGAGTCTGAGGTTCTTTGTTCCTTTGAGATACCGCAGAATGCGACGGGCCAGTTTTATGTGCTGGGGCCCAGGGTTTGAGAGGGATCTGCTAGCGACAGAGACCGCATACGCGATGTCCCCCCTGGTTCCAAGCATGATATACATCAGTGATCCGACAATGCGTTGGTAAGAGGCCCTTTGGTCTGGAAAGCAGGTGTAGTCTGGACTATTTTCCAGAAGTGGTGAGGTTTCGATCGGCGTACTGACGGGAGCGCAGTTGTCAATTCCAAATTGATGAGCGATGTTGTCAATGTATGCCTCTTGGCTGAGGAGCAGTCTCCTGTTTTGACGGTCTCGCTGGATGGACACCCCGAGATAGTAGCTGCATGGCCCCAGGTCCGTCATCTGAAACCGGTTTCTCAGGCTCCGCTTGATCCTCTTGATCTCAGCGATGCTCGGACCCACGATCAGGAGATCATCAACGTATACTGCGATGTACACACTGCTCCGGACAAAGATACCAAGATCGGCGGTGATTGGCTCGAAGCCAAGGCTGCGAAGGAAATTCGTCAGGGTCTGGTACCAGATCCGAGGGGCTTGCTTCAAGCCATAGAGGGCCTTTCGAAGCTTGCAGACCCTTGGCGTGCCGTCCGTCATGTGGTGGGGCTGTTCGACGTAGATCTCGTGGTCGATATCTCCGTACAAGAATGCGGTTTTGACATCCATTTGTTCAATCTCCAAGTCCAGGGCCGCTCCGATGGCAAAGAGCGCCTTGTAGCTCATTGGCTTGACAACCGAGGCGAAAGTTTCATCATAGTCGGTCCCTTCAGCTTGTGTGAATCCTCTCACTACCCATCGGCTTTTGTGGCGGATGATTTCACCATGCGACCCGCGCTTGAGTTTGAAGACCCATTTACCGCTGAGCACCCGCCGATCTTTGGGAGGATCCACAAGCTCCCACGTTTGATTTTGGTGGAGTGACTTCACTTCTTCACGCATGGCCCTTTCCCAATCCATCCAGCTTGCGTCGTTTTTGGCTTGGCTCAGACTTTTGGGTTCGAATGGTTCCGTCTCCTTTGCCGCCATGGTCAAGAATGTGGGAATGACGTTCTCTTCAGGTACGTTCATGAGCGCAAGCTCGTCGTCCTCATCGAGATTGTTCAATGTGGCTTCCGAAGCCCGAAGTTTTAGTTCAGGGTGGTGATCTAATGTTCCTGGTTGAACTTCATGGACTGGCTGATGGAGCTCTGAATATCCTTGCCATTCTAAAATTGGCCCTCGTTGGTGTTGCTGGTCGCCACCGGATGGTAAATCAATCCCAAGGACAGAGTCCTGATAATCAGGTGATAGTGGCCCGAGGGTGTTCCCTCTCCGTGTGGACGATAAGGTTATGCCTCCTTGTGTAGCAACCGCGTCGCCCTGTTGCTGGTCGGCACCGGGTGGCGATTCGATCCCAAGGACAGAATCCTGATAAGCAGGTGATAGAGGTCCGAAGGTGTTCTCACTCCGTGTGCACGACAAGGTCCTGTCTCCCTGTACAGCAACAGCTGGCTGCGAGTCATCGTCACTCGTTTGGGACGACGCTTGAGTTGGCGAGTTATCGTCACTCGGCTGGGTCAGCACTCGCGAGTTATCATCACTCCGAGGCAGTGTGTGCGAGATATCGTTTCTCGGCTTAGGTAGGGCCCGCTCTGGGGGATCCATCGACAATGGGTGCCCCGAGGCAGGCACGGATGCTTGCCGTATTCCTACCGACGGTTGGTTTATTAGTCCCACCGTCCCACTTCCCCCTGCGACAGCAGCCGTTGCCTCAGGTGAGCCGTCTTGTCTGGCTCCCACATCTTCTATAGTCTGTGTGGAGGGAGTTGTAAGGACTTCTTGAAATTCAGCGTTTGGAGTTCCAACGATTCTTCCGTCTCCCAGTAGGATACGGTAGTTGGTATTTCCTTCATAGCCTAGCAGAATGCATGGCTTTGTTCGCGGATCCGTGAGCTTCTTTCTTTGCTTTGGCGGAATCAAGAATTCTCCTTTTGATCCGATCACTCTAAGTCTCGAGAGGTCAGGTCTGTCGCCATACCACGCTTGGTACGGAGTCATGTTGAGCTTCGACGACGGCGACCGATTCGAGAGGAAAGCTGCAGTTCGAGCGATTTCCGGCCAGAACTTAGACGGTAATCTTGCATGTGCCAGCGTAGGCCCAAGGCGGTCATAGATTGTCTTATGCGCTCTTTCGGCAACCCCATTCTGCTGATGTTGGTCTACGCCTGTCACCTCAGCTTGGATTGCGCGCGAGAATAACATGAATTTCATCTCGTCTCCCATTTGTTCAGATATCCGGTCCAGACGTATTCGATGGCATTTTCGCTCGGGGCGCTCGTTATGGTCGAGGAAGAACCGCAGTGATTCTATGACGAACTGTTGTCTTCGCGGTATAGGGATTATCTCGATCCAGCCCGTGAAGTCGTCAACGATGGTCAGCCAGTAACGGCTGCCATCGAGGCCCTCATCAAATGGCCCTGCGACGTCAATATGGAGGAGGTCCATTGCGTGTTCTCCTCTCCTGCTGACTCTTGATCTTCTGTGAGACCTTTCGATCATTCGCCCCTGCAGACAGGGATTGCATGGATGACGTGCCTCCATATCCCGCACGCCATGAGCCTGCTGCTTGAGTCGCCGCAGATTTGCATCACTCATATGGGCAAGCCGGATTTGCATCACTCATATGGGCAAGCCGGCTGTGCCACAGAGACATTTGTGGGCTAACATGGTAAGAGGGGAAAGTCAGACTTGCCCACAGATCGAGTGCGTAGACTCCATGATATTCACTGGCAGTGAACAGATTGTTTCCGTTTGATCTGTTGCGAAGGATAGCATCCCGGCTTGAGAATTCGACTTTTGCCCCTCGTTGGAGAAGCTGGAGCACTGAGATGAGATTGGCATGTGCGGATGGAACATACAGGACGTTATCAAGCACTAGCCATTTCTTTCTGCCGCGTACATTGCACAGGATATTGACTATTCCCACTCCCGAGGGAGCTGTTGAGGTATCAATGCCTCTCAGTGAAGGCCCATGATTTGGACAAACCTGGAGGCGCTATTGCAAACGTGTTGAGCGCATCCACTATCCACGATCCATGCGTCACGGATAGAGGGGTCTTCATCGCCATCATTATGGGAACATGGCCAAACAGGGCGAGATTGTCCTCGATGTCGTTTCCAAATGCTTCGTTGACATCCTTCCTGGAGACTTTCGTCGCCATGAAGGTTGGTTTCTTCGGGTCATTGGGACCACTCGCATCGTCGTCCTCGTCGTCCGTGAAGGTCCGTCTCTTCGACTGTCTGCGAGCGCATATGTGCATTCTGCCTGGTCTTGGCTTCGGTCCGTCTCCGTCTTTCTTCTGGATCTTTAGTCTCGGGTTCTTGGTGAAACATTCGGCGTCGATGTGATATGGTTTTCGGCAGAAGGAACAATATGGGACGTTATCAATCTCTATTCGACAAGTACTTCCGTCCGACGACGGTATGAGCTTCTTTTCACCTGGCCCACGGACTAGGGCGAGAGCAGGAAGTGCTTGCGTCTCCATTGCTTGTTTGCCCGATTGCCCTTTTCTATGCTCTTCCTCAATGGCCTTGTTCTCGATATAGTCAAATGTAGGTGCTGCTTTGATGATACTCCCATTTGCGTCTCTTTCGTTGACAAGGTCCATTTGTCGGAAGATATGATCACGGAAGCTCTCGTACTCGGGGCCGAGTGCTTGAACAAAGAAAAATGTTCGCTCAATTTCAGAGGTCACGCAATCTGGGTCAAGAAGGAGTTTTTCAGCATGAATCTTCCTGATCTCTGCCCCTAGCGCTTGGGTGCTCCCACACTTATCTCTTGTGAGGGCCATATATCGTCGTTGGAGGCTAACATACGTGCCAGAGCCTTCCGGTTTGAAGTTGTCCTGGACTGCCTTAAGCAGTACTTGCACTCGAGATATCTCAAAGGCATTAATTCTTTGCGCCGCATTGTGTGTCAGCTTTGCCGTAATCATCGCAGAATAGAACTTTTGGCGGTGAACCCATTGCCATGCTCCTTCCTCTTCTATCGGTGGAGTCACTCCATCGTCGGCAACCGCAGATATCCGAATGAACTCATTGACCTTCTGGTTCCACCGAGACCAGTCGCTGGCATTATCTAATGTTGGGATTCCGTTGTAGAACGTATTGATTCCGAATTGCTCGAACTTTGCGATTTCAGTCATGTCGGCAAAGGATGCTCTTCAGAGCTGAAGAATTCAGGACTTTATATGTCGTTGGGCCGATCAGAGGTAATTGATTCACTATTTGATGACTGAGGCGAGCGCACTTCCAAGCCAAAGAGTTCAAGGCTTGATGCGGCACTGGGAAGACTTGAGACAATGGAAATGCTTCGATCTGATGAACTTGGCGTAGGCATCCATGATGGAGGAGTATAGTCGCTGTCCGGAACTCCTTGTAGATTAAGGCAATACTTGTACGACCTAAAGAAGTGGGGAAAACGGTGTCGATCAACAAGATATTCCGGCTTCCTTGGAGGGAAGATTGCCGGTCTGTTTGGCCTGAGTTTGTAACGACTCGAATTGCTGTTGTCGGAAATGAATGGATCTCCTCCACCCGCAGGGCTTGGTGATGTGAAGGCCAAAGTCTCAACGTTGTTTCCCGACTGAACGAGAGCACGATAGCGACTTGTCCCCCGTGCGATACTGGAACACGTGGGTTGAGCTTCGGGGAAACCTGAGAGGTCTTCCCCCAGTGTTGCGAGGAGCGATGATTGGAGTGGTGATCCTCGATGCTCGGCGTATGCGGTCTTCAGTGGACAGGCGCCAGTAGGCTCCCAAAAGTGCGTTCGGAGAAAGTGATGGGAAGTAGGACGTCTGTATTTTCTTGAAGCGCCATTGGCGAGTGTATCGGAGGTATGAGAGGATGTTCAGCTCCTCATCCGTCCAAGAATGTCTCTTTTGTAGTGTTTTCCGCATTTTCCTTCCGAAATGGCATTGTGGCTGGTGACTCTAAGAAGATAGATACCGAGTTTGCTGCAAATGGTGACATGTCCCAGCAGTAGGTAACATTTGCGGTACCTCATGCCAGTTTCATAGTGTAACCGTAGCAATAATGGCATACTGTCTATGGCGATTTGACGGAGAAACTCTCGAGCCTTGCTGCAAACGGTGACATGTTCCGGCTATGGAGGCAACCTTGCGATACTGTGTGCCCTTATGGCAGTGTCACAGTAGCAATGATGGCATGCTGTTTATAGCTTTTCAGTGAAAAGAAATTCATCCGAATTATTGCTTCAAGAGGGGGTTGAGCAATAGGACTTCGTATGTTTCCATCAAGTTACTGAGAATATATGATCAGTTTCTGAAGTTCATGGAGTAGTCTCTTGACAGAGAAGCTTAGCTGTAGTGGCAGGTAAGAGATTTTGATATTTAGATGCCTGCGTGCCCAAAGGTAAAGCCACCCGGGCTCATAACCTGTTGAGATAGATAGTTGTAGTGTTCTTGTTGACGTTACTATCAAAAGTGGGAAACCCATCTATTTAAATGTACATCGCTAGTCTCGCCACACAAGCTTTGACCACCGTGATATTCAACACACATCACCGGGGTCGGCACGAATAACGAGTATATTCGTATTCGTTATTCGTGCCGACCCTATACTGTTTACAATTGCAGCCATTTCTCTCAACAAAGTCCTCTCCGTCATTGTTGCCTCCTGACAGGCTCAACCTGACTTCCGACATTTTTCCGAGCCAACCTCAGAACATAGCTCCGCACCAAGGACATTTTCTTGAGACCACATATTTATTTTGCTCTTCGGCAAATAGAACTGACCGTTGATCAAAGACCCACCCAGCTACAGGCCCTGACGTGTTTTCACGATACTTCAGCCTGGTGGGCGGAAGCTGGAAGATCGCCTTATCCCCGCCGCTAAAAATGCCGATAGGAGTGCTGTAGTAGTTTACCAAGGTCTTCGTGGGGATCTGTCTTATCATCACCACATCATCGTATAAAGACGACATCCTTTTCTTTATCACTATTTTCAACCCCAATACCCTGCACTGCCTCACTATCAATGTTAATTTAGCGCAGTTCGGTTGGCGAAGTCACACCAGCGAGGCATATAGTCATGAGTATGCCCGGAGTGATGATGTTATACTCTTGAGCATGTAAACAAACTTATGAGTATATAACATTGTGTCTTGGCTGGTGATGCTGCTACTTCTTCCCGTTCAACTAAAAAATCAAGTTTTCGTCATTTCCAAAGTTGCAGGAACAAATTGGCTAATCTTCGCTACAATTTCCTCAGTATGGTATGGCTTGTGAATTATATCGTCCATCCCAGCCTCGAGCATTTCTGACCTTTGCGCCGCTCTGACGTTCGCTGTCACCCCCAAAATGGGAATATGTGTATCGTTTTCATTCTCAAGCTCTCGAATACGCTTGGTTGCTGTATTACCATCCATCACAGGCATTTCTTGGTCCATGAGGATGCAATCGAGCTTGCTGTTCTGGAAAGTATTCAGAGCCTCTAGGCCATTACTGGCCTCCATTATTTGGAATCCCAGTGATCTCAATTTTCGAGAAAGGATTCTTCTGTTGATGATATTATCCTCAACCACGAGTATGTGTCGACTGGTATTTTTGTCATTTTGGCTTTGATGGATATCATTACTGCGAACGATTGCTTGCCGCGCAATCTCATGGCTATGCTTCGTTCTTTCATCCATAGAGCCGCTCCGATTCAATTCGTCAATTTGACTCAGCGGGGGGTCTTTTGGTATTCGAACGTCTGGAGTCGGTCCTTCGACCTCGGACAATTCCAAGCCTAATGCTTGAATGTTGTGAGATAACTTGTCCACTTCCGAAACATTGTCCACATCAACGCCGTCTCCATTGGTGTAAGCTCCCTTGCGCACTCGGAAGAAAAAGCCAAATGTGCTTCCCTCGCCTTCTTTCGAACTGACGCCAATCTCCCCACCATGTAGATGGCACAGTTTCCTACTAACGTTAAGGCCTAGACCAGAGCCGCCATATATTCCTTCCGTCCTTGGCGTAGCTTGGTTGAATCTTTCAAATAGCCGCCTCTGGGCATGATCATTGATGCCAATACCAGTATCTTTGACAGCGAGCATGACATATACAAATTCTCCGTCGCCCCATTCAGTTGACGCTGTCTTATCAAGGCCGAGCGCAGTCTCGCCTGTTCGAAAGAAAACAACGTTCGGCGGGTATGACGAGGGCCGGCCTTTCGAAGCTCCAATTGAGACCCGTATCTTCCGCGTATTTTTGGAATTGGCTGTGAATTTGATTGCATTGGAGAGAAGGTTGATAAGAACTTGGCCCATTCGGTCAAGGTCGGCCATCACCCATTCAATTCCACAACTCTCGTAAGAAACGTCGGCTTGGTAATCGAATTGGATGTCATTCCTCTGCAGCTGCGGCCGAAATAGAGAAATTGGGCCCGTAAAATTCTTTTTGGGTTGCACTCTGCGAGGTGCTAGATGCAGCATCGAAGCGTCAATTTTTGAGAACGTAAGGACGTCGTCAAGGATTCTTTTCTGGTGCGAAATACACAGACATATGGTCTCTGCGGACTCTGTGATACGCGAAAGAGGCACTGTGTGGTTTTCTCTTTCGCGTATCGCCTCAATGATATCCTCCGTACAGTGTAATATCGCAGAAAGAGGGTTTCGTATCTCATGACTAATCATGTCGATAAATCGCTCTTGAACTTGTTTGTGTTCCTGCGCATCTTTGACGAGCTGTCTCTGAAAAAATTCAGCCTTTTTCTCTAGTGTAATATCTGCGACCGTCACAATGAATCCGCCATGAGTATCAAGGCCGAAAGCGTGCTTATTCGCAAGAGCATTTAAAGTCAGCAGACACCATGTGTCCTGGTTCCGAGTCCGGTATTCTACGCGCAGCGCTGCTTCGGATGACGCGGCCCTATTGAAACAACCATTCACCCGGCCGACGTCGTCCGAGTGGATTGACTGCAGCCAGCAATCTAGAAACTTTGCATCTGAGCACGGAATCAGCGTTCGGAAGTTTAGGTTCCCGGAAACCAGCTCATAATTCTGATTAAGAATTGCCAAACCATGTGGAATGACGTCGGCTAGCTGTTGCGCCGATGCGGTCGGGTGAAAATCGAGGCTCATTTCGCTTTGTGCAAGGCGGTATTTTATCTTTTGTTCCCAGAAAAGTCGGCGCTGAGTTGGCGAGCACATGGGTTGGTAATTTGTAGGCTCGTAATTGAGCCGACTGCAAATGATATCTTCATGAATTCGAGCGATCAATGAGTGCGCGAGGTAGTGTAATTTTCGCTTGTCCAGAGTTGTCGGATTGTCGCTTATCTAATGCAGAAAAACCGGCGACGCCTTTGCGGAGCATACTTCATCCGCTTTTCCCCTACAGCAGCTTTTTGGGGATTCGGCCCACAAGCTTGACTTTTGTGTCTCCTTTATTCTCGATATTCATCTCCGCACCGGTTGTTGAGATTCGGATTTTAACCATGGCCAACCAAACTATTGCTGTCGTAAGTATTTGGTCGAATGCAAACACCGGATTTACCTCCATTGGTTCAGGTAAAACAGGCAATACGTTCCATGTCAGACCTATCAGGCGTAGAAGCATTTGATGAGGAGCGCTCGAATTACCATTCGTTGTCTTAGCTAAACATCGTGATGCGATAGACTGTTCCTTGCGTAGTCAGAGTCATCGCTTTGGTCGGCGATTGCAAGTCACTCAATCCCACACTACTGTATAATGCCTCCATCCAGAACGGTCGCGATAGTCAAAGTGGATTCGCAACAAAGACAACCAAGTAATTGAGGGCTTTGGGTCAAGAACATCCAATCGGCTCTTCTACACATGGGAGCCGTCGTACCTTTGTGACTAATCCCTGCCAACAACTAAGTGAGGTTGTTCTAATACCGCAATTATCTGCAGCGACACCGTCAGGGCTATTTGAGATGCCCACCGAGCAAAATTGTTGGTCATGTTGAAAAACAGTGAAGTTGAGTCAGTTGAAAATGTTGGCTCACTGTTGAACATTCAATCTTCTATTTTGAGGCAATGAAAGCTATTCATTTTTAATTATATCAATAGCTAGAAATTTTCATCACTACGCATCATAAATTGTGTGTTTTCCGGGGCTCGCTTGAATGTTGATTGTCTGAGGCGTGTGTAGTGCTATGTCCTTCAAGACTCTGTCTGGATTGCGGAAGCGTTAGGCGACGGTCGCGCGAGCGGGTGCTCGATTTGTCGTTGGCCGGAGTCAACTTTTGAACTTATGACCAGTGTGGAGATACGTTGTTCGTTAACTTTTCTTATCTAAATGTTATTCTATCTACCGTGGGAATTCATGAGTCGTTCAACGAATGTAAAAAAATGCTGTGCTCAATATATATCCTTTGGCGCGTTCACCCCAGCAAGAACTAAAAAATGAGATACATTCATCGTACACAAAACACCACAGAATTCACATCAGCACCATCATGCCGGACTTCTAACAGAGCGCTAAAAGTCACTAAAATTATCGCTTTGTATGCCAGAAGTGTCCGCACGCCGCTGCAAGGATGTGGGTCCCTAGCCGTATAATCTTGTACGAACCATGTCTGTATGTCAAAGGTTTGATTTTGATGTACAGAAAGGCCTTTGATTTTTATATTGGGTATTATTTTTACAATGGGTATTATTTTTGTTACGAAACTTTTCCTTTAATTTATATATACAGGATGGATCGAAATCAGTTTCACCACTTCGCACTCATGAGATTTTTGTCGGACACTACTCCGAAACACACTACTATACTTCAGGCTTAGCCTGTACTCAAATATTGAATCGTACTGTAATCGACTCTCACGTGATATGTAGTTCTATAAAATACTTGTAATGCTCTTGCAATGAAAGCTGACGTATCCGAATGGTCTCCACCCTTGATTGTAAGTATGGAATTTTTGCGGCGCATTGTATCCGAGGTTGCTGTGGACTATCCGAATCTAACTATTGATTCATCTTTGATGTCACCGTGGGAGGTACAAGGTAATGTCCAAGCACGATCAGGAGTTGGTGCGAAACCCTGCTGGCGTAAAGAGGCTCTTCGTATTGGTTTGTCTCAATCGGATTTCTAGAACATGTATCTTTTTCGCCTGGTTTGCCAAACGGTCTATCATGTGCTACATGGCGATTGTACGAGTCACCGCTTCCCCCCACTCTCCTCCCCAACAATTTCCCCCATCACCTTTCTGTGCACAGACTCAGTAATCAACGCCTTGTTCCTGGTGCTCTCAAGACTCAAGGGAAAGGGCCAAACAGCCTGGATCATGCTTCTGAAACAATTCTACTGCACACGCTGCGCACTCAGCTTTAGAACTTTCTTCGGAAGGCTGCAACACATCCACGATTCTCCATATCATAATGTCTGCTACTTCTGTTTCCCACCACAAGACTTCGCAAAATGGGTTGAGCTTGATGAGCACCTGGGAACTGAACACAACTACTGCATCTCTTGCGACATTCAATATGAAACAGCCAACCAGCTGACTCAACACGACGTGGAAGAGCATAACATGTGTGTCACCTGTCGACAATTCTTCGAGTCTCTATCGAGTTTGTCTCAAGTTAGTTTATACCTGATTACCCACTTCGGAGCACTCAAGAGTCTCATTCTATTTCTAGCACATGACTACCCACATTAAAAAGTCATCTGTCAGCGTGAAGGATATGCCAAGATTCCAATGACTTTTGCACCTCAATTGGTAATATATACGGAAATCAGTGCTTGTTGGCCATTATTTTAGAGCGGTGACGTATTAATGACATACACAACATACGACCATCCTTTCATGATCGAAGGAGAGGTGAATGATAAGGCTATTTTCTTCATCCTAGACGATGTGCCTGCAACGATGGCCTTTTTTCCCTCTGCTATAATTCGAAAAAAAATTGGCACTTGGCGTGGCTAAGTAATAGAGGAGCATAAGTGATTATAACTTGAGATACATCGCACCTTTGATAACGACTGTGTTGCAGATGTTGGTTCGTTGCGGGCTCGATTGGCGGGACACCTTTTCGAGTTCTAGTATCAAGGGTGACCTTAATAAAAAGAAGTTGACTCTGGAGGTCTTCGAATGTGAGTGTAGAGTGGTCGTGGAAGTTATAGACAAACTAAAAGACATCATGATTCGTGAGACCACATTCCTCGAATCTACCTGGAACATGATTTGGGAGATCAAGTATAGCCAGACTGCTCTCTAGCATCAGAGCGAGAAGCTCTACGAGGCGATCTGGGTTCTGCGAAAACTACCTAAAGCGACAGCCAGTGGTTTTCGGAATGGAAGCCAAACTTCGAACCATGGCATGAGAGAATTTCCATACAGATTAACCAGGCTCGTTGCGAGGAAGGATCTCTAGCAGACATCTGGTTCAGCCATTGAATTGCTTTGTTGACTCGCTGGATAATGCCTGTTGCCTTGGGTGTACCTATATGAGTGAAAGTGAAGAGCTCGATGAGGAGGACAGTAATCGACTGCATGATGTTGTGGAGGATAGACCACCACGGAGCCAGATCATATAGCCAAGAGCAATTTGGCTCATCGGGCAAGAGATCGAGCATTTGACACGCCGCCTGAAGGCATATTGTCGCTAGATTATTGGAGAGAGTCCCTGGGGATCTTGCTTCCATTGTAGGTCCAGACAGACGGAGTGAGGGCTGTGTGATGATTAATTTAGTGGCGTAGAATCGGAAAGCGAGGATCGCACGCTGTTGTGCGGATATCTGAGTTGCATTCGTGTTCGTACTTGCGAACTGAAATTCGGTTGGTAGATGAGAAAGCCAGTCGTCGGCATAACTGTTGAGCTTAGAAATTACGGTTTCAATGTCATGGCACGACCGGCGTGTCTCTCTAGGGGCGTACAGGTTGTTGATTGCCTCTCGCAAGAGATGGGCTAGATCCACGGCGTATAAGAAGCATAGAGAAGTGTTTGGCGCCAGACCGGTGCTAGTTGTGTGCGTTTCAGCAATATCTTTAGGTGTTCGTTTCTTTCCGTTCAGCTGACCAGGCCCTAGTTGCGCTGGATTATTTCGGCTCGCGCTCTCCTCGGGAGGAGCTAATATGCTATTAGGAACCAAGGAAGTGAAAAGCCCAGCTCCGGTCTTTTTGCTGGTAACAAGCTGCACGACTCGCTCATCAAAAAGGTCCTCTTCGCGTAATGGTACTGGAAGAGGCGTCGTGCAGAAAATGCCTTCTGTGCTTAGAGGACGACCAGTCATCTCAGATAGGACTGAATCCAGCAGGAAAAGTGCCCACCATAATCGGTAGCGGATTTCTTTCGAGAAATATGGGATACTGTGGCTCTCGCTCCGAAGATTCAAACCCATTGTCACAGCCGACCGAATCGCAGCCCCAATGATTTTCCAGGACCTAGAAAAGAAAACTCCATAGATCAGAACACCGAAAATCTATATAACCCCCGGAGAGGACCGACCTATTGATTTGTCCAACAGACAGCAGATAGAAAGCGGCCAATCCTTCAGCCTGCACTTGTTGTAGGTCCGGGTGGTCTAACAATGCAAGCTGCTCTACAATCACGCTCCACGCCCGTCCAAAGAACCTCTGATGATCATCACAGTTCGGCCAGGGCAGAGCGGCAAGAATAAGATGTCTGGTGGCGATGGCAAACACTAGGTTCAGCAATGCTAGCCATTTCTTGCCCGGTTGCGAATCCGGCTTTGAGTAGAATGATCGATATTGTCGTAGAAAAGTGGTCTTGCTCAAGATCGGAAATGCAGGGTGCACGAACTGAAAGTAAGCGTCAACGAGATTGTCGGCAACGTTTTGCGGGGGCCAGCGCGCGAGATCAACTGGGTCGAGCACCAAAACCTGCGAGTCGTCTCGGAAAAAATTCATGGAAGACATTGCTAAGTGTTGAGGGGTCTCCTTGATTGTTGAGAGATCTTGATCGAGGTCGCACTTGAGCCTGTACAACCATGCCACCTCGGAATGTTCACCAACGAACCCCGAGGCCCGTACCCTATTATCACAGTCATAGTCTTCCTCGGTGTAGTCTGCAAGTCTTGATTGAAAGCCAGGGCGGGCATCGCCAAGGGACATGGGAGGGTTGACCTGCCGAATATGGCCCGGCGGGAAACTGAACAAGTCAGGAGCAACGGGATTGGTTTGGGAGAGCGGAAGCCCTGAGCTTATTTCGCGCAGAGTCTGATCCACTAGCTGGGATGATGAAGCATCGAGCGTAGGGTAGACATTACGCACCAGGGATTCCAAGGCGCTAATCTGGGAAGTCAACTCCTTCAGCTCCCTAGAATTCAGTCAGATTTGTCTTGCGTTGACGCCAGAATGGCACCCACTTCACTGTCTTCTCTTTCTTTCGATCGCCATAAAAGCAGGCAGCACCGGTATTTCGACACCGATCACAAACTGGACGATTTCCACTGCATTTGGCCTTTTGGTCACGACATTTCTCACATGCCCGACTGACTCGACCAGGGGCGATCCATCTAGTGCTTTGAGCAGTTCGTGGGATAGGAACTTTGGCATTTGCTTGGTCGGATGTAGCTGTAAAAGTATCTTCAGGGGTCGCCACCTCGAGAGATAGTAAGTTATAGTCGGGCACAGTCCATGTGCTATGAAAAGAAGCTGAGTCGTCCACCAGTTCATTGCATTTGGAATGGAATGGGGCGCCGAAATTAGCACTCATTGTCAGAGTGGATGTTACGGGGAAGGGAGAAATTAGTCAGAGGCGTAAAAGACGTTTACCGGATATTTGCCCCTTGTACTGTGAACAATACAGAACGTATCAGTGGAATCAAATTGGCGGACAGCCCCCATTAAGAATTTTGCTGGTATGTGGCTATGATCCAGCACCTCTTTAGGGAACCGGACTGACCGAGCAAGAAAATTAAAATTAAGCGCAGGACGCGATAATCAGCCAGCTCCCGCCCGATAAATAGCAAGCTTTGACACTATCAACTCGAAAGCCCTTTCAAATGAGCGAACAGACGATACGAAATCGCACGTAATTTTTGCTGGCGTATGCCATCAGCCTAGAAACCACCATTTCTTGAAGTCCGCAGGATTGCGAGGTACTAGTCACGTGAATATCCTAATACCTGGCATCCCCCAGATTTTTCACTCAAAAAAATTACACCTGCTCACTAAGCATGGGGATAAGCAAGGGTGAGCAGTTACAAGGGAAGCAATCAGAGCATCTGAAATGACAGAGTGGATCCCAGCCCAGTAGTCGCTCGTCGCAGCTTCTCAGCGGTCTCCACCGGTCCCTATGAAACTTCCATCAATATTACGATTTCTTCGTAATATGGCGCTAAGTGAAAGCTCGAAATGATTGAAACCATGATATTAAGCAAAAATTGACTTCCTAAAAAATGTTTAAAGCTGCTGGATATAGTAAGAGTTCAATTTTCAACATCAGCAACAACTAACGCCGGTTTAGAAATGTTAGAGCACCCCTAACTCGAGTAGGTCGACGACAGACCGTAACACCTCCGATGATAGAAGAACTGTGTGATTGCCTCCTCAACAAGCCCGGCCTATATGTGGACGAGATGGCAATCGTTTTATTGGACGATTTCCGCGTCCAGGTCACATATTCAAGCCTCAAACGAGCTCTTGCTTCGGTCTTGCAACGGAGGGTCGGTCGAAGAAGGTGGCTAGACAGAAAAGGAACAGAATTCGGATCTACGAGATTTATGTATGCATAATTTGTCCGACTTTCAGTTGTAACACTTGGTCTACGTGGATGAGTCTGAGCAGACATCGGTCTATTTGGCTTTTTTGCTGGACCAACGTTCTAGAAACCTCGAAGACCTTACGAGTGTAATACAGAAGCTATTTTAAGCTGTTATTTACGCCTGTACTGGAATACAGCCAAGAAAGGGGTTCAGGGATACAGTAACCGTAAAAGGCATAGCCTGTTTCGAAACGGGGTCCGAGAATGAATCTCTGTGTGCAGGTGGTGAATCTGATTTCGATCCTCCCTGTACCAAGTGAACTCCGCAGGGGAACGCTGTGATGACAGGTGAGGCCCGCAGGAGACCGCTGCGTTAACAAGTTCTCTGCAGGAGACCGCTGCATTACCAAGTTCTCCGCAGGGACTTCTGCGACACCAAGAGTCTCCGCAGGGACATCTGCGACAACAAGAGCCTCCGCAGGAGACCGCTGCGATACCAAGTTTTCCCTTACAGCCTTGAGCCCTGTGATTGTAGAATCTTGAGCTTCCATGCAGCCTTGAGCCCTGCGTTATCAAATTTGTGCTTGTTTAGGTGGTCCGTGGCGCCGCGGTGCCAGTCCTGATCCTCTGGCCATGTGCAGGCACCTCTTCGTGGTGTCAGAGACCAGTATTCGAATTTGCAACAGCATTCGATGAAGCCAAGACCTGCCCAACAGCTTCATACTGTATCGTGCTGCAGAGCACCATAGCATAGAAAATCAATCATCAGCTCAATCCAAGCTGGAATTCCTCGTTAGCGACCCGTACTCCCACTCTATATGCCTTTCCGCAGTCGATGATCCGTTTGCTGCAACGTAAAATCGCTTGATTTGGGTGCAGAACACATAGCGATGTTGCGTTGTGATGCTGTTTCGGTAGGATGTTTGTGATGCCAGTGTGAAGTGAAAGTAGAGATTTAGAGCTGGTGTATTGACGTGTTGACGTGTTGATGTTGATGCCGGTGTGGTGAAATGTGCAGTAATCGGGCGGTGAAGGACTGGTGATCAACACACATGCAGGTTCGTCACCCTCAGCTTGTTCGAGAAAGCCACAATGGGTGCGCAGGGCAAGTTCGCAAGACGGAAAACGCGGGCGACGAACCCATCCGTGTTAGGATTGTACAGTCGTATTGGAGGACTCCGTCGTTCAGTGTGCGAAGGCGGTGAGGTTTCTCATGAACGAACAGTTTATTAGTCACATCTTAATTGAGGCCTATTGAAACCCATCTCTACTATTTACTGCAAGTATTCGAAGCGAAACCTTTGTACTGTGCATTCGCTTTACATATGCCATTCTCAGCTCTCAGATCTATTTCTGGGCGTCGTTCTATGATTTATGGGCTACTAGTAGGGAGCCAAGGGCAGATGCGGATATATATCATTGATGTCTCGCTGGGACTACGCATGTGTGACGTGAACATGGTCAACCAGCCTCGTCAACAGTCGCAGAGATTGCCTCCATGAGTATATTAATGTCCTGAAGACCCGAGTAAACCAACGTGCTATGCGCTACCAGCCGGCTATGAAGCTCTGATGCTCGAAAAATGACGCAGCACCGGTTCCTGCACGAGCCTTTGTAGACGACCTACATGATCTGCCTATCACGCAATTGGCCATGCCAGTTGAGCACATAATAGGAATGTGACACGTGAGGCCAAGAGTATTGATTTGGGCTCTGGTCACCACGCCGCTACGAGGATGTGGGTCCCTAGCCCTTCGATCTTTACGAGCCACGTATGTATGTCATGTAGGTTTGATTCTGGTGTGCAGAAAGACCTTGTCCTAAGTGAAAGGCACAAGCGCATGCTCTGATTCCGTTCCAAAGCGCCCTCGAGCCGGGGGGCGGGGTCCCCCAGAGACCCCCTTTACGGGGGTCGGCGAGGCAATTTCCAATTGCCGGGGGTGCCCCCCAAGGCGACGGGCAAGATGCGCCGACTCAGGGGGTAGATTTCCACATGCACCGTTCAGATTTACTGTACACTTCTGCAGAACTGTGGGCTAAATCTCACTTTCAGCACTAGCAAAGCGTTCTGCCTTGTCAACCATGGGAGGCACCGCCGGCCTTGTTCCTAGTCCCAGACAGTCCTTATCTTTGGTTTTGTTGCCGACAAATCCAATCAAGACGCCTACTAAACAAAGATCATAGGCTATAGCTCATCAGAGAAAACGGCACTGACAATATAGCACAAACGGGATTGGACGTATCCGCTGCGCGTGCTGCTCGATGCTTTGCTCCCGGCAGCAAACCCAGCGCAAACTAATCGACAGAATTAGATACTACAAGCATTGGAGCGGCCTAATAATTTCTTGGGACGCGCTGGGAGCTATGTCTGACATCATCAGCTTCTTCGACAGGGTAGGTCTACCACCATTTCACGCCTGGTTCTTCAGTTTCATGGTGCAGGAAGCATTGGTATACAGGATCTGAGTATCCCGTAGTGGTCACCACGGAAGAGAGCCTTGAAGTGACTCAAAGCGTCTAGCATCAATCACAGCTCCTCCTACGGAGGGAGGAAGGGGATAGTACTTTGCGTGCATGATATAAGATATCTAAGGTGTCTGACCCTGACACATATCAGTATAACATGATACAGTGAACGGCCGGATGTCGAAGGACAGGAAGAGCTGCACTACGGGCGGCAAACTTGTGCTCCAATGGTCGAAATAAGATAAGACCGGAATCTGGGTAGTAAAAGGCTGAGATGAGCCGATAATGGGGCTGTTTGAGAGATGTGGCAATCAAAGGGCTGGCAGGGAAGTCTTGCCCGTCGCCTTGGGGGCACCCCCGGCAATTGGAAATTGCCTCGCCGACCCCCATAAAGGGGGTCTCTGGGGGACCCCGCCCCCCGGCTCGAGGGCGCGTTAAAGCTGAACCAGAATATTCGCTGCAACGCCTCTCACAATGAACGGGGTCTGTCCCCACAGCCTTGAGAATTCCATGGCCGCTCCATAGAGGAAACTGTGAGCTTTCCGAACGGGATGAGCAGTCATATGCTCTACCTCTCGGTCTTGAGGGTCGGATATTCCGAAGTCCATGCGTCGACGGAGCTTGACTGAACCCGCAGTTAGTCTCCATGCTCGTATGCCTTCGGCTTCGCGGACGATTTGTAGGACCCATCAAGGTTGAGGTGATCACATATGCCTCGCTGGATGTGCAAGTATTTGTCCTGCATAATCTTCAGGTCTTGGTATTGCCTCGTCTTGATCACGGAGTTCAGTCGGAGTATGGAGACAGCATCTACTGTAGTAGATATCTATACCATTAGGCGGAACAATCACCCACACCACAAAACTATCGGCTATCACCTGTAGGTCTTCAGATTCCGAGACAGACTGCTATGCGCTCTTTCGGGTCTAGATCAGATAGGCATAACAACTGACCTGATAGATCAATCGACTTGAAGGTCAAGGTGGCGACTCGTTTGTACCAACAATAGTTTTGTAGAAGAGACAGGCCATGTAATGGTAACGGCAAGGCCGAACAGACACGCAATTTCCTCGCTTCGCGTCCTAGTCATACGAATCCGAGAGTTGCCTGTAATGAGATCAGAGTCAGCCAGTGTTGATTCAGTTGGACAAGGTAATGTACTTTACTTTTTTGATGAAGACTTCCCCGACCATCGATAGTATGCGATAGTCTGACAATTAGGATCGTCGTCATACCAGCCTACCAGCGAGACCACCATGTCCCTTCTGCAATGCTGTCCTCAATTTGCCATCTTGCATCCAGGTTTGCAAGTCAGAAAAGGTACTGGGTCGACGCAACCCACCTATCTGCGTAATGATTGTATAGTCGTTTTGGAGGACTTCTTGTAGAGACACTGCGTCGTAGTGCGAAGGCGGTGAGGTGGAGACGCGATGGAGCGCGTCGGCCCGCAGTTTTATCTGACTTGGCGGGAATAGCTTTTCTCGTGACAAGAGTTTCCGCAGTTGGTGATGGGCTGCTACAATGGCATGCTACTGTCAGTGATTTTCGTGTCTGTAGCACAAACTTGGCACAAATTACGGCATCGGACTTGACGCGGCCAGAGGCGCGATATTCAACTCACCTTATCGTGGACGACGAACGTCTAGAATTTATGCATCATGTTGTTGGCCCATGACCTTGGTTGGCGGGGGGCGGGGCGCCCCCCGCAGGGCTGGCATGGGTACTGTAGCAAAGTGGACTTGGTGGGAATCACATTCTCATTCGCACTCCCGTGGCGGTCCACAACGTAACCATAGATGTCAGTGCATTGAAATTTCTAGTATAGTCAGAGGGAAGAACTTATCTGGTGCTTCAAAAGGAAGGCTTGCTCGACTCTGGAAGCCAAGGAAAAGTATTGCAGAACCAGTTGCTGGGGGGAGGAGGACGTATTTATAGGCTCCTCAGCTCCAGTCGCGTGTGCTCTGCTGAGAAGCAAACGTTGAAGGACACCATGCCTATCCTAAGTGAGGCAGACTCTAATACCGCAACTATCTGCAGCGACATCGTCAGAGCTGTTTGAGATGCCCACTGAGCGAAAATGCTGGTCATGTTGAAAAACAGTGAAGCTGAGTCGGTTAAGAAACGTTGGCCAACTGTTGAATATTCGGTCTTCTATATTGAGGCAATGAAAGTGATTCATTTTTTAATTTTCCCAATAGTGCCCACATTTTCATCACTCCGCATCATGGATTGTGTGATTTTTGGCGCCTCGCTTGAATGTTGGTTGTCTGAGTTGTGTGTAGTGTTCCGTCCGTCAAGACTTTTGGATTGCGGAAGCGTCAGGCGACAGTCGCGCGAGCGGGTGCTTGACCCGTCCCGTTGAAATGTGACCATCGTTGTTGGCGGTGTCAACTTTTGAACTTAAGACCGATGTTGAGATACGTTGTTCGTTGACTATTTTTTTAACCTCACTTTTATTTATCTACTGCTGGATTCATGAGTCTAACGAGTGTGAGTAGAGTTTTGTGATTCAATATATGTCTTTTGGCGCGTTCATCCCAGCGAGAATTAAACCTGAGGGCATTCACCCACCACAATCACCACGAGGTTTACACCACTATCATCACCAGTCTTTGACAGAGCGCCAAAAGTCCTCGGATTCTAGGCAAAGTTTGACTGCGTTGAATGACCTTTATGTTGGTAGTACTGAATGCTTTATCTAATCCCCTCAAAGGTGTCTGTCTAATGCCACAATGGGTCCCAGAATTCTTGGGGAAATTGATCTGATTCCTTAGTGAGCCATATATCTTGTGCATTGTCAGCTTGGGTCTGCAGATCAGAGAATCGGTTGGGGATCGCAAAGCGTTTCTAGGAGTTTTGCACCCCTAGGAAATGCTTTTTAGATTCTAGGGCTATTCTAGTCTCCAGGAATACGAAATCTCTCCTGGGATCTCTATGCTCCTGACTGATTATTCAAAAATGGCTTTGGGAATACACCATCCAGATCCAGGAGCTGCATTGCCCCTGGGAGCATACCTTTTGGGATCTTCGAATACCATAGCACCTTTCGAATCCGTGGAAAGCCCTCAACAACCTTCACCAATCCTGCGCATAAATCTGCGCAATCGAGTCATTTCTAGAAGGCTTGAGCTATAGCGCCAGGAGCGCCACTTACGCGTTTAGGAATCAACAAGTCGTCAACAGGAACCTGGCTTTGGTTCCTCGAGGTGATGGTTTTAGACCCCAGGAGCCATAACAGGTTTCCTAGGGCCACGCGACTCCTGGAAGCTGCTGTCTTGCCCCTAGAGACCTCTGAACAGCTCCTGGGAGCAAGAGAGCTCCTAGGGTCAAGATGCTTTACTGGCATTGATAGAGCTATCAGCAGAAGCGTGACCGATGATAGTGAAGATGGCAGACCTACAGGCTACTATAAAGTTGATTTTCCGGGACTCTGCGTTTCGCGGGCTATACATCCGTGTAATCGAACGCCGACAATTTGCGTTAGCGAAGTGTGGGTAGCATTGCATCAAGAAACCGCGTTATATTTCATATTTTGCAGGCTCGCCTTCAAGACCGCCTACGGATAACATTTGGGTAATACTGGACCGAAGAACTCTTGCTCATGTCTTGAAAATCTATACCCAAATCACAGTCTAATATCAGCACATATCATCGATGGAAGCTCAATTATTTGCGCAGACTATTCTTGTTTATTGGGTTTTATTTTCGTCAAGCTTCGCCATCGAAGGCTTTAATGTAAAAATCAAAGTGTACAAAGGAGTAATGTGACGGCGTTAACGAATGGATTCTAGAGTTTGGAAAAAGGCTTCATATATCTTTCATAGTACAGCAAATCGTCCAGATGAATTGAGATCGTTTCTTGCTCAGATGCCAAGTTGTTGAAAATCAAGCATCGCCTGTATCAAGAGCCGTGAAATGTTGACAGTCCGTCACCAAGTCTAACAAAGACATACAGGCTCCTGTATGGGCCTCTTCAGTCAGCGATAATGGTCGGAAGAGACTCAAAATGCGTGTACGGTAGTAGAGATATCCGAATGCAGTTCTTGTCCATGCCAAGACTTCATCAAGCCCCATCAACATGGCAGGCTTGAGGATCGCTCGCTTGCAGGGCTGAAACGACCCCGTTACAAAGGGCCTGAACAGCACGCTTTCGATCCCACAATACCAGTGCCTGTTCCTCACAAAGCTCCAGAAGAACGTCTCTGTCGCTTGTCAGCCACTCATTGAACTCCCGAAGCTGTCGCTGCTCATCCTCGAGTCGCAATTTCTCGGCAGATTTGACAACGTAGCATTCCCAAAGGCAAAAATACAAGTCGAGCTGTTTGAGTGCTGGGGAAGCGAAGGTATCATGGTCTTGTAGTATCTTCATAAACTCCGCCGTAAGAGCACCGGATGCCACTGCGATCTGCAAAGTGTTAGTGTTCTTGTTCGTTTTCTGCCGAAGATGGCATGACCGACCTTGGGTTCAATGATCGTGCAGTTTGAAGATTCCTGTGGGTGGTTCTCCAAATTTGGTTTATCTTCTGCTCTTTGGGATTCCCGACACTGTCTCTTGGCTGCCCGGCCAATTGGGGAAGGCGAAGTCGGATGGTCCATCGTGACTGAAGAAATAGAAAAAAGAGATGTTCTGCTTGAGAGCCTTTTATAGACCATTAAAATCACACCAAGTTTGCTATAATTTCACTCATAGCCTCCTGGTTCTGACTTTAGAGAGAATTTCGTTGTTTAGTGAACAACTATCTCAACCGTTGATGCTCGATCTCACCTGCTGTTCACTCAAATTCTCAATTATATGAGAAATTTCGCAACAGGTGAATTATTAAAGCAGGCATTACAAATGATATAAAACAATGGGCATATTTAATTGGACTCCTGATGCATTGGATTCTATTGGCCGAGCAAAGTTGTTGAAGTTATTGGTGACGTTTTTGTGATTACGAACCATCTGATAGTGGTGATGACTGCTTCATATCACGATAGTCACCTAACCTAAGAATCGTTCGCTTTTACAGGCAACAATTATGCGTCTTCATGTCAACAGGGTAAAATCGTTTGACCAGAGTTATGGGCTTCTGTCCTGTTCCTCATGATCATTTGGATGGCATATTCACTTACTAATCCTAAAAGTCTCGTCAAACTACCATCAGTTGTCTTTACACTACAAGCGAGAATAGAATTCAAACTCATCAAACAAATGTTATTCTCTCGTTTCCAAAGGCTCAAGCGAAAGCTTCGAAATTCCGTCAAAGTGTTTTCTCCTAGTGGATCAAAGTGTCTGCCGGATATACCTGCCGCCTCATCTGAATTAGAACGCACACGACGATCAGCGGCCCCATCCCCAGATTTATCTCAAGGAACATAAAATTCCATGAAAAATAAATACCGACACCTCGATTGAATTGCAATCTATTGCCACAGAAATTTTAAAACAGAATCAGACTCAGCTATTCCTCCAACTCAGAGCCTTACACGGAGAATAACAGGCTGCGAACGCCAGTTATGAAAGAAAAACCGTCTTGGATGACCGCTGTCAGCAAAACATACGACATACGATAGTTGTGAGAGAGTGTGTCTTCAGGACCTGAGACAGCCTTCACTTCCCGTTGGATTCCTGCGATAGATTCCGGGTGTGGAATGAATAAATCGATCGAATTCAGCCAATTTTTGCTAGTGAAGAATTCCAGTCAATGTCTTGGACAGCCATCTTATGGAGAAGAGCGGGAACCTACACGCTGTTGCTCAATAAAGCATCCTCAGCGTTGATATTAATCTGTAAGAAAGCTCTAGAGCCTCTTTGACTACGAAACAGCCTCTTACTCGGCCAATTTTATTGCAGTAGCTTTTGACGCGGCCGAGAATGACAAGGCAGTAATTGGTCAGGCGTCTACAGTGCATCTCGCTTCCGCATCTTCATATTAATAGCCAAAATTAACTTGGCAAACCTCTTGCTCCTGGGAGTGACTTTAAAATACCAGGCTTCAGCTTAAAGGGGTGATCCCCGATTCAATTACCACGTTTTTGTATTTTCTGTGTCCAAGGCAAAAAGATTTTTATCCACAGTACTCCTAGGAGCCATCATTGAAAAGTCTTCGCAAAAAGATAAAGGTGATCGAGATTTGGAGGTTTAAATGCACATGGCCGCTTCTACTCACAACTTTTGAGGCCATGGTTTTCCTTACGGTCGATTCCCTCAAGCATTTCGACAAGAACTTCTGATTACAGTACACTGTTTATTGGCACCACAAGACACAAGCGATTATGGATCACGAGATCCCAAAGGCACCCAAGACGCCTATTACCCCAGATATAGAACGGCAAAAGGGAAATATATCGCAAACTGGTATCTTACTTCTGAATACTCTTTAACGGATTCAACCTGCTAACAAAAATGTTTCCTGGAGGCCATGACTCCAGTGCAAACTTCCGCCAAATCGTCGGGCGATTCATCCATGCCGATTGTGGCAACGCAAGCCAGGCTTTGAATCCGTCTGCTAACTGGTACCTGGCTCAGTCTGTAGCTACCTCTGCTAAAAATCAACACCCATGTCCACTAAACCGGAAAAGGAGAGCGGTCCATTCCCGAGAATTGAGAACCCAAGAAATGCATCACAACGAATTTCCAAGAGCTACAGAAATCACCACAAAGTTGATACACGAAACAATTCAATATTTGCAAGTGGTATCTGATCACATCTCATCTTCCAACACAATTTCCTCCAGGGAGTGGGCCACGATGCACCTCGCCACCCAGCTGCTGCAGAGCAGATACGAAGATCTTGTCGCGGGGGAGAACATTCAAGCAAATGCTCCATCCGATTTTCATGCTGCACAGACACAGCCAGAGGTCAAGTGCCAGAAGTGTGCTGCTGCGGATGAAGAGCGGCTGTACAATGATTAACACACCGCTTGTTCTTCTTATATCTGATTTTTGGCCAATTTTGATAGAAGAGCTAGCTATTGTACTCGGCTGAATATGTTATTTAGGCTTCATGATTGGGAATCTTATCAGCGAAATATCATTATTCAGGCTTGATAATGCAATGCACAATTTATTGTAGATGACTTACAGTATATCTCTCAGTGAGCCAGCATTAACTTGAATTTCGTTCGGTGATATGAAAAGGAAAAGGCAAAGTGGAATCATGATGTATCTTGTTGCCTGAAATATCTGAACACTCCATAACCAGAGGCAGACAGTATCAAGCCCTCAAATTGTATCTGGTAAATCTGAAAGTAGAGAGGAAATTTTAGTCCGCGAGCAAGCAAGTCGTATAGTCTATGTTAACCTTTTTGCTTTGGGGCATAGCAAACCTGGACTTTGCTCGAAGATACATTCCTGTCGCATATATGACTGTCAATAGCAACCCAATTCTGAGGTAATTGATGGGGCCAATATGCTGCGTAATTATCGATATGTGTGAGAAATTGCTGCAGTTTACGAGTCGCCTTATTAATGAGGGCTAGCGTCTGATCATCGGTCATTCAAACAATATGTCCCGGTAGCAGTGTATATGAAGTCTATGGCTCGGCAGCTTCATCTTATGGCGGTCAGTCATGGCCGTGATCTCATATTTTTGAATAGAGGAAAGAAAGAATATTCAAGATTCGAACAAGACATGGGAACTCTGCAAATATCAATTCATACCACTGCGCATATGAATAAATTGGACCACAATCTCCTTTCAATTCTTGTTCTTATCAATCCGGAAATGATACTATACTATTCCAACCATGTCAAGCAAGCTATATATAGACAACATGATATGTGACCTTGACACTATCAAAGCCCAATCCCAAATCCCCGCGTCAATGTTTACATCCACAACTTGGGAGACACAGACGGTTGCCGCCACGAAAGCAGCCAGACTACGCTGCAATAGTCAATCCAAGGTTGTCACTGGGCCTCGCAAAAGCCTTTGCCTTCCACTACTGTGCGGTCTTGGAGACATTGCTTCCATCTTCATTGTAAGACAAGAATCACCATGGTATACATATCGAGGGGTAATTACGTATGAGATTGCGGGAAAAGTCACAATTGCCACGCGCCGTACACGCCCATCTCGCATGGTTGCCATTCGGAGATATCAGAGGCAGAATGCTCAAAGATTAATCTGTAAATTCGGGCGTCTCGAGCACTTGAATGTCCTCTCCTTGCATGAATGCTACATGCACGACGAGCCCGCGTACTTTTTGGTTGATGATTTGCCGTTGACTCTCGCGTTTGTTGTGGTTTCTCCGACAATTTATCCCAACGAAGCGGAATTGGGATCCATCATGTGTCAGGTTTGCCTGCCGTAGCCCTTTTAATGAGCTGTCCTGACTTTTTAGATCCTCGATGGTGCCTGCTACCTATCATTATTTGGCCTTGCGCATCAGTCTTTAGCCTGTGACGAGATATTGTTTGGGATTGACGGGTCCCTCAAAATAGGTCTGTTGGTGTACCTTTCTCTGCTTCGTCTGGCTAACAATTGGCAGCTTGTTTAGAACTTTGTGTAGATTGCACGTCACAGCAATCTGAAGCTGCATATATTGCCGCTCTTCCGTCAATCGCAATGCGGCTCATGCAGAAATTTGACAAAGATGACGGCGTTGTTGGGGTAAATGATCTAGAGCGCTGGCCAATTGGTTCCGCGGCGGTGGATTTCCTGTCCGCCACTGAGACGGCAAGATCTATTGATTGTCTAAGAAATGTAAGGCTTTCTACAACGTATCGAACCTTGCTAACATATAATAGCAGCCACTTGTGGCAGCCAAGGATCGCCCGAAGGATGATCTGGTTCTCCTCGCAAGAGCCGCTCTGCTCTCTTGTAGTGTAAATTGCATTTATAACCAAGAAACTGACAAGTACTAGGGACTTAGAGTAGCAAACAATCTTTTACAGGCGTGACCTTGTCTCTTCCTCGCAGCTCTTTGGGGTTTATATCGTAAGGAGCATCATTTTGTAGGGCCGCTTGAAGTTACGCAAAATGAGATCAAAGAAAGGTTCACTTTCGATAGGGACAAAATGCAGTAAAATGAAAAGCCAACTTTAGCCAGAGTTTAACAAAGTATAGTTGATGTAATACCAAGTACATAGCGATTGTTGATTACTATGTGTTGTTACTTGAGCATGGAGCTAGTAGAAACTCGGTTTTGTAGATGCCTTATTTGCGGTGGGGTTCAGGGTAAGCTCAGGGAAGGCTCTGGGTAGGCTCAAGGAAGGCTCAGGGTAGGCTCAGGGTAGGCTCAGGGTAGGCTCAGGGTAGGCTCAAGGAAGGCTCAGGGTAGGCTCAGGGTAGGCTCAGGGTAGGCTCAAGGAAGGCTCAGGGTAGGCTCAGGGTAGGCTCAGGGTAGGCTCAGGGTAGGCTCAGGGTGGGCTCAGGGTAGGCAGGTTTGGGTGTTAATTCCGATGGGGGGAAAGTTTTGGAGTCCCCCGCACCGTATTGTCATACTTGGTTATTCATTACCCGCCAAGACTGTTGTGTGTTTTGTATGGTAATACGCTCCATACCGGAATAACTGTGTTGTAACACACAGTAATCATGCCACACCGAGCAACACAGCTTTCAATACCTGGAGGCTGTTGATGGGCCTGGCGCGGTTACATAGACTGTGGATCCTCTCAATAGGTCATCAGATCAATTATCTTATTACCAATTGGTCGTCCTCGATACTACAATTTAGTTGTATCTAGTATCTTGGCAAATAGCGTTAAATGGTCTGTAATGTGCGGGGATCTATATGACCGGTTCGAAGGCGCCTGAAGGCCGGTAGGGTGTACCATAAGCGGGCTTTGACTGTACTAGTAATCGAGTAATATAACCTTGGTGTGTACCCTTTCAGTCTAGCGGCATTGTTGCTCTGCAATTCTTACTCTTGAAACTCTCATGAAACTTCCAACAATCTGGCCAACTCTCTTGTTTCTTCATCAGCTATGCCCGATTCCAATTTATTCAGTAACACTGGCCTCCCGGAAAGATTTGTCTTGACGAAACTTCAAGTCCCCGGAGAGCTTGATGATGCGCAATTGACAGAATATTTTCAACCATTGCTTCACACCCCTGGCCACAATCGCTCTATGTGGGGAATGATTCAAGATAAACCCAAAACTGCTCTACTAGCGACTTGTAAGTACCGCTCGGGAATTCTAAAGATAAAGATACTGACGTGCTCATAAATTCTCAGTGTGGAAGACAACCGATGCAATAAAATATTTTCAAGACTTTCCCTCAGCCCAGCTTCTCTGGGAAACTTTGGCAGCAAAGAACATTATAATCTTTAGCTCCCACGAAACCCATTATGTTGGGAATTGGTTTGAGGTCTTAGATTCTTCATTCATTCAATTATTCTGGGTCTACTTCCAGGCTCCTGTAACCGACACTCAGAGGACTGAAATTTCAAAGCTAAGAGGCCTTCGTCCGTCAGCCTCGGGCTTCAGCGTACCGAGACATTATAGGCCTCAAACAGACATTCCGATCAAGGCATGGGCGACCCAGCCAGAAAGCAATGCGACTCAGTTGATGCTGTGGCCACACTTTTGGCGGAACTCGGAAAAATCCGAGTGGAGGCACGGATTGACAGAGGTGTTATCTGGCAGTACAATTATAGGCAAGCGGTCCAGAATTGACAATTTCAATGCTAAGCTACAAGAGGTGGGCTCAGTGAAATGGACAGAAGACTTTTGCTCTTTCCGGAGGATACGTGCTTAACATAATTTTTCGGGCTTCATGAAAAACGTCTTCTAAAATCATTCTAGTCTAACATTTCAGTGGCAAAAATGCTTTTCTTTTCTCGTCCGGCTTGCTTGATATATTGCACACCTGATCATACCCAGCTTTCACTAAACTCTGTCCCACGATCCTTTTCACTCAATTTTAGCTGAAGGAGTTCACCTGCACCAGAATGGAAACTCCACCTCTGGTTTGTCGAAGTCCACTGAGTCTGCTGGAAGTACCAATATCCAACACCGAACCACACATATGTCTCAGGATTTCGTCGAATCAACGTCTGGTAATTTTCATCGTAGCCGCTCGGGATTCTATCGGGGGTCTTGAGGTATTTTTGTTGTTCGGTCCATGAATCTTTATATGATTAGTAATTTTGAGTGGTTGCGAAGTTTCCAAACTTACAAGTACTAGTAATATCTGGAGTCTGTTCGTTTCCAATCGTGAGATGGAACAGCTCATGATAGAACGTACCGCTCCGTGGGAAAATATCCGTGATAGAAAGGCCCTTCGCGGGTTCCTTGTCTCCAAGCGTTTCACCAGCTTTGTCTTATGTAAATGCAGATGGACATAATGTGATAGAACTAGGGGTCGTTTCATGTTGGGTGGCTCCCAGATGACTATTGCTCACAGTGCAGTAAGTTTTTCCTCTATAACTAATATCGAAGAGGTACTGCCTCATGTCATCCGACCAATACGGTACCTGATTATTCCGTACACTCCGGCCATTTTTTTGCACCGTCCAAGGCATTTCCTGATAAGACGGAATATTCTCAATTGACACTGGGCTCAAGTGGTCACTGGCAGTCGAGTCGTATTCAAAGATATCATTTCCATTCACATCCTTAGCTACGTCAGACCGCTATAGCTTTTGGGGCCACTTGTCGTTGCAGAATAGGTATGGAATGTTGGCTGTTGTAGTCTGTCCATTCAAGAAGTTCTTCACAATTTGAAGGTTCGCTATTGTCTTGTCAGTACATTGCGTTCCTTTAGGCCATATTGGGAAATTTACTTTGAACGAGATTCATTGCGTCCGTATCATCGGGGGACATGTTGAAATAAGACCAGAGATAATCCTTTGCAACTTTATTCTCTGACGCAGAAGGATTTTTGACACCGCTTAGTGCCTGAAGGCCTGCATTAACCAAAGTCCCACTCTCAGACAGCCATTTTCCAAGCGGATCTGGGAGCTGCGAGCAAAAGCCGCCATCCGAGTCTGTGTTTGCTTTGATTTGAAAGAGGGAGTCAAGACTTGGTAAGGTGAGCACGATGGGTATAATATAGCCCCAAACCAGGGCTAGAAAGTTGATATGCATCGCCTTGATCAAGCGCCTTTACTCAGGCGACGGGGTATGAGGATGTCGGAGAAGCCCAAGAAACAGAATACGCAAATGTGCATTTGAACTTATTTTCACCACTTCGCTTATGCAGTATATCTTATATGAAAATAATCGAATCATCCAAAAATTACATATGTATGCCTATGGTATTGTAACTGAGACATAATGTCGGCTCTATTTCGGCAAAACAATCATCGCAGGGTGCCCGTTTTACTTACCGCTTGAATCTAGCTAGTCCTTAACTGGTAAATCAAACTAGGGTTTTATGATTCGGACTTGCAATTCACGACTACTTATAGTCTTTACAAATAGAAGGCAACCCATACCAAAGGCTAAGATATGAAGCACAGACAGATGCATTAGTGGCTTCGCCGGTCCATCAACGATGTGGCCTATGTCTATTTTGAGGCTTCAAGGCAAATGTGTCTCGGAAAATCAAGGAAAGACGCAGCCTGGTGCCAGATGAGTCTTATGCTTAGGGCGGCTACATCCAGTAAAGGAATGAAGACCAGAACACGAGAAAGGTGATACAGTACAAATGGTGATACTCTGTGACTTATACCAACAAAATGTCTTTTACCCGGGACTGACCAGATTTGTGGAAGCGAAGATCAAAATCCTTGTCACACGGCAAAGACCAGCTCTACTAAAACCTAAATAAGTCTATGTATCCCAGTTAAGACAACAAATATCGCACCCTTAACCCTGAACTCCGGTAACATCTTCACGAAGTGAGAAAACGGAGACTATTTCGTATTTATGCCATACCAAGGGCTATTTTAGAAGAGCGGGTGACAGTTCCATGCACCCTTTCCGCATGGTTCAGTAGCGCAGACTTTGACTCCAACTTCTCTCCACAGATAGAGCACTCACAGTGCATGTCATTTGGAAACGGCTTGATATGCTTGTTGACGAAGTGTCGGCTCAGAGATCCAGAGTTCTTGTAGATTCCCAAGCGATCGCTTTGTGGCAGCCTAGGGTTACCAAGACAAATAAAGCAGATCGTTGGTCTCTCTGTTGGAGACTTGACGCAAACCGAAGCGATAGCCTCGGAAAAAGTATCGCCGCTCTTATGTGAAGGGATTAAATTCTGCCTTTTAGGCAGGGGGGCAGCCGGTGGCATGTTGACAGCATCGGCGGAGCGTTTTTGGGTGACACGAGGCCGCGAGGGCGCGCCCTCTTCTGCATCACATACCGCAATCACTGCATTGATTGCAGCAATTCGACGCTCATACTCTTTTTCAACCGTCGTACCCGGCATCGTCAGGACAGTGTCGATAAGGGTCATATGCTGTGGTGTCATATAGCCGGTACTTTCTAAAGCAACCTTTACTTCTTCGTCGACCATCTTTCCGGACAGTTGCCGTTCGCTGTCGATCACCGGTTGTTCGTTCTTATACCGCTCCAAGTTCTCACGAATCAAGCGATTGCGTTGTCGTCCTTTCTCGTTTCGCAAATCACGTACAGCAAGATTATACAGCTCCTCTGCACGTTCAAATCTCCTTGCGTAACTTGTCCACGTTTTTGTTTTGCAGCTCCCATCGTCTGTGGAGTTTCCGCAGATGACGGGAAACTGACCCTTCCTGCGGAGGATCATCACCAAACTCGCGTTTGAGAGCGAACTGAGCATTTTCAAATGTCGTTCTTTTCACGTCCCGGGCCTGCTCTCGTGCTTGCTTGAACTCTTCCATGGCAATCACACGCGGGATTTGATTGACAGAGCTCGAATCTTCTAGCCTATATGGCCTGCGCGGATCGATAGATCGACTCATCGAGCAGGCAAAACGCATGAGCTGCTTCTGAGCGGGCATGCCTCGGACAATTGCTTGAGCATCAACGTGAATACCAACACTGTAGTGCCGAACAAATGTGTCAATGCTGGCATGCTGTAGCATCACATTTTGTAGTTCATTTGACACATCCGCTGTATAGTATGAACTTATTAGTCAAGAAGCGCAGAGTCTAAACAAGGGTCACTCACGACTATCATTGAATGCTTTCGCTGCGCCGTACCGGAGGCCATAGGGCTTCGTGACCTCTTCAAAGCCCGTAATTTCGCCCCCACGTTTCATGCGATAACGTAGCCAGCCGCCTGTCAGATTTTGTTCCAGGGCAATTCGAATCCCATTGGGTCCTCTCAATGCGTGACAAAAAACATATTGATCAAGAATTTCCGGTCTCAACCTCAACTCCTGCTGACCAAGTCCATTCAAAACCCGAAGACTATACAAATTTTCTGGACAGTTCATCACGCGACCGTCTTTAGAAAGAGTCTTGAATGCCCCGATTCGAAAAAGCATGCCCAACAAGAAAACGTGCGGGCTAAGGACCAGCGTAGGATCAAAAATGATCTCCGGGATAGGGAAGGTATTCCTATTGCAATCAGCTAAGCTGCCCTGATTCGAGATCGTATCGGTGTGAGGAGGGTAACAGAGGAACGGAAGGACAATGACAGGGCAAGGTGAATAGAACCATGGATATAAAGGAGGGATTCAGGGTTAGGGGAATATCCTTACGACTCCTTCTTGCCAAGAAATGATTTTGTGAATTCCGGCCTCATATAAATGAAAAGCCGAGGACGGACGCCATTTGGATCTCGTACCAGGGTCAACATGAGGTCCCGGTAACGAAGGTTCAAGAGCGCTCCAGGCCGGCTGCCGGTAATAGCAGCCAGTTGACAGTAAAGGAGGAGCTGCACCCGGTACCAGCCACAACGGAAAGTCATCTCCGTCGTAGACAGTACCACTCGAGCAAACTCAGCCACATCTTCGATATACATGGTCGCTTTCGGTCGCCGATCGAAGCAAAGATTTTTCTCTGTCGCAACTATCGCAAGCACCTATGGGCTGTCAGCCATTACCAGACCAATCTGATCGATTAGCGGACCAACAAACTCACATCCTCGATTTTGATGATCGTATCTTTACTAAGTCCATGTCCGACTTCAGCCTTGTAAACCAGATGCCACCATTTCCAGAATGTCTCGAGCGAGCTTTTATGCTTCAATCCCGGCGTGCGTCGCTCATTCTTACCCCTCCGCTGGTCGCAACGCCAGGAAAAGAGAGCTTTCAAAAAACGGATTGTCTCCTCTGTGTCAGAGAGCCAGAAGAAACACTCTATCGGGTCCCGCTTTCCGCCCTCGCAAAATCTGGAAAATTAACTAAATGCAATTGAAGAAATCATGGCAGTGGCGCTCTCTTACCTGTCCCAATAGTCCCTCGTCTCATCCAGTTTGACTTGGGTTCTTGGGCTGTAGCGTTTTTGCCGAAGCTGGGAGACATCGAGACACTCTGCCTCCTGGAGATAGTGCTCCGGTGGAAGCTGCTTCTCTTCATCTTCCATGGGCATATCATCCTCGGATTCCGACTCATCCTCGTCGTCACAATCCCCAGATGTGGGGGACGAGTTGGTTTCTGAGGCTTCGTTCGAGAAGATCTCAGGCAGTTCTGAGCTCGCGTCGCTCTCATCGTCTGACAAATCAGGACGCGAAAGGCGAGGCATGATGTGAGAGCAGTTTCCGGCAGGGAATAGGGAACTGGTCAAGAGTGTCTAGAGTCCACGCGAAACACCAGTGTTCTGCCGGAGGAACAGATGCGATGATGAGAAGATCGCTGGCGAGCGAGAAGAAAGAATGAACATGCGGGAGTCATGTCGGTCGATATTTATGGAATCTAGGAACAAAGAGTGCTCAAAGGGCGTAAGGGGATCCAGAATGGCTCCTTCTTTCGGGATTCCGGTTGGAACAGGCTCGCAGCCGTGGTATCGCAAGTGGGACCAGGGGAACGGCCGACACTCCAGTGAGGTCGCTGCGGGGCTAGGCACCATGCAACGCCAAAAAAGGGAGCAAAGTGGCAGTAGGTCACATTGGCCGTGGCTTTAAATACACGTGATGCCAAGGCCGTCGCCAGTGAGTGGGAGGCTTAAAACGGCCCCCGAAGCGGCCACTTCTGGCCTGCTATTCACCGTCTCATTGTTATGTGGAGTATAGAGAGTAGCATCGAAGAAGCCAAGCAGATCCCAATCACTTCAGAAATAAGAAATAAAGTCAGTCAACTCCCCCACTTTCTTTTTTTTTTTTCCAGTTGGGCACCCGAGAGCCTCTTCGTGAAACTCTTTCTTTTTTGTTTTGGCTTAGGGAACTATTCTGGTTGGCTGTTCTGCCTCTCTCTCTCTCTTCCCTCTCTCTCACTCTTACTTCCTCTCTCTCTCTCTCTCTTTCTCTTTCTCTCTTTCTTTTCTCTGGGTTTCATCTCTTCTCTTCTGTTATCACCCCTCACTTTTGTATTTATCGCTGCCCATCCGACTCCACTCCCCCCACTGGGTTCTAAGACCCGTCAGGCAGAGGATCCCAAAATTCTCAACCCAACCTCACTCCTGCAGCTGCTCCCACCACTCATAGTCGGCCAGAGGCGTCCTTTTGTCTCGTGTCCCTCTTTTCTGGTCCTATTTTTTCTTTCTTCTATGCCCCACGACCCAACGCTTGCCCGACCGGTTTGCCAACTGTCGCCTAAGATCCCACCTCTTTCGATGGAGACACTGCGATCTGGAAAGTACTACGCTACCTTCGCTCGCTGACTCCGTCGCCTGCCATCGCCCACTGCGATCGGCAGGTCCGCTTACTTGGCTTGGGAGCAAGGACAGGCTAACTCCGTCAATCGGGGTTGAGGGGTGAAAGACAAGAAAAAAAAAAAGAAAAGAAAAGACACCTGCAGTCTGACTCATCGTTTTAAGTGGGCAGCAGTGGCTTGCTGTACGTTGAACATCCAAGGGAGAGAGCCACACACGTAGGAAACGAGCCTAACCCGGTTTTCTCTTTTTTTTCTGTTGCTTAGGATATCCCACATTATGGCCACTAAGGCCCGGCCGGCCTTCGTCGAAGATTATGACGAAGAATCCCATGCCACTCGACCTCATACTCGCATGACTGCCAATGCCACAGCCAACTCTGCTGTCAAAATAGCCAGGTCGGATCTATTCCCAGAGCCGCTGATCGACGGCGCAAGTGACTCAGGTTATTCTAGTCGCACCGCTGCCACGGCCAACAGCACCCAATCCGGCCCATCGGGCGGACAAAGTCCCCCTCTTAAGGAGTCCAAACGGGGCGAACTCGCCAGAAAGTCGTCAACCCGCAGAGAACGCAAGGAGGAACGAGTCAGACCGATGCGCGACGAGACAATGGTTGGTGCCTATTCGGGCGCCCATCATGTTCACGTGCCACGGTCGTCGTCCAAGTCTCGTCGACGGGAAGCTGCTCATGCTCGCTATTATAACGACCCGTACTACGACACTCCTCCGACTCATTACCAGTCCGACCATCGTGATCCCCGCGACCACCGTGACCCCCGCGACCCCCGCGACCCCCGGGACCACCGCCCCCTTGAAGATTCCTTCTTTATCCCCCAGCGTCCGCCAGTCTCCGACTACGCACCGCAGAGTGCTCGATACCCCGCGGGCGTCATTGAAAACATCCACGTCAATCACCCGAGTCGACCCAGTCGCTCCCATACCTACCACACCTACCATCCCAACGGTCGACCCATGAGTTTCCACGGAATGCCCCCGGGCATGGGATCGGGAATGGCATCCCCGATCTACCCCCAGGCACCCATCCACGCCTACGACTACCATGGCCCTCCGCCCTCGGGCTCAGCCTATATGCACAACCAATACTCCTCATCGCCATACGGAGGTTCCTACTACGCTCCATCCGATTATGGGGCTCCATCGGACTATCCGCCTCAACGAGAGCGATCCGAGTCCCGTCCCCGGGAGCCCCGCCACCCGGAGTCCCGCCCACGTCGATCCTCATCGATCTATGGACACCCCCCGCCGGCTGTTATGGACTCAGGCGCCTACTCCCCCTGGTATGATGACAATGAGCCCATGGAGCGCCCCGTGGAACGTTATACCTCACGAGAGGCCTATGGTCGTGCCGCCGCCGCGCACAGACAAGACCCAGACGAGGACTTCTACCGCATGCCACCACCCCCTCCTCCCCTCCCCAAGCCCAAGCCCAAGGCGGCTGCCCCACAGATCCATCAGGCGAGGCGACCCGAGCCCCGCAAGGCTCAAACAAGCAGTGCGGTGCCATCCCAACGTCGCCCGTCCAGAGGTATGGATCGAACTATGGACCGGGCCATGGACCGAAGCCTGGATAAATTTGACATGGCGGATCTCGAAGCGGAGTTGCCTATGGTGTCGGACCGGGCTCATCGTCGGATGTCAAGGGAGACTGCCCTGCCAGAGAGAACCCACAGCCTACGGAGCAACCACCGACGGTCTACATCCTACCAGGATGACCGACGTGGGGCTCAGGTGGCCGTGGCAAGCTCGAAGCGGCGACAGCCATCCACGTACTACTACAACGATGAGCCATCCAGCAACACAGACGACATTCTGGAAGATCGGGAACGCGAAATTGAGAACTACCAGGCAGCACGGTCCGGTCGAAACTCGACTGCCAACGTGCCTCTCTCCGCAGAGGCCATGATCCCCAAGGCAACCACCAATCGCCAGGGGAGTGAGAGTGGCAGTCAGAAGAGCCGGTCCAACAGCAGCCGTGGCAGCGGCACAGGCTCCAGGACGGAAGAAGACAAGAACATGACACTCATGGTGAATGGAGTGAAAATGGAATTTAACCACGAAACGATTGCAGGGCAATCCATCAACATTCGTGCTGGGGAGGCCCGCAACGCCGTGCGATTGAACATTGCAGGCGGGCCTCGTCCCAAGCAGTACTTGACTGGATCCAACTCTGATTATACGGGCGGTGCAAGCCGCCGGGAGCTAGAAGATGTACGACGAAATCGAGGAGACACTCGGTCAGAGCGTTCGGAGCGTGGACTTCGTCGCTCTAGCCAGTCGACCTACGGTAGTACTCGCTATCATTGATCTGGCCCCCCTTTCGATGGATTTATTTTGTTTCTCACGGTTCCTTTTTCATCATGATTGTATCTTCTTGTTATGATTCTCTCTTGTATGTGCCTGCATAGCCAATTGGTTGAGTGGGCCGGCCTGTTTTGTTTGTCCAAAAGAAAAGTTCCTTTGCTTTGCATATGTTTTGTGTGTTTCTTCGGGTTTTGGTGCTGTGGTTGGACCAAAAAGAATTTCAATGGGTAATTACCTACTGCGAGGCTGCCCGGTCAACCGGCTGGACCTCTTCTCACGAACAGGTCCAGAGTTTGCCTGGCGGCCGCGTCAAACTGGGAGGACTTGTGTGTGATTTCATTTACAACTGCTGTCTATTTTTGTGTGTCTCTGGGTATGTTTTGGGCAAAATGTTGGGCACGAACGACTTGATGATGTGTCTCCGTTCTATGGCGATATGATTGTACGATTCTGATGACCTGCGATGACAAGTCCGATGTGCTTCACTTTCTGATGTCTCCTTTTTGTCAGCGTTTCGTGTATAGCCTTTTCTTCTCGTTGGGCCCTCTTTCTGATTACTTTGTTCGCGACTGCGAGTCGCAGAGAGAGATTATACCCATATCTGTTTACTTGTCATGTCTCAACACCAGGTCATCTTTTTCTTTGGCCCTATCTACGTTCTATATCTTTTTTTTTCTTTTCTTCCCCTGCGTTCCGAGTGTATTGGCCTGCGCCTGACTGGAGGCCTCGTAGTTTTATTTGGGACTTTGTTTCTATTGATTCGGTTGACTGCAATTTCTGCGCTGGCTTTTCTCACTAGCAGTGTCTTTGATCTTACATTGGCTTTGAAATGGTTTTGATACCCCGCTAGCTGTCTGGGTGCGATCGCAGGTTGCGATCAGGGATGGCTTTTTTGTTTGTTTCAGAGGCTTATTTGAGCGGGTGGCTCTCTGTGATTTGTGATTTAAGATAACTCATTCCGCATATATCCCAAGTCCAGTTCAGTCTAGTAAACTCCGAAGAAGTCAATCACGTTGGATGATATGTACTGTGTGCCCACGGCTTAGTTTACCTCTTTATTTGCTAGTGATGGTTATTTGGATAAGCTTATGTTTGGTATTTAAGGTTGTAGAATAGGAGTTTGGTATACAAGATGAGACGGGTTAGAAGAGGTTTAGAAAGAGGCCTGAAAATAATTGGACCAGCCTTCAAAAGAGCATTCAATCCCAACTTTCTCCCTGTTCCAAACTTGTCCCGAGACTCCAAGATGAACGAGTGCCCACAGAGTTGATTGACGGGCAATTTCGAGTCGACTCGGCATTTTTACAAGTTCACAATCTTCCGTTCGCCCTTGTTTCATCGGAGAGAGGAACCTCGAGCGTAACATTTTCCCGTCACTTCCCAAGCTTCTCTAGTCCGCTCATTACTACCTGAAGACAGCAACCCGGGGGAGAACATGATTATCTTCGCTCCTCTCCACAAACATTTCGGTCTGCTCTACTCTATTCTCGAAGAAATGCCAACCCCGAACAGTGACCGAGACCATGCCAACCCATTTCCACGCTTTGTATCGATTTACACACTTTGTGTACCTAGCAATTGGGTAAGAATATTGACTAGCTACAACTATCGCTTTCATCTTCCTGAAGCCGAGCACCTACAGTTGCCTATTGCCGTGGGCAATATTGTACGTGGACATTCGACTGACCGACAGAAAGGAGATCCAAGAGACGGACAGTTCATCTGCTCTAGATACTTGAATAGAGATCTCTTGTTCCAATAGCTTGTCGGTATCGTAAAGTAAATATATGGAGCATCTATAGAACCGGGGCATAGATCGGACCCCAGATGACGTAAGCGGGTTGCCCGTGACAACGCGTCAACAGAGTCTCCCAGCCTCCTCCAACCTCCTCAATTACGTGTAGAGCAAAGACACCTCGTTTGGTGTTCTCCCATCTCTGCATCTTCAACATTCTACGGAGATCATACTAGACATTTTACATTTTGTTCCACATTCTTCATTCCACGTTCCCGCATTCCAGTGCCAGAAATCGTTATCTAGATCGGGTGCGGATCACTTACCTCAATGTAAGCTGCTATCTCGATTGCAAGAATGCCCAAGGTACTGACCAACATCTAGAGAGTCCTGTCTTGAGCTACACGCTCTCGACCACTCTAAATTGCCATCATGGCTCCAGTTCCGGAGAATCAGGAATTTCCCGGCCTTCCTGCAGTGGGAGCTGCTGATCTCTATATTCGAGACACCAGCAATGAGAACGCCCTCGACATGTCGCCCTCTCTCAACACCAACTCTCAGTCCCTTGCTGCCCGTGCCGATTCGACAACAACCCCAATCCGCGGAGCGGGTACGGTGGACCCACACAGCATCAAGATGCAAGGTCTGATGGCTTTGTTCGCTATTATCGGGGCACTATTCGTTCTGGGAGCAATCTGGTTCTTTTTCTGGGCCAAAAATGGAGGATTCGTGTGGCGGAAGGGCGATTGGGATGACTACAAGTCCACCGTCCTTCGACGAAAAGGACCTGATGGAAAGACACTCAGTAATGCCACAAAGAGTACCAAGCTCGGCGGTGGAAGTATTGTTGACAAGGGCTACACCGATGATGGATATTCTTTTACCAATGAGACATACACCGACACAGCGACAACAGTTACTGAAGAGAAACCTCGACGCAAGCGATTCAGAGAAACCGCAAAGGAAAAGCTCCTCCGCCGCAACAAGCACGAGCAATGGGAAGGTGCTGAGGATGATGATGTGCGTGCATACCGTGAAGAGAAGCCTGCTCGCATCGGTGGTATGAACCGCGAGGCCGATGGAACCTACAACGGCAGTGATTACGACACCTCCGCTCCGCCAACATCCTACCAACAAAGCGAAATGAGCGAAGCCCATGACTTTGCCTACGAACGGCCCCGCCGTCAACGCCGTGATCCCTCTGGGTTCTCATTCCAAGGCGGCGAGGACGTCATCAGCCACACCACTGAAGAGCGTCGCGTCCGTGAACCATCAACCCGCCGTCACAACCGCCGTCGCGACCGTCGCAGCCAAGCTGGACCACCTCCCGCTCCTTCATCTCGTACCAGTAGTCCGCGCAAGCATGACCGCTCCGCTCACCCACACCCTCCCGGCCATTTCACCGAGCCGCTCGACTTCTCATCTGCCGGTTCTCGTTCCGAATACCAGTACTCGAACGTCGATACTGAGGATTCCGGTACAAAGAGTTACAAGCACCCCATTCCAGGGTTGACCAAGGGCTACCGTCGTGACGGCCGCAGTCGTCGTCGCGACAGTCTGAGTGACAGTGAAGGCGAAACTCAGTACTCGTGAGCTTCGGCATGATTAACTTTCTTTTATGTATGCAACATCCGAGGTAACGGGCTCCAATTAAGATCTGGACCTCGGAGGAATTTTATGGATTGTGGGAATAGCGTCTTTTTTTCTTTTTTTGAGGCAACTGTATTGCCTATTGAATTACGGATTGGAACGGTCATGTATGGGAAATTGTCTGGGTCATGTACATAATGAACTTGCTTACGACGCGAATGGAATTACTTCTCAGCGCATTGCCTTACTATGCCTATTTCGGAGTCGCCTACCTAGACAGAGAGTACTGTAGAACTTCTTTTCTACTTTGAACGTAACTCTTCTTGCTTTTTGGGTTATCTTGTTCTACTTCTTCCAAATTGGAGTTGGATTAGGGTTGCATGTATTCCCATAGTTGGGAATCTTGACCCTGATAGCAGCCAAACTGGTAGATACCCAATGGATCTTGTCAAGGCCGCAGATTTTAAGACAGTACTAGTTTTATAACCTTCCTTTGGCATTGGATGGCCACAGTTGATGCCCTGTAAAGGATATCATGTTGTCGCCTGAGGCATTACTGCTTACATCACTGCTTATATCATCTAGAATACTTTGATCCCCTCACCGCCCGCAATTCTCACCGCCCGACAAAATTTCCCAAAAAGTTTCAGTTTCCTCAAGATTCAAGAAAATAATGCAAAGCACAACCAAGATGAAGCGCAAGCTGGACGCAAACGATGTTCCTTCCCCGGAGACTGCGGGGACAGACAACCAAGATCTCGACTTTGAAGCCCTCAACCTCGATCCTCGACTGCGCCAGGCTCTGATCAAAGAAAAGTTCACCAAGCCCACTCTGGTACAATCCAAGGCGATTCCGCTTGCGCTGGAAGGAAAGGATATTCTGGGTATGTCTCAGAGCAGGTTTTAATATGTTCAATTACTAATGGAAGAAGCTCGCGCCAAAACTGGCTCTGGTAAAACTGCGGCCTATGTTCTCCCGATCCTGCAGGCCATTCTCCAACAAAAGGCTGTTCGTCTATCTTTCTCCAGTATCTGATTGTGTTCTTCACTGACATGAACAGGCCGATCCCTCATTGAAAGCCACAACTGCTTTGATCCTCGTCCCAACCCGCGAGCTGGCAGAACAGGTCCAAAAAGTGATTACAACCTTCGCCGCGTTCTGTGGCAAGGATATCCGTTCAGTCAACTTGACCCAAAAGGTGTCCGACGAAGTGCAACGTTCTTTGCTTGCAGATTTCCCCGATATCATTGTGTCAACGCCTACTCGTGTCTACAGCAACGTCAACAACTCCGCCTTGGCGCTCGATAAAATTACCCACCTTGTTATCGACGAGGCTGACTTGGTTCTCTCATACGGATATGATGAAGAAATCAATGCTCTCTCCAAGGCCATCCCTCGCGGCGCACAAACTTTCCTGATGAGTGCTACTCTTACCTCAGAGGTGGACACATTGAAGGACCTGTACTGTCGGAACCCGGTTATTCTGAAGCTTGAGGAGAAGGAAGAAAAGGGTGCCGGCGTCAGCCAGTTCGTCGTCAAGTAAGCTCCCTGCCGTCATCTATCCATCTACCGGGTACTAATTGCTCTCCAACAGGTGCGCCGAAGACGAGAAATTCCTCCTGACCTACGTTATCTTCAAGTTGCAGCTTATCAAGGGCAAGGTCATCATTTTTGTTCAAGATGTGGATCGCTGCTACCGTGTGAAGCTTTTCCTTGAACAGTTTGGCCTGAAGAGCTGTGTTCTCAACTCAGAATTACCCATCAACTCACGAATCCACGTTGTTGATGAGTTCAACAAGGGTGTCTATGATATTATTGTGGCTGCTGACGAGCAAGAAGTGCTCGGAACAACCAAGTCAAAAAAGCGCGAAGTGAAGGAGGCCGAGGAAGAAGAAGAAGCAAAGGAAGAAATGGGAGACAGCGAGGACGAAGAGGCTACCGAAGACAAGAGCGAAAAGAAGGGACAGATCCAGAAGCGTCGCAAGATGACTGGCAAGGAAAAGGACTACAGCATTGCGCGCGGTGTCGACTTCCAGAACGTTGCATGTGTTCTCAACTTCGACCTTCCCACCAGCTCAAAATCATACACACACCGTATTGGACGTACCGGCCGCGCGGGTAAGGCCGGCATGGCCCTCTCCTTCGTGGTACCAGTCGAGCAGCACGGCAAGCACCGCCCAACCTCCATCCCAAGCACAAAGTACGACGAAACCATGCTGGCAAAGATCATCAAGCGTCAAACTAAGCTCGGCCACGAGGTCAAGCCCTACCATTTCGAGATGACACAAGTCGACGCCTTCCGTTACCGTATGACCGACGCCCTGCGTGCCGTGACCCGTCTGGCCGTGCAAGAAGCCCGAGGCCGCGAGATCCGTCAGGAACTGATCAAGAGCGAGAAGTTGAAACGCCACTTCGAAGATAACCCGGACGAACTTCGCCAGCTGCGCCACGATGGTGAGCTGCGTGCTGCTCGAGTCCAGGCCCATCTCAAGCATGTTCCTGACTACCTGATGCCTGCCAAGGGTCGCAAGGGAATTTCCAAGGAGAATGCCGGATATGTTGGATTCGCGTCAACCAAGCAAAATCGTATTCGCAAGGCAAGAGATCGCAACCGTGCCCGCGGAAAGGGCAAGGCTGGTGGAAAGGTTGATCCTCTCAAGACCTTCAACCGGCGCAAGTAGTTTGGATCTTTGGTCTTGTGAGGTGATACCATTTGTACAGTCAGACATGAATCGGGATAGTTTCAACATGGATTTTTGTCTTAATGCCTATATGCAGTATATTTATTTCTCTTCCTCCCCCATTCGTACATCGTGCTACGCGGCGAGATTTAAAGCTAGTCGTTGTCACTTGAAGCTCGCCAGGTGATAAGAGAGTAAAGGGTTGTTCTTGATATGAAGTATGGCATTTCCATTTCAATTCATGTAGAACCATATCTAGGCCTAGTATTCCAGGGAAGCCTCAGAGGACAACTGAAATTTTCTGTCCTAACAATGTCCTCACCGTCTCCGAGTCAACATCCTCCAATCCAAAAGAAACCTGGACCCATTTACCATTCCCCTCCTTCCTGATCTGCCGCACGTGTGTGCGTATATCCAAGGAAATCTGAATGGAATCGCGGTAATTTTGGAGGCCAATATTACGATTCGAATTGAGAGACCGCTGCTGGCGTCGCCAAGAAGTATCAGATTCATAACCATCGAAGTAACCAGGTGAGATAGGAGAGTCAGCCGGTGATTGTGGCTCCGGGGTTTCTAAATCACCGGACAGATCAGGGACCCAGCCAGGGCCCACATTGATCCATTCCACATCTCTCCACGACCCATTCCACTCTGGGCCAGAGGCTCCGAGTGGATATGGATTGCCGTCTGGGTCCTTGCCGACCCATTCCAAGGTTTGTAACCAGTCAGTGCAACCTTCGAGGTCAAGCCATTTGAGGCAGTAGGTAGACTGTGAAAGTTGACGTAGAACGCTCGCGGCTTTGGCCCAGTGGTTCTCTAGAGCTTCAGAGTCGTCGTCGTAACTGTAGATTGAGGAGTGGTGAAATGGGTGGCGTGTGAGGCTAGTCTCCAAGCCCGGGGTTCGAGTCGGGGCGGGCCAGTGAGCGAGTGAGAGATGAGTGAGGGTCGACAGGCGTGCGACGAGATTGAGAAGAGAGTTCCAATTTGCGGAAGCAGGTTGTGGGTGAGCAAGTGACAAATAGCGGAGATTGGTGAAGCGTAGACCGTGGGCCATGCCCTTGGGAATGGACAGGCCTGGCTCTGCATCTGCATCTGAGGAAGCAGGTTCTGAGTTATCTGGATCAAGTTCTTCATCCCATGAGCCTGGAATCACGGACTTGAGCTCCGAATTCGGTTTGGTTGAGATGAACAGCTCGCTTGTCAGCTGCTTAAAAGTCATCCAGTTTCCTAGAGCATTTCCCAGATCCAAGCGGGAGATAGCAGCATCACTGGCCAAGATGCTATTCTCGGTGGCGCTATCAGTATGTTCATCGTCTTGGATATGGTCTTTCTCGGATAGAACAAGCGGATTCAAGCCTTTCATACGACCGTTCAGTTGAAGACCTCTGCCATACACAGCGACGTAGCTCAAGAGCAACGATTTGATACGACCTGGAAGCTGAGCGAGAAAGGGGCCGTCGTAGTCCAAATGCCAATGCCACTTCAAGGCCATGGACTTGAGCACCATGTGCAGTAAATCCCTCGGATCCGGGAAAACGACCCCCGGGAGCCGCTTCAATCGGTGAACCACTTGCCTGGGATTCATGTGGGCCGATTGACACTGGAATGTCCCATTTGAGTCGTCCGTAGCACCAGAAAGCCAACTCTCAGGCGGCGGAGGTCCGGCCGTCCGTCGCGGGCGAGAACCGATGGCAGTGCGCTGGGCGCCAGGGCGAGGTCGCGGCGGTGGGGTTTCTGGCAGCTCGAGAAGATTTCTGAGCGATGGATGGACAGAGCGAGAGGAAACCAAAGAGCGTTGAGAGGGACGTGGCCGGGATGCGCCCTCTTCTGATGGATTCGGTGTCTGTGTTAGCCGCAAGTGGCTGATCAGATCATTGACTGACTCTGCAGCCACAGATGCCCCGGGCCTGTCATGGCGAGACGACGAACCAAGACTATGGTGGGCAGGACTAGCGGGCTTAGTATGAAATCGCTGGTGTTTTTTGGGCATGAGAGGTTGCAAAGGTGAAGTTGAGGCTCCCCGCTTAACTTATCGCTTATCGGCTTCCAAGTCAACAACGCTAAGCTGATCGCTGCATTTCTATAAATATTCTACATGGAGTGTTTTGTACAATGGGCTCAGATATCACGAACCCAGGAATCGTCCTTCATGTGGCCCTCCCGCTTAGGACCTTCCGCCAACCAGGTGTCCACGAGGCCCTCTTTGGGATCCTCGTCGGGGAATCCTCGAGACCGGCGAACATCCAAGACGAGGTTTCGCACCTTCAAGGTGACCTCTTTGCGCAGCTCAACTGCTTCTTTGTTGTGCAACAGTTCCTCGCTCAAGACACCCACAGGTAAGTCGCAGGAATCGCGGTTGCTCTTTTCAATCTTGGCCTTTAACTTATCCCAGCGCGATCTCATCTCTCCGAAGACTTCATCGGTGTCCACCTTGGGCCCGAAAGTCACGCTAACTCGCTTTCCAGCTCGAGGCAAGAAACGCGGGAACTCGCGACTCTCGTGCATGACATCGTCAAAGCCCTCGATCCACATCGGGACTACGTCCGGACACTCCTTGGGCTCTAAGATCAGGCGTGCGATACCCCATTTGAAATAGCGCATCGTCTTTCGTGGAGACTGGTGGATTTTGCCCTCGGGGAAAATGTGCACCCACGAGTGGGAGTTGCAGGAGTATGCGGAAGGTGCCGCGTGCGCATCCTGACCGTCGGTAGTGTAGGCAATCGAGAGACCGGAGAATGGATCGACGCAGACATTGTCCTTGCTCCAATGCTGATGTTCGGGGATAGCGCGGTGGTGGTCAACAGGGAAGGGGCCCTTGGATAATAATCGGACGGCTTCCGTAATGGCAGGTTGTCCCAGGCCACCGAACGGAGAGTGAGCGAGACGGTGGGTCGGTAAGACCTTGCCCATAGTAAAGAATAGCGAGAGAGGTCTATGTTTGCCTCTGGTCAGCAAAGCCTTGGTCGAAACGGGGATTGATAATACCTGGTCTGGTAGCAAATATCGTAACTTCCAAATGACCATCGCTTGTTCCAGAATCGCATGGGCAAAATGCCCCAGATCAATGGATCATCCATACTGGTATCCCGGCGCAAAGTCAGCCATCTTCGAAGTTTGTGTATAGATTGTCTCGAGGGGAGCTGCATGAACGTACACGCTAACATGATTTGAGACTAGAATCAACGAAATTGAATCAGCATTGTACCCAAGATACTCCAAGTCCCCCAGTGTTGTCTCTGGCGTCTGACGTACCTGTAATTAAACCTCTAGACCGATCCGACACTTCATGTCGCGAGTCTAATAACTCTGTGAAAGCCTCCTTGCCATGACACTCTGCATTACAGAGAACAGATAGAAATCCACGACAGAGACCCGCCACTCCCCACATCGTTGTGTTGGAGAAGGCCCTCCAAGGAAGGGACGGGGAATCTGCTGTTGCGCTGGAGTCCATGGTGGATGTTGTCAAGTGCTATAAACAATCCATAGACGAATCCGCTTGATTCAAGCCACCGGATAGCTTGGGGGAGAGGTCTCCACGAACAGAAGAGTCTCACTTGCGAGAGAAAAAAAAGAAAAATGTTGTCGCGTCCCTGGAAATCCACTGTCTCGGGGGGATCACATGATTTTGGTTGGGGAAGTTCAGAGCAAATCAGCTGTCCAACATTACCATATTTCTATAGATCAAAGTGAACATATGGCACCTTAGTAAGATATTTCAACCAATATAGTTCCAATCACCCCTACTTTTCCGTGTTCTGGCCTCGTTCAGCCCTCCCAATCCCATCGCCGACCTCTATACATCGGGCGCACGGACCAATTGCAGTTCCGACTCAGCGCACGATTTTCTCCCGACACCTCAACACCAACAAACCACAATGTTCAAGTCTACTCAGGCATTATTCGGTGGTCTTCTCTGGTGCGTTGGATTGGATCCCTGCTAATCACTCTAGCTAACTTTTCTTTCCCGAATATAGGAAGACCCCGTGGCGTCTCTCTTCACCCCAGAAGGCCCGGCAGCGCAAGCGCCTGCGCTCCGTGGACCGGGTTGTCGACACCGTCAGCGCCGCCCTCTCGCGCAACGGACAGACCTCCAAAGCTGTGGACCGGTGGTTTGCGGAGATGCCGCGCGAGGAGGAGATGCTGCCAAAGGACAAGTACACTCTCTTCGATAAGAAGGAGAAGAGCTACCGGAAGAGCATTCACAGTATGTTTCCCACGCCATGCATCATATCGGTGTCCATTCACCCCTGGAATTCGTCAATATGTGACTGGATCAGACGAGCTGACTGTTTTCTTCCTACTCTAGAGCTGCCCAAGTGGACTCGTGTCAGCCAACGTGTGAACCCTCCTGGTTTCTAAGGGACGTTTTCCCCCTCGCACATGTACTGTACAATACATCCGACGCTCGACATTTGAACGGGACTCGGAGCGGAAACAACATTTGGACTACCGGAGTTTTGGCTTTTGTGAATTGCTGCGCGGCCACTCTGAAGAGGATGGTGGCTTACAATGTTCCATTATTACCCCAGCGCTTAGATCGGGCTTTCAATTCAATTGCATTTCGATATACTTTCTGTGTCTAGTACTCCGGTTTTTCCGGGGATGTTGATGATAGAGATGGAATCAGGGGAAGGGTAGCGAGCGTATAGCACAGCCGACAAGTGATAGATATGTCGAGTGATATCCCAGGCCGAACGACTCAACTGCGGACTGGAACGAGCAAACTTATTGGTGAAGTGCAGACAGGATATTCCCGTATCTTCCTCGTGAGACGTGACGGTTCAACTCCTCATTTGCTAGAATGACAGCCGGGCATCAATCTGCCCGATGCACTGCGGTAGTAGTTGTTGACTTGCGCCGCCACTTCTTTCAGTTTTCCCCGATTGACACGTCCTTCATAGATGCCCTTGCGGAGACGGTATCCCCAACGAACTTGTTGCCAATCTTCAAGCTTCTCCTGCCATCCTGCGCCTCCTTCGTACCAGGCATTTTTCTGCGCAGTGGACATTTCAAAGCCTTGCGGGGGCTTCGGCAAGGCCCAACAAGCTGGGTCAACATGACCATCTGGCGGTTCCTCCGCGGATCCTTCAAGCAATTCCACAGTGCGAATGACATCTCGAATGCCAGACACTTTCCGCTGGTTGTTGACTCTCGCACGCCAGGAGTCTATCCGAGGGGTATGTGCTCGCTTCTTAATGCACCTGGGGTACTTGGCTCGGGGACTCAGGATTGGTTCCGGGTAGGGGAAATTGAAGCGAGGATCTCCCCATTCCCGTCGTGCATCGTTGGTGACTCTTGATATGGGATCGTACACGATCCAGGTTTCTCTATTTAGCCAGTGGTTGGCAAGCATCGCAAAATGATATGGCTTTTGCCCGGGGCTGAATTCATTGAATGTCCATAGCAGTTTTCGGTCCAACATTTCCATCAATCTGACCTCCCAATCACTCAACTCGTCAACTGGCCCTCCAGGTTTTAGCTGGGTATGGTCTGTTGAATGTTGGAAAGGCCTGTTTTTCTCATTGGCGCTTGTGCAACGAGGCAGCTGGGTAAGAAATGGATGGCTCGGAAGATGCAATGATTGCCATTCCTTATGAAGTTCCCCTCTGGTTGGTTGTCCATTACTGCCGAGAGGGTGACTTCTTGCTGGTGCTGAATTCCATTGGATAGACCTGACATATATCTGTTTCTCATTCAAGACAACGTGGTCACCCATTAGTACTCTCGAAGTGAATGACATTTGACTTTGGGAAACCTGTAGATATCCCAGATCGGTCTTTCGTCTTTTACGGCGAAGTCGAACAGATGAGCTGTGTTCAGAACTATAGCTGGCCAACAATTCAATCATTGGCGTCCCAGGAGGACCAGAGGAATCACGACACTTTTTTAGTGCTGCAACTTTGGGGCCTATCTGCATTCGGGCTGCCCAGCCACGATATTTCTTTGGATTTCCGTTTTGGTGAGGTGGATATGGCCCATTAAGTGCGCAGGAATCGGTTGAGGCACCAGTTTCGTACTGCATATCAATGTGGCGCACAATAGACTCAACTTGGCATGAGATGGCTTCAGACCCTTTGCTTTGCGACCAAGGAATCACTTTCCGACGCTGGTATAACTGATTATGATGCGAGGGAAGCGAACGGATGTAATCATATGGAATTGATGCTCGAGTCGTTGGCCTCGATCTGATATCGTTGAATTTGAATAATTGATAATGATCAGAAGTGCTGTCACCCCCAAGAGGATTCTTGAGAAGCTTCTCCATGATCGAACGATTTATCACCGGTTGGCCGTTATGCGGCACTCGGGGTGGCTGTGAGAGCGACGGCAAATTGCCATCTTGCTCTCGCTGTCTTTCCACCGAGTGTGTCGGCCCAACAGAACAATGGGGAGTGGTATCCATCAAAGCCCCATGGCACTGAGGCCGTGAGCAAGGGTCCCAAATCTCATCGGCGGAAGGCAAATTATCATAGCTCTTCAACCAATCTGGGAGCCACCAAAGCCCTTTCATCTCGCGACGGCGCTTTTGTCTTTCTTGACCACCAGGATCCCACCAGACCCAACTATAATCAGCCCTTGTGGACTTCCAGGCAGTCTTTCTCTGTATCCAATCCCATAAATCGTGGAAGACTTGCTTATTCCGCTCGTGAGTTGGGCGTTCTATCCAACCATACCATGTTCTCGCATATCTGGTTTTGGTGGATTTGCCTGCTCTCAGCACCTTCTTTCGGTTAAACCTTCTAATAAAGTGACCAAGCTTCCAAAACAATACTGCAAGTATGAATATGCCGACTGTTCCAGCCATCAGCTCTGCGAAGACCCTTGGGTCGATAGACTTGTGTACTTCGACTGGGATGTTCGGTGGTCGTTTGGGGGAGACGAGGGATCCCCGGTCCAAGTGAGTGGCTCTGTCGAATACCTATTGGCGCCATTGATTAGTGTCGTATGTATTCTCCAGTAATCAGTAAGGATATTGAGAATGGTGTTTGATTTGGGAGTATGCCCTGGATGATGTTGTAACGCCCACAAGGAAGTCGCAACTTATATAGTTGCCTGCGTCCACGGGTGCCAAACCTCCTTTCTCATGTCTGTAGGATACCTACTTTTGTCTTTTTTCTACTCGATGGAGTCAATACATTTCTGTCGGGTATAAATATGCCAGAGGGTCTCCTAAGCCTCTAAGCCATTACGAGATCCCCATCGAGGAGTGATCTATATAGCCCTAAGTAATGGGTCTTTCACGTTCCGATTGACTACATCTTCGAAGCACTCTGAGGTGAAAAAAACAGGCTTGGCCTATTTGTGTTGACTTGATATAGGATTGCTATGGACAGTCTAAGTGTAAACAAGCATTGACTTGCATCCCAGTCTCCTGATGCAGTGAAAAGTTCGGGCAATTAACCGTAAATCGTATGAGTAGACCTTGTTACCTTCATTTTGTCTAGGGTAGAGAATTACTGGTTAACTTTAGGTCTGGAAGTCATAATTCATCTTAGCTCCACGATATATATCGTATTCCCTTGGGGTACATACCGCAACCCTAGACTAAATTCGCCTTCTAGAACAATACAACCAAAGACGCTGTATACATTCCGCATGATTTGAAATAAACAGACGGTCATGGTATCACATACAATCCTTAATTTATTCAGCTCGCTTAACATAGCTTGTGTATCCCCAGCAAATACTCAGGCGATTGAGATTGTTCTTCGAGTCCACGCAAGACTGCAAGGCTGGCATAGCATAACATACAGTGGTCGATCGTTAGACAAGTAAAAGATGCAATTCAAAAAAAAAAAAAAAAAATTTTCTGTGAGGCTGTCCTTTGCGTAAAAAATAACTATCAGTTGGGCCGCACACCTAACATGTACACTGTTGATGGGCGGCAGTTACTCGTCCTTCATTGGAATCGACCATTTGGGGATGAGGTCAGTTCGTTTCATTCTGTAGTGAAACTTTCCACATCTCATGCTCTCCTTGTCACCAACGGTTGAGCTCGGACTCCTGTACTTTGGGCAGTCAAGAACTCGGACAAATGGGTGTAGCCACTTTCTCATTCATGCCTAAAGGTGAGACAGATCTAGACTCAAGTTCGGGTGGCAAATAGTCCCCGCAATCATGATACGGAAAACAAGCCCAACTCTGATATCCAAATGACATGTCAGTTCGCATGGTAAAAACCAGGGATGTCTTGATCGGAAAGGGGGCACTAACAGTCTATGATCGCGGATCTTCACATGAAAACCGGGAACCGCAACAGTAGAATTGCTTTTTCTTGTACGAACAAAGTGATATCAGACCGGGTATTAAGGTCGAACTGGAGGCCCCGTTCAATCCTGCCTAATCGGGAAGGACACACGGTCCACCGCCACACCGCTCCAGCCACCCTTGCAGTCTAGCCACATCACTAGCCACCTGCGGCTGAAGGGTGGCTGTGCACAGCCTGGTCGATCAGCCTCGAGCCCTGACGGTCTTCCCTCTTTCGTGTGTGTTTTGTTGGGCATCCCGTGTTGAGTCCGTCTTCTCCGCTCTCTGATGCTTCCGTTCTATTGATGATCTTGCTTTTCTAGTGCCGGTTTGGCGCCAAACCGGTTCCTCAAGTGCATTCTCGTTTCACCTCGAAATCATACTTTGTTCTGCATGCACTTGCATCACAGGCTTCTGCCCAACCGAGAGGTGCCGCAACTGTGATGATAGAGACAATCACGACCTGCTTTATTTACTTTTCGCGGATCCGACTCGGGTCCGAGAGATAATGCGAACTATTGGGGAGATCGACAGTCTGATCGCCGAAGCAGCCTTACTGGTTATTGATCACACGTGGAGCATCGAAGAGTCTCCCAATCTGGACTCTGCATCTATTGATCGGTGTTCATGTCGGGGAACTGGAGCATGATTGAGTTTGGCCAGGTAAGGCGGATCGTGCATCTTGTCAGAGCCAATATGGTTAGGGGCTCGGCTGTCAGTTCAGCTCTAACTCTAGTCCAATGTCTTTCTTGCCCCCTAGGCAACACCTTTCGATGATGCAAATCTCAATTTGAATCGGCAGACTAGAACATCTCAAAATTGGGTTGACTTGATATCACTGCAGATTATGTCGGGGATTCCGAGAAATGAACATCTCCTGCACTCCACTCCACTGGCGCCACAGTTCATCGTCATGCTGTGGCTTGCAGCTCTCTGTTGAAGAGGGAACCCTGCAAAGTTGAATGTTGCGGTCTGCTTTCCTTTGACATCACACGGCACTCATTGCTCAAGTAGGTCTAGCTCGGAACTTGGGTTGATCATGAAGCTTCGCAATACGTCCCAGATGAGATGCCTGCATACTAGTGGTGCGCCACATCAACGAAGGTTCAAACAGTTCTACGGCCGACATCCGGGAGGGTCTCAAATGGCACTGAATAATCAGACACCGGTGTTTGATAGTGGTTTTGCGATGTCGAGCAGTGACCCGCTGATTGATCCGTGCACGAGACTATTGAAAGGATAAGCCGACTGTTCCGTCTCTGGACCCTCAATTCACAACACTCCTGATCCTGCGCATGAACGTTGAGTCTACATGCCAAGATGTGTATCGGGCAAAGCTCTTCCGGAAAAAGCACCCAGGGCGCGAGGGGGTCGAATCAGAAGAACCAGAGAGTGTGGACCCTATGCTGTGAACTCTACAGCCGATCATGCCACTAGCCTCAGATCTCCTATGCAGCTCGATCTCTCAGATCTTGCACTCCACAATTATGTTGAACGCGTACCCGTTGATTAGAGGAGGTAGGACTAGGATCAATTCGCCCCACTGTTCGATCCCATGCTGCCGGAACGTGCGGCCGCAAGGATGCTACATATGTCGAATAGTCAATCGAGCTCATAATTTTTTACTGCATCACGGCTGCCTTACCCGTCCCAGGTACCTGGTCACTGACCATTGACGCTAACCGCGTACTTTGTACGGTGGCAACATTGGGTCCATATTTTCCAACAGCTAAGGGTATGCACCCAGACTCCGGGTTTGGTCCCTCGGCGCATGCTGTGAAGTATATGAAGACCAGGCTAGGGCCACTTCAAGCCCGATCTATCCTCATATCCTGCATCTTTTGTTATCATTACTCGGATTCCGATCTCCCTTCATCCAATCGCACTTGACATTCTTGTCTTTGTCTCTACTTTTACTCGAACTTTATTCCGGGTGCTTCGTGATTATAATCCAACGATAGCGCCCGTTTCACCAGGTTCTCGTTGGGCCAAAGCAGATCAAGGTGCCTTAAACCTTATATATCTATGAGCCCTTCCTTCTTCTACTCTTTTCAAAGAACAAAATGGCCGGTCGTGAATTCACTCTGTCCTTCGAGACCACTCCCCCAACAGCTGTGCGACCTGGGCTTCCATTTACCATTCCGGTAGTCATTGCAGTGAAGCCCATCGGAACCCCGGCCCAAAACGTTCAAGCCCTCGTGGTGAACGCCTCACTGCGCGACGAAAACGGTGCTGGAGCCGCAACGGGCCTGAGCGGTAATCTTACAGCGAGTGTACGCAGCCGAGCCGACAATGCAAAGAGTGGTTTTGCGAAGTGTAGCCCTTTGACGATCTCGCAACCGGGGAAGTTTCGCCTGCGCGTGATGCTCAGCGTGGCCTCGTATAATGGCGTGGTGACCAAGGAGTATGTCGACTCGGCGGTAATTCATGTACACGCTGGCGCAGCGGCGGCGCAACAGCCAAGTGGGTCTTCCTTTTCCTCTTTTCCTCACTTCCAGTTTCATTTGCTCTTCTGTTGGACGTGGAGATCTCGCGTTATTTTTTTTTCTTCTCTCTCGCTCCCGCTGATTCCATGCCCCCTCACCCACCACGGCGGCTCTTAGGGTCGGAGTTTAGCCCCTCTGCCTTTTTCAGACTTCTGCTGACTGTGGAAACTTTAGCTGCTCTTCAAGTTATGCGCCTCCAGCAACTGACGGCTGAGAATTTGGATATCTCCGCCGCCGATATTGCGGCGTGGCAGCGCGCGTAATCCGACAGATATCCTTCATTTTTTGGGAGTTTTCGGGCGTCGGTTATCTTTCATTCTCTTTTGTGGCAGCTTAATATCATTGGATATATATCTCATGCGGAGGAAAGCAATCAGGAGTATCGCAAATATCTGCCTATTCATTCAATAGTCTAGGGCGCACCGGTCTACTAAATATCCACATTTCTCGGGGAATAACCAGCTGTCGCATCGTTATTTAGCGGAACAAGTTTCCTTCCTATCACTTCGTCCGTATGTAGGAACGAGTCCGGCCTCTTCTGCAGAGGTTATCCGGACCGGTGGCGTGCAGCAAATCAAGATTACCCCTCCACTATTCACACGAGCGTCTCCATTTACACCGACCTTTCGGAAAAAAAGGTCCAACTAGTCTCAAACCAGATGACAGTCTCAGCTTGAAGCCCCATCTGGGAGATCATGTCCGACGATGCCCATCTCCCTCTCTCCATAAGCACAATCGACCAAACTGCCATTTACCTCGGCCCGGGATGCCCAATCTTAGTAATCTTATATGACCGGCCAATAGGATGCATAATCTAGAGGTTGTATTTTGGATATGGGCATTGTTGTATATGGCACAGACAGCATGCATCGGAGTGGAATCATCAATGGCGGGGCCAATTGCCTTTCGGAGTGTTCCTAGAAGGGGCAAGTCTATCCGGGGGCAATCTGATGAAAGATTCGAACGAGTTGAATGAACCTGAGAGTTGTGTACAATTAGATTCACAGTCAAGAAGATAAATCGGACACAGGCAACCATGTTGGGCCGAGAACAGGGGTCGTCAAAAGATGAGTTGTCTGACCCTTTCCTCACCTCGTGCCATCGAAAGCCCTAACAAAATAGAAAAGACGAAAATCTAAAAAACCCTGCAGGAGGCAATATGTCGCGCGCAATCGGAGTCCGGCACTGTCAAATTGACCGCCCTATTATTTTCAAGACTAGCGCGATCTCCTAAAGCTATCGGGCGAGTAACGACTTGAAAAGCTTAGCGTTGATCCTTGTAAGACTAGCCCTCGGATCAGGCTAGGATGTACTAGGATTATGGCTTGCTGCTCTGGTTTCTATGGTACCCATCAATGCTGTATGAAAATACATCTTCTTCTAAGAGCCTGGATTGAGATTCGGTCTTGATTCTACCGTTTCTGTCGCCTTGCCCGAGCAAATTGATCCTGTTTCGGGCTAGTCTTCGAGGGTTGCAGGTTTATTCTATCTCTACTTTGTAAAGCTCTCTGAATTCAAAACCCAATTGATATGATCCTGTTACTTTGGTACATCACTGGGTTGCTTTGCGACAAAAGGGACAAACGTGTCGGTGGCCTGATTCATGCAAAATGAAACTTCAATGGATGATTGACCTCATGGCAAGTGTCCCTGCGAAAAAGACTCTCAGTCTCTGAAATCTGTTTCAAAACAATGTGAGATGTGCGGAGATATAAGGACAAGTCTCCTTAATCAACTTGACGCTGCTGACGTGAAAGACCTGACTCACTACGATCTAATCGTATCAGACCCGCTGGCAACCCGGTACGTTGCCAAATTCATGCACCAAACCGATCTCCTCGCTCAGTTCCAACGCGCTGAGTTTGAATCCGACGATTATGAAGCCGAAGACCGAGAGGTCATGGAGCAGAGTCCCGCAGACGCCGGGTACTCACTAACTCTTGCGACGACGGTTGAGGGTAGAGTGACCCTCAATTCGCCATTCAACTACACAATTCCTGGTTGGCCCAGAGCCATTAGGGTAGGACCAATATTGAACAGCAATTGAGGCTGAAGTGAGAGTTAAAAATGGGGCCTGATCTTACTGATGCAGGCTTTGAGGAGGGAGAGGGGTTGCATGGTTGAATAGCAGATGGTGCTTCTACTCTTTTTGTACCTGGTTGCCTCCGACACTAGAGTCTCTCTTATATTTTGGGTTTGGTATTTGGTTTACGTGTAGAGCCGATTTACCCCTCCTTCGTTCCGGGACTGACTCATCTTCTTTGTGTATTGGCGTTATCAAGTGTACGGACGAGCTCTCGCTTCAACTGGATAGAAGCGCCTACATAGCCATTACGATACTAGTTAGGCTGCAACAGGTAAATTGAACTTTGGTTGATTGATTGACCTCAAGGCAAGATATAACAGCCATCTTGCTCCTTCATGAGAAGCTAGTTTTCAAATAAAGTGAAACTAAACATGTGTCCTTCTCGCTCTCTCTAATAGACAACGAAATGCCCTCATCTCCGAGAGCCAAAGTAGAAGATGCAATGGAGCCTTCCAAGATGGGCGTAGAACGCGACCGAGGAGATCTGACCTCTTGATCGGAGGCGCGGGATGAGCACCACCGTAGACTGGAAGTCGGGAGTCGAGTTGAAACGCAGTACAGCGACTGATGATTCACGAGCATAGATCAATCCTGCCGTTGGGAATGGGGCTGCGGTTGTCAAGGGTGAATTGACCCAGATTTGCGACCATTTCGGCAAAACAACTTGTATCCATGGTGGATCAGCTATCGACTTATGTCGAAGGCCGAGGGAGCGGGGCCATCCCGGAGAAACGCATTGGAGAAACGCATTGCGTTTCGGTAGGGGGTGTAAAACATGACAGTGGATGTTGGACCACATAAATCCTGATCACAGACCTGGAACAGTCATTTAGGTGTCCCTATCAGAGCTGCGAAGCTTCTCGATGCCTTCGCGGACCGTTTCACGGACACTGAAGCCACCAAAGAGCCAATCATTGGAGTGCCGACCGCAGTGGTTGACAGTGCCGGTGTAGCGACGGTGGTCCTTACGATTTGAGGACATGCCCTGCTTGGCCGCAAAATCAGGCTTTGGGGACCGAGGTGAAGAGATTGTAGGAGACATTTCTGTCGGGCTGGTAAAGTGATCTCGGTGGTCGGGGAAATATGAAGAGTCGGGGTTGCTCCGCGGGATGTCTCGACCGGGAGAGACGTTTGAGTCCTGGTGAGAACGGCGGGGAATATAGAGTGGAACAGGGGATTTAGAACGGAAGATTCTTGAGGACAGAGAAGGTTTGTCCTGTTTCGTCGAGGCTTGACTAGTGCGAGACGCAGTAGAAATGGAAGATGTTTGGGAAAAGGATCTCTGAGGAGAGCTGAAAGAGTACATTTGAGGATATATGACCCAGCGTAAGACAAGCTGAAGAACGAGGGGGGAAAGTAATATTTATGTCTCTCCTTGATCGTCATGCCTCGTAGGGCAACCAATGAAATCGCAAGTCGCGGGGACCAAGCAAAAGCGGGCAGAACCAATCACGGGGACTCTCAGACCCTAACGAGCCAACCAAAGAGCCCTCCTCAAGCCCCTCCGAGTCCACCCGTAAGGCCTAGCGGTGAGATTGATGGGATTTCAGCGACCAAATGCCCTATCGCACCCTCGACAGCCAATCAGACTTTGTGTCTGCCTTGGAGCCTCTTCTTCCCGCTCTTCCCACCCCGCAGATTCACCGTCTGAACTGAACTGAATTGACACGTCAACATATCCTGTGACTCAACTTATCTTGTGATAACTAGTTATTCCTTACTTGGCTTACTCTTACTTCCTCAGAAATGAGACATTCCAACAGATTTCCTCACTCAAGTGGGTTGAGGCCAATACAGTGCAGGATGGTGTGGACCAAATGCCCGCTATGTTGTAGCCTTGCGAGACAGCCCTACGGAATTCCCCATGCCCCATGCCCCATTCCCCAATCAAGCTCAATTCTCCCCTTCTAGCGTCCTTCGAGAAACCCCGTGCTAACCAGGACACGTGTGTCTCACTGAGTCGCTTGGCCCCCATTCCATGAGTCCACATTTGGACGATAGCTGAATGTGTGGTCGGCACGGCCGTTCCGAGAGGTGTACACTTGCCGTGACGGGGCGCTATGGAGCTCGTCTAACTAGGGCGTATTGCCCTGGCCCGTCACTATCGGTATTGACATCATCTGGCAAAGGCCATGATTTGTGGTGGAGATTCTGTAATTCTCCGATGCCGGACAGGGCTGAATTGATGATCTGTTGCACATCATAGCCTTACATATCAAATTCTTCGCTTTGGTGACTTGCTCTGATGAATGATGGAAATAACAGCCACTACCAGACTGCCGATGATGTTATATGTTTTGCAACTCATACACTAGTTAACAAACAGTACTCAGAATGCCATGAAATCCTTTGCCATGAGCACTGGGGCCATCCTCTCAAATTCAAAATGCGGAAGGAAATGCAAATGACGAAATGCAAAAAAAAGGAAATCAACGCAACAGCAAAAAGAACCAAAATCATTCCCCAGACTCCTGCAGCGTCCACAGTGTGGCACTCGGTCTCCTCCAGGCACGCGGCTGTTCAGAATGACACCTCCGATGCCGTCTCTCAGCTACGAACTTCGCCGCATCAACACTAGTAAGCGTCGATCGCCCCCTATCCGATCCAGGACTCAGCGGTACTAGCCCCTGAGGCCGGATCAGCGCAGACATGACACTCGGATCAGCTGCCATATTAGAAGGAACCACGAGCAAAGACTGCGTCTTGTTCAACGGCGGCCTCCGAATCAGCCGGCGCAAAACACCGCGATGGATATTTTTTCGGGTGTCGACCGGCGAGGCCGACAACTGGATGCCCTCATTTCGCACCTTGGATGATCGGAACCAGAGTCGAGTCATCCGTTTTGATGGTCGGACTATGCCCGCCATCTCTGTATCGTCGCCCAGCATGTCCTCTGTGATGAAGGGCACGGCGGTGGCTTGGGGAAATGAGCGCTGGATATAGTTGGCGGGTCCTGTGCCTGGCTTGGAGACATGGAGGTCGAGGCCGCGCGGTTCTAGCATACACAGCTCTGAGCCGCAGTGTGGCCAGGTGTGATGCCTTCTGTGATGGCGAGTGTGCGACATGGTGGGTGGTGTGGTGGTATGGTAGTATCAAAGGTAGGGGTTTGGTTCGAAGTAGCACCTAGATATCTTGGAACAGATTTATCCCTTCATGATGCTATAAATTGGAGTTGAGTAATTTCTTGATGCGAAATGCGGAGAAGCTGGGGGAGGGGGAAGAGGCATATATATTCCCCAGGGCAAACGACATCATGGATTCTCAGCAGTTGACTCTTCTACACGTGCAAGGCCAAAAATACCTCAAGACCCGAGTGACTCAGGACTCAGCTGTGGGTAAAAATGACCCGGGTGCATATAGGTCAGAATGTCGAAAGAGGTGGACTATTCCGGTTTGTCGAATCATGGGTCAGGAATGATAGACAGACGGGCAAACGCAGAACCGTGTGCTAGCTCTCCTGTCCACGGCTGTTTCTTCGACCCAATACCGGGGAGAATTACTCATAGAAGTTGAATTAGCATCGTCGTGTCGGGCGGATCTTCACCTGAGGATGACCTGCTAACCTGATGTGGTCAAGAGGACGGCCTGCATAACTGCGGTCGCATGACGTGTGACATGTTGGCAGGCGAATTGGATTTCTGATTATTTTGTCATTCTGATTAAATTACTAAGAAGCAGAGTGTTAATTAAGTCAGGGATATTCCCAGTACAGTAGATGTAATATAATATTTGAGAACATAATGTCAAAGATGGCCAAACATTCCATCAACCAGCCAAGTGGTCGAGCAGTAACTCGGTCATTCAATCTTCCTTGGTCTAGTGGTGATGATTTCCGCTTGTCATTAATACCGATAAGCGCGGGAGACCGGGGTTCGATTCCCCGAGGGAGAGTTTCTTTTTTGCTTTTGCTTCTTTGTTTTGCTCGCTGTTTGTTCACTGTACGTGCTCTTTGTTATTTATTCATGGCATGGGTTGGTTTTCTTTGCCTCGGTCTTCGTACAGGAATATCTCCAAATGCATAACCACTGACCCACACTAGCAGAACAAGTCACAACCGAGATGAAACTAAGATGAAACTGAGACTCGTTAGTTTTCTATTTGTAAAACTCGCTTCACCCCCTATTTTGATTCTAGCAACATAATTCCCCGCTCAAATTAGGCAGTGTAGGCAGCACAGCGGCGATGAGACTATTGCGCTGGACCAGGGTGCCTTGGCACGGACTAGTGAACCAACGGTTGTACTTAAGACGCGCCTACTCCCCTGTTCCAGTCCGCCAACTCTCCATGTGGTCAAAAGTCCGTTCATTGATAAAACCCCCGACAATGCCATCTCAAGAATATCTCGATCTCTTCGGAAGTGATGCGGAACAGCCCGAAGAGCCTCTCCCGCTCCAAGCTGCAGTCGAGACGGGGGATCTGAACACTGTGCGCCGGGTGGCATCCACCGCGGACCCTGCAGATCGGAACGCAGCCCTAAGCCGATCGTGCCAGCTCGGGAACAAACCCCTAGTGGAGATGCTGGTGGACTCGGGCCTATGCGACATCAATGCCATCACAGATGGAGCAACGCCTCTCTTCCATGCCGCCCGCAAACGGGACTCAAATTTAGTCAGGTTCCTTCTAGAAAATCAGGCCGATGTGACCGTCAAATGCGCGGATCGTGGCCGGGAAAGGGAGGCCCCAACAAGAACGCCCCTCCATGGCGCGTTCGAAGATGTACATGATTGCAGAACTCCAGAACAAGTACACGAGCTGGAAGAGGTGATAAAATTATTGCTGGAGGCGGGGTGCGATATCAATGCACAAGATGTGCATGGCCAAACTATACTTCAGCGCTGCGTGGGCGCAGGGTCCCCGTTAATTGACTTTCTACTACAACACGGAGCAGACCCGAATATCCGAGGCAGCAACGGAACGACATCAATGCACTTTCTTCATAGGCCCCTTGGAAATCCAGAATGGCTGGGAGCTCTCGTGGCACATGGTGCACGTCTTGACATTGCCGAGAAACAAGGGAATGGCTACACTCCTCTGCACAAGTTCGCGTCGAGCGGCCAACTAGGCGATCTTTCAGTGTTCAGACCCTTTGTGTCCGATTGGGATATCATCGATGCCAAGGGAAACACACTTCTTCACATTGCCGCCAAGAAGCATCGCAAAGGAAGTCCTACTCTATCAGAATTGCTCAGGGCTGGTCTGGATCCAAACCAGAGGAACCATGGAGGACAACAGCCCATACATATGGTCGATGGAAGTGGAGACGACGTGAACGATGTATTAGATATTCTCTGCAAAGCCGGTGCGGATCTTGAGGCTCGAGACTCGAAAGGATATACGCCACTGACCAGGCTCATGTGTGGCCAATCTCAGCATAACTCTCGTGAGCTTATCGAGGTATTGCATCGTCGCGGGGCAAACATCAACGCGCAAGACTACCAAGGGAACGGGATCTTATGGAATCTCATCCAAAACGAATTCCGTTCGCAGCACCTCGACTACCTTCTCTCCCTCGGGGTGAATCCAAACATGACAAACTACAAAGGAGACACATTTCTGCACCATCTTGCAGCAAGCTATGCCAATTCTGTCCTTGACCAAGAGCCGCTTATTCCAGCCATGAAAAAGATGATTGATATGGGTGTTTCCCCCACTCTGCCTAACTTCAAGGGTTGGACACCTTTACATGCACTGTGCAGTCAAGTCTCGGATCATTATTTCGCAGCCGCTGCGGAGGGCGGAAAATCTGCGATTGACTTGCTCCTAGATCTTGGGCTGGACGGAGCTCTCAACACGGCTGATCATCAGGGTGTTCGGCCCATTCATCTGGCAGCCACGACTTCGGAGATACTCGTCGGTAGGCTCATTTCTCGTGGAGCCGACTCCACAGCTATCACAAGTGATGGGCGGAATCTACTTCATATCGCTTCCACTGCGCGACAGAGCAACACAGTAGGATTGCTACTGGAACACTACATCTCAACCAATCAGACTGCTCTGATCAATGCAAAGTCAACCGACGGAAGGACACCTCTCCATGTAGCTTGCCGCTCTGGGAGACTGGAGACAGTAGCCCTATTGCTCGCTCAGGGTGCAGATGTCAGCATTCAAGACGAGCAGGGGCGAACTGCCATGGATATATGCAGCGAGTTTCCCGAGGAGGACAAGCTGTGGCAAGATGCCGATGATGCAGAAAACCTTTTCCACGCATTCACTGCGGCTGGAGTCCTGTTAGAGGACAATAAAAGGCCCACACAACCGAGATCCCGCAACAAGAAACTCAGCCATAACGCCAAACGTATTGGGTGGAAAGGTGAGCTCACATCTGAAACCTCGACGATTGCCATTGGACCTATCGTTCGACATTTGGCGGCTCACGGGGGAATTATCAAAAAAGATGGATATGCCAATGGCCCGATGTTCTATGCCGTTGCCTACGGTAATGACCAAATGACTGTGGAGCTTGATCGGGCGTCACAGGAGCTCAATATCTCACTCCGAAACCATTCCCCCCTCGAAACCAATACTATCCTAGCGCGTTCTAGGAATCTACCAGCTATCTTGGAGGAGCAGTTCAAGAATGGTACATATGAAAGTCAGATCTTTTCCATGGTGCTGCGAGGCCATGAGCAAGAAGTGGCACAGGCCTTGGAGAAGACGGCTTCCAGGGATGTAGAATGGGCCAAGAACCAGTCTAATCTGCCAGAGATATTGGTTGCTCTCGCGAGATGGGGATACGCGGAGCTTTTCGAGCGCATCGGATCTCTTATACCAGGAACTGACTGGATCAACAGTGGAAAGGCTAACAGCTACGGTGAAGAGCCTATTCGACATCTTCTCGCAGCTGGTATGCGCCACCTTCCTAACTTGGAAGTTATCAAGATCATGGTTGAAAAATTCAATGTGGACATCAACGCTCAGTTTGCAAGTAATATGAAACTCAAACCAAAGGTCTATTATCAGTCGTCCATGGCCCAACAAAGGCAGTACAAGGAGGGCGACACAATCCTCCACCACCTCGCCCAGGGCGAGCATTGGTGGCATGAAGGTGCCATTAAATACCTTCTAGAGCATGGAGCCGACCCCAACATCCGCAATAGCCAAGGAAAGACACCACTGTGCAATGCAGTAGCAAGAGGAGAGCTCGCCGGCCACCGTCAGCGTGAAATCACTCGAATTCTCCTCGAGGGCGGGGCTGATCCTAACATTGCTGCTTCATGTGGCTACACGCCATTATCCATGTCAAGTCATGATACACAGCTCTTCCAATCATTGATCAACACCGGTGCCTTCCCATCCCAGGAACACCCAATGGAGCTATTTGCCGCACTGGCGAGCTTCAATACTGAGGTCCTCGAAGCTCTCCTGACAATGGACTTGGATTGCAACAAGACAGTTTTATCAGATACTCAACCTCACTGGCATACCCCTCGCTTCCGAAAACTTCCCGGAACACCGTCATTGATCCTGAGTCCGCTGTATTATATCTCCACGATAGCATACAACGAAGCCAACACCCGCGACAATGCCATTCGCATGATCCAAACCCTAATCAAGCATGGTGCAGATCCCTGGATACCCTGCGACCAAGATGCGCTAGTGCTACACGAGATCTTTGAGAACGGAGGAATCATTCAACCATGGCTTGAACTACCTAACCTGGATCTTGAGCATCGCGATCCTAAGGGACAAACGCTACTGCTAGCAGCTGCGAAGTCACACTCTGGTGTTGACTCCTATGCCTGTCAAGCACCCACTTTCCCATTACGTGGTGGTAAAATCATTTCATCCCAGTGGAAAGAGGGTGACCGCACACGTGCAATGGCATTGTATGAACGTGGAGCGAACTTGACTGTGGTTGATAACACGGGAAATAATGTGCTTCATTCTTTGGCCAAGATTGAGACACAAGATAAAATCTTCGAAGTAGAACTGAAGCGTACATTGGCTTTGTTCGTGGAAAAAATTCCTGGGCTTGTTGATCAGACGAATGGACAGGGGAAGACAGCTCGGATGATTGTTGCGGAGGGGGAAAACCACTGGGCTCGGGAGATCCTTGAGCAGAGTGTAGCAGGCAAGCAGTAAGGCAATATTCATATACTCATTCCAAGATGTGCATCGTTCTACAGCGTCGACAAGACCATACTCGGTTTATACTTCGGATGTTTACTTCTCCGCGAATCTAAAATTAGCGATGACGTAAATCTCCGCACTTTCTAAGCAGACGTCGCTCATAGGTAAGCAACACTAAGCTTCCCAAGCTTCCCCTTCCCTCCTCAACTCCCCACAGGATTTGCTTTGACGATGAGGGATGGCCAGGATATCCCCGGAGAGTTTGATAATGAGAGTCACGAACCGCAAATTGCAGACGATGGACCCGAGTCGAGTCTAATCCCAGTATTGCCCCCACGCCCCAAGCGGAAGCCGTCGTCGCGGACTGTGGAGGAAACAATTGCACAAGGACTGTCCAATGAGGATTTATGGATGCTGCTTCGACGATTTGATAAGGTGGGAACTGTGTTGTCCTTGCCCAGATACGATGCTAACGCGTGCGCAGCAAATTTACCACGTCAAAGCCGTACACGATGTCGCAGCGCTGAACTTGGATCTCAACCGCACAGAGAACGAGCAATTTCCACCCGAAAAATTGCGCATGACACTTGAGCGATTCTACACATCTGTTATAGTGGGCGTGACCGAGTTCATCCGACACATCACTCGACTGCGATCATGGAAGGAACCCCTGCGGACGTCGCTTTTCTGTGGGGTATGTCAATTCTTTGCAGGAAAATATTGGACAAGCGCTCATGGTGTATAGGGTTACTTTGTTGCGTGGGCTGTTGATCTCCTTGTTCCAGCTATACTGGGTCTTATCGTCGCCTTGATAATGGTCCCCCCGGTCCGCCTAGTATTGTTCCCAGGCCTTGCCAAGAAGGAGGGAGCCGATAAATCGAAAGGAAATGACTCTTCGCCAACCCAGCCGCAATCCCAGGATAGTCTGACAGGCGCACCAGAGAACCACAAGGGTGAAGCTGCTGAACAAGAGGCCAGAAACCTTGTCGACAGCTTTGCCACTGTTGCAATGGAGAGTGCGGCAGCCAAGTACGGTCAAACAGTTACTGAAGAGGAGCCGGATAGACCCTTGATTACGGAGGGAATAGAGGCCGCAGAAGCTGCCGCGGAATCTCCGAATGGTGATGCCCCCGAAGATAAAACCAAGAAACCCATGAAAAAGAAGGTTTCGCACGCGACTGATCAGGCAATGCGAGTGTTGAGTGATATCACCGATGTCTATGAGAAGTTTTCCAAGTGAGTCCTTTCTCGAATGAGATAAGGACAGCCCATGCTGATAAAATATAGCCTCCTTTCTCCAACACCACCCTTCTTTTTGGTCTCATCTAGATTGCGCCTCGCAAGTATTTTCACTTTAATATCTGCGGTTGTGCCCTTCACATCGAGTTATTGGATCATCAAGCTCATTGGCTTTACGATTGGACTGGGCTTCTTTGGTGACCCGGTATTTACTTACACCGTGGACTTATTGAACAGAAAGGTTCCGAATTGGAAGGACCATATGGACTTGCAAAAGTAGGGTTTCGTCTTTGCCGGTCTGTGATTGGTTTTCTAACAACATACGCAGAACACTTTTGGTCGGTGTCCCAACAAACGCACAACTCACCTTGACACTTCTTCGTATTGGCGAGATTAATTCAACCCCATTACCACCCCCTCCAACCCCCGGTGACAATGATCGTGTATGGCCTCTCCGACGGAAGAAGTCTCAACCAACGTCCACAGAACTCGCCACACAGGGCTCGTCTACTAGCCTTCAATCGACGAATTCTGACATGTCACTCCCGGACGCCAAACCAAAGAAGAAGACGATTTTCCGAATTCTCAAGTTTTTCCGCCGCACAATTGCAATCGCAATCAAGAGTCACATTGCATTTGACCGCGCAATAGCAATTGCTGGATCTGCTCATACCAAGAACCTGATCGACATGCTGCAAAATCGACACTTTGCTGCCACACCGTACGGGCCACTGAAGTTCGACGCCAAGTATGAGCGTAAGAGAGGTGCCGCCGTCATAGACTCTTCAAAGGAACCGCCTATTCTGTATTTTACAACATACCAGTCCTCTGGATTGGATGACCTCCGCATCGAGAGTCGGAAGAAGGGATCGGTCTTATTCCAAATTCCGGTCACCGAAATCAAGGAATTGAAGAAGACTGAAGGACTGGGGTGGAAGGGCAAGCTGATCGTTGAGCTCACGGCTGGTAGCAAGGAAGCTGCAGATGGACTTGTCATTGGGGGCGATGAGCTCGGTCAGACCTACCATCTCACAGGTATGAGGTCTCGGAACCAGCTGTTCAACCGACTTGTTGCCATTGATGCACAATTTTGGGAAAGTCGTTAGCTTCCACTCGGCTCCAATGGTTTGAAATGCTAGCACTGAATAGGAACTGCAGGAACGAAGGAGCCGCTTCTCCCCGCAAGTTACAGGCATCATGTAAATAGTGAGAAATGTATGTTGATAAATGCATTGTGAAGTCTATGCTATAGAAATTTGGGCAATTGCTGTCCTTGGAGAACTGCTAGAAACTCTTCCCTATCTAAGGTTCACCAGAAGTAATTAGTTTAGGATATAGACGAAGCTCACACAGACCCAACTCACCTTGAATTGTTTGAAACAAAATTGAAAGGGCACCTTCTTTGATTTGACCATTGGAATTCTTCGGGCTTCGAGCCATGATATTCATCATATCGAGAGTCATACCACGAAAAAAAGGCAGGCGTGGAAGTATAACGCGGTTGTTATCCTTGGATGAGTCAATAAACTCAGAAGGAAGAGACATGGTAAGCCACTTGTCAGGAACAGAGTCGTTCCAGCGAGCAGCGAGCTGAAAGGTTGTGCCCCGACGCCAGAGCTGAACATCGGCACCACCCTTGCCGGACTTCTGAAAGCCGAGGAAGGACTTCGCTTTTATTGATATGGACTGAACACGTCTGGAGTAGAGAATGTCGAATAACGGTGATAAGGAGCTGAGAAATGAGCGCGCAACGGGGTCGGTAGTAAATTCGACATTCATTTGACTGGATTTCTTATCGCAGTGGGAAAATGTAACGGATGTTTCAGGATGATAGAGCTGGTCAACGTGGGTCGAGATGTAGTCTGTGCAGGTCACTTTGGGGAAATTAATGCTCAGGGAAGAGTGTTCATAATCGTAGTCCGCATCACGGTAGATGAAGTAAAGGTCTGAATAGCGCCATGATGCGCGGTTGCGGGATATCGACACAGCTTTATATTGCTTGCGCTCTATTCCTGAATCAACCACATCGTATATGCGACCTGAACTGCTGGGTTGGGACCAGGAGAAGTTGCAGGGCAAGTTCGTATCTAACACGGCCTTTTCAAAGTCATCCGCGCATTGGTGTGTGCAGAAATTTATCCGGAAGCCTAGATTAGGTGCACTGTCATCGTAAACATATGAATGCAAGACGTTGTAGTTGCCATCGGTTTTGTTTGATCGAGCTTGACATGTATCCGACCACTGCAAGAGGACCTGGCGAGAAATGTCCTCACGGTTGATCCGGACTCGACTCAGAGGCATGAATAGCTCGATGGTTTGCGGTACCTTCTCGGCGATAGAAGAACTGATAACCATGCGTCTTATAGATCGCCAAGCCTCTTCAAAAGACCGCTCTAAAATGCGAACTTCGCAGGACTTTGCGACCACAGGCGGATTCATCGTTTTCATACTGGGCGTATTGAGCTGCTCGAAGAAATCTACCGAGCTCTTGAAGATGACACTTTCAGTGAAGTCGGCTGCATCAACGGGTTCCCTTCGGCATACAGCTTCAAAATACGTTTTTGGGATGTCGATCAGCTGACGGAGGTCTCCCTCAAATTGGAAAGTAATTGACACGCTCGTCTCGTCAAAGTTGAGGGGTACTGGCTCAGAGATCCTGCTTCCGGGGAAGCCAGTCAAGATGGCGTTTAACAGCTGTATGAGAGGCGGGATATCATTCAACGTGACTAAATCCAATGAGTCGCACTTCATCATGATGTAAGAGCTCCTAACTTACAGCTTCTTTCCAGACAAAAAGAGCCCCTTTGGTTGCGAAGAATAATCTTCGGCTCGCTCTCGCCTTCTCGTGTTGCTAGTAGAAGCAAGTATGGAGCACTCTTGGTCCTTATGCGAGATTTTTTCCCACCTATACCGGCGTTGACAAAGGTCCTGTAGAGTACCTTCTCCTGTTCACTACCTGCATCCTCTATATCAACAGATATCCAGCGTGAGTTATCAAGACCGAGAGAAAGATCGACGATTGTATCTGAGATTTCTTCCTGTTGCATGGGCTCCCAGATTTCAAGGCTCTGGGATTGTAAACTTGACGGCTCGGGAATGTCGACAGAAGTATATTGCGACAACTCCTCGTTTATGCCCTGTGGATAATGAGCAGCGAGAAGCCAAACGTTTACAAAAGTTACTAACCTCGGATATTTCTGCAATCAGTTTGCGGTTTTCATCAGTCATCAAAGCTGGAGAGTTTTCCTCCTTCAAAACTACATCGTATAAGATGTATGATGCCTTGAGGAGGTCTAGATATGCCTGATGACTGGTGGTCATGGAGTCCGTGGAGGGACTCAGACTACCCCGAGCACTGACATAATTGTGTCTGTTGCACTTTGCAAGAACTGCGCGCGCCTTGAAGGGATTGGACCCAGTCAGATAACGTATAAGTTATGGGTTGGTAAAATATCGAGAATTTACCTTCAACATCCACCATGTTGCAACACAGAGCCAATCGCTTGTGATCAGTCTTCTACTTTTCAACTCATCTTCCAATGAAGCGTCGAAGATTTTCATTACCTCGGGAGAGGGCCTGTGCATTTGAATCCGAGGGACATATCGAATCGGTCGAGAGATTTGTTCCTGTTGTCGTACATGACGCAGGCGTTGCATTGCAGAGCTGACAGCCTCCATAACGTGGGTGTGACCGAAATCAACATCTAGCGATGAACTACCAGGATGAACAACTTGCTTCTCCTCAAGGTCTGAGTCTTTGGCCCATAATTCCCCATCCAGTGTCCGACCATCGATAGATCCACCGAAAAGGAGCTGCTCGCTACGCATTCGAGAATGACCAAAACGTTTCATGGTGTTCTGGGGTAGGGAGGACGAGGTGTTGATTGATAACCATGAAGTAGGCGATGTGCCATCGAATATAGACTCATCAGACGCAGTCATCACAGACTCCGATGGTGTTGAGGCGCCTTTGGCTTTGACATTACTGTCACTGTCCACGGATACAGTCTCAGTGGACAGCTCCGACATCCTGGCGCGAATGAGTTGAACCAGGTCAAGTTCACTGTTATCTTCGTTATTGGCCGGTAATTCCACTACACCAGGGCTCATGGGTGAAACAATAGAGTCTGTTTCCCGGACAGGAGAAGGTTCCGTGCTGAGGACAAGTTGCTCATCCTCTTCCATCGCCAAAACCATCGTTTGTTCTATTCGAGCCAGGGAGGCACTGTTCTTGTCAGATTAGATCAATCTTGTTAACTCCATGTAGACTCACTTGCCAATAGAGCTTATACATAAGCTCAAGTTGCACGAGTGTACCATGATCTTCGATCTGATGTCTTCAATGTGACTTCGTTGTGTTGCCCATTTGACTCTTTGCCAAAACCCCTTGCCATCCCCAATATCAAGACTTTTGAACCGTACCAGGAGATCTTTCAATCGCTGCAAGGTTGTAAAGCAAGTACCGAGGGTTCGCTGGAGTGTCTGTCTTCGATCTGCATCCATCGTCTTAAGAAATGATGCGTGTGAGGTCATATCATCACCAAAGGTGCGTAAAAAGCCTTGTAAAGTGCCCAGCTCAGTCACAAGCCTTTTGAATCCATCGGGGGCATGTTTCGTCACGGCATGGCATTGATTGTGGAGGTCCCATGTCAGCTTGGTGAGGGCAGGGATATCGACAACACCGAACCTTGACGCCATATTTGGGTGCAGTAAATTCCAAACAAGGTGAATAGTTCAAAAGAAGTCACAGAATTTATGGAATCGAAATGTGTCCTTCCCCATGGTCATCTTCAATGAGGCTAGACCAAAGGAAGACGTCTCAGCCTGCACCGGGGTAGCCATACAACATATAAAGCATTGCTCGGAGTGACAAAGCGAGGAGTGACAGGCCCGCACAGAAGAAAGAATGAAAGAAAAGCCTCAAGGAATGGTTGCCAAGCGTCCATGGCCAATCCGGGGCCGAGGACTGAATTCGAGTCTTCGATGGCTGCTCCCAAAGCACATTTTAGCGCTTAAGCCAGCCAGTCGCACAGAGTTATCTGCCAAGCTGCTATGTGATCACTAGCTGGACCGGGCCCTGTTTGTGGTCGGGCTCGTACATCGAACCATGTCAAGACACTAGGGTAGCAGAGGGTTCTTTGATTGCAAACGCCACTAGGCTGTCTCCTGCAGGAAAACAAAGAAGCTTTCCAAATCACTGGTCAGACTATTCAGGCATCGAGCGTGTATCCGATCAACTTATATGGATCTTCATTGTTTTGTGGGGTATCTCTACCAAGCTTGCAATGCTTGCTCTGGACGAGAAAGGTCTCCGAGTTGTATCATTTTGCATTATTGAAGACCAATCAACCCCGGGAGTATCACATACATAACCCAGGGGTCTAGAGGCACTGGAACATGCAAGTCAACAAGACGTCTGTTTGAAAGAGGTCAAACAAGCAGCAGATGCAACGGAGAAGTTGTGAAGTTGGGGAAATCCAATGACCCACAGGGTGCCTGAGGCAGAACAGAATATTGATTTCCCCTAATTCTTTGTTTCTTTGGACTCTCTTCATTCTGTCCTCTTCTTCAAAGCATGATCCATTCCTGAAACTGTCAACCTGCACCAGGCTGCCATATCATTACCCTGAAACAGCCCCCCACCCCCAAAACAAGCCTTCTCCACGCCTAGACCGCGTCGCGACACCACTGCGACCTCGGAATACCAAGCCTCACCACCAACATGTCGTCCCCGGATTCGTTTACCCTGGATGTTCCAACGGTCCTCTGTATTGCCTTCTCTCTGTCATTGATGCCAGTGGCGTACATTCTGTGCCAGACGCTTGTCCCAGCCAACAAGACCCGCGACCGCGTCTTGTTTTTTTGGCACGCCTACGATGCCCTCACCCATATTTTTATTGAAGGATCCTTTCTGTATGAGTGCTTCTTCAGCTACACCACTGTGGTTGGAATCAGTAACGTCGAGCCTTTCTTCTTGAACCGCCCAGATCGCGCCTATGGCCCAGCCTATGGCACAGGTCCCAGCTCGCGCCTGTGGCAAGAGTATGCAAAGGCTGACCGCCGCTGGGCTGGCGCCGATCTGACCGTGGTCTCACTGGAACTGTTGACCGTATTCCTTGGTGGGCCAGCTGCCATTTACATCTGTTACCTGCTTTGCAAGTCGTCCAACGAAAAGATCAGTGCCAAATCTCGTGGCAGCGTCAAGGCAACATTATGGTTTGTCTCGACTGCCCTTGCCACTGCGGAATTGTATGGTGGCTTCATGACCTTTGCACCTGAGTGGTTGACCGGTAGCTCCCAGCTGGCTACCGAGGACCCGGTTTACCTCTGGCTCTACCTGTTCTTCTTCAATACTCTCTGGGTCTTCATCCCTCTGTGGGTGCTGTGGGAGGCAGGAAAGGAGCTCCGTGCTGCCTTTGTCTCTGCAGAAATTCAGGTTGAAAGCAAGCGCCAGTAGGATAGACGTGATTTGCCAAGAGAGGGAAGTTTCATTGGAGTACTTGGTTCTTTTGGGTGAATTTAATGATTGATGCATCTACCATGTATTCCTTGAGTTTGGGATAGCCGATGTAAGAAATTTTCATGTAAATTAACTTATGCACATCGAATTTGAAATGGAATTTGTCTTCGATATTGATGATGACTTTGGAAAGATTTTTTAAGTCTCTTGATCTCAATGGAGGGTCTGATATGATAGATATTACCCAGTTTGATGTCTCTAGCTCTCTAGGCAACTTTTAATAAGAAAGTAATAGGCTCACAGACCGTGCAAGTACAGCAAACCCTGTTTCCATCATTGGGTAACATACTAAACAGTCTACTTGGCAACCTTAGAAGAAGAAAGGATGTCATCAATGGCCTGTTTTGGAGACCTATTTAAGGTGTCAAATCATAGATTACCATGCAAATTATGGCTATGTTCGACATGGCACACACAAGACTGCCTATGGCCTGATTTATGATGCCAATCAAGACTGATTTACAGTCAGTACTTCTCTAAATCCTACTTATAGATACCATAATTACCACAAGACTGGGGGGCTGGGAATTACGAATGAGATAAACAATATTATCAATTGAAGACAGGAGATGAAGTCCAGGACAAGATCCCAGGAAAATAATGATTATTTACAACTCAGACTTTATGCGCCACTCGATCCTTCTCCCAGAACCAATGATATAAGCTCTTCCACTCAGCAGCTTCATCTTCAACATAATCACCCACCAACTCAGCAGTCTCATTCACATCATCAGAAACCTCCGAGACAGGAACCTTAAGCCCAGACGAAGCGTCAATGCCGCCAGTCTCTGAGCCTGCACTGGCAGCCTCTGCAGCACTCGCCGAGCTAGAAGTCATATCAACAGCCACACCACCAGAAGTCCCTGCCAGAACCTCTTCAGCACCTTCCTTTGTACGCTCTGCTAGGTCTCGTGCCCCCTCACGCGCGATCTCTGTATACTCCTCTGCTTGTTCGCGTGCACGCTCGATTAGTTCCTCTGGGGAAGGATACCGGCGCATGAGCATGAGTAGAAGATAATAACTCTTGACAATCGAGGCATAGACTGCGTCTTTGGCTAGCATTGTGAAGCCATGAGAAAAGAAGCCTTTGAGGACTTCGCCTTGGAGACCAGCGTAGAGGGCTTTGTAACCATCTTTGCGGGCGATTGTTATAACTGTTGAGATGATCTGGGGTGTCAAATTATTGAGTAAAGATGACTGAGACGTAGATTGTGAAGAAGAGGAGCTGGAAGTAGACTTGAGGACTTGAGCTCTAGTCTTGGCGAGAGAGAAGGGATACGTAATAGACGAAGCAGCGACCTTGCTCAGCGCCGCAAGAAGAAAAGTCAGAGCAGGTGAAGGCTTATCACGCTTCGCGCGTGGTATCAGAGCGCGCTTCAGGAACTCATTAAGGAAAAAGGTGAGGGAGGGATTCAGCGTCAGAATCAGCGCAGCCGAATACCCCGACCAGAAGCCCGCAAGGCCCTTCTCTTTCCGAATCTGCGAGGCGATATCACCTGTTGATAAACCCTTCTCATTGCCCTTTGTCCGCGCAGCCGAAATCTGCTTCCGAGCAACGATATTCGACAACGGTGTCGTAAATAACTTGGCAAAGGATCCAGCCAGAATACCAACTGCGAGTTCATCAAGAACCGGAAGAACAACGTTCTTCCCCTTGGCCGCTCGCTCGGCACCTACACGTGCCACAATCCTCTTCTGTCGAAGAGAACTATAAGCAAGGAAGAAAAGGAACGAGTCGGCAACTGTCTTCCACGTATCTTGCGCCAGACCCGGATAAAAGCCGCCGATGCCCTGCTGTTCATAAATTTTGCGCGCGGCATCAAGGACACTAGTATATTGTTCTTCCTCTTCTTCATCTTCTTCCGCCTTGTCGTGATTACTACCATCTTTGGATTTCTGGCTTGAGGTTCCCTCTTTCCTCTTCTGAGTTTGAAGCCGCGCTACTATCACATTGAGTGGATAGACGACGACATTCGAAATAGCTGCTCCGACAGCGCCTGCGGTCGCATTTCCTAGTGCTGGGAGTGCTGGACCGCGACCAGCGGCTGATTTCCAGTCGCGTGGATCGTGGGTTTCGAAGCGGTAAGATGGGTGGTAGACGTCCTGTTTATTTGTGTTTAGTCTTGACTGATAAGGATGCGATATGGAGTAGGGATTGAGGTTAGGGCTGTGATTGGAATGCGCTGTTGGGTATGGAGTGAAGGTGGGATAGGGAGGTGAATGTACCAGTTGGGACTCGTATGATAGTTTGTATTCTGCCATGGCTGGAAAATTGGTGAGAACGAGGGACTTCACCGGTTGTGAGTTCCGAGGTTCGATGAATTAATACTGATGGGAATGGTGCCAGTCAATTGTGGGATCTCGTATTGAAAAAAAGCCATGGAGCGGAGGGAGAATTTCCGACTTGGTTCACCATAAGCAGGGAACAAGACCTTTATAAGAATGTGATGGCCGAGGTTGAATTGCGGAGAGAGATCGATTACATCATGCAGATCATGTGGTCTGTGCTATCAACTATCAGGCCATACTCAGCTTGAACTTATCTACCAACTACAGGATACAACTGCATCTACACTCATTCCAGCCAAAAGAACTGATGACAATAGTTGTATTTCTCCCCAGGGGAGATACAAATGCATCAACTAACTAAGGACTCAACCATCTGAATAAAATCACGGCTTCTCAGATGGGAGCCCCACCCATTGAATAGACGACCTTGTCCAGCCCATAAACCCCTAACCGAGTCAAATCATAGTGATCAAAAAAGAAACCATCACACCGTTGCGCATTAAAAAGAACAAAGCAAAAGAACAAAGCACAAGCTGAGGTTGGCATCCAACCATCAAGGATATCATGATGATCAGATTTAACCACCGAAACCGTAGAGGGTACGGCCCTGGCGCTTGAGAGCGTAGACAACATCAAGGGAGGTGACAGTCTTACGCTTAGCGTGCTCGGTGTAGGTGACAGCGTCACGGATGACGGACTCAAGGAAGGTCTTCAGGACACCGCGGGTCTCCTCGTAGATCATGGCAGAGATACGCTTGACACCACCACGACGGGCGAGACGACGGATGGCGGGCTTGGTGATACCCTGGATGTTGTCGCGAAGAATCTTGCGGTGGCGCTTGGCACCACCTTTGCCGAGGCCCTTGCCGCCCTTGCCGCCTGTGTCGTTGTTAGCTTGGATGTCATGCAAGAGTGGAGTGGGATGCGACAAGTGGGGGGGGTGGACGATGAGTAGAGACAGTGAGGTCAGGTGAGGGAGACTGTGGGAAGGTGGTGATATGGCGAGGTCATCATAAGATGGCCGTGATGTATAGCCTTGGCCCAGATAGGCAAGGTCGGATGCAAGTGGGAGCCTGAGGCATGATCACGTGCACCCCAGGGACATCACCACATCCCGATCGGGCATTTCGGCGACGACAACATGAAGAGGGAGAGGGGAAACAAGTGGAAATCGAGAGAAATACATACGTCCAGACATGGTTTCAGTCGGTTGAAAGATGAAAAAAGATTAAAAAGGTGATGAAAGACGTCGAGGTACGTCTTCGTGGATGAAAAAAAGACGCGGTGATTGGCGATGGAGAGAATGAGAAAAGAGAAAAATCAATAAACGGCGGGCGCCGGAGGGGGAGACATTTAAATAAGGGAAAGGGTGGGAGTTGGGGGTTTTAGGTAATCTCCATTCTGCAATGCGGCGGTCATTGGCGACCGGGCGGGCAGGAAAAAGGGCGTTATGAAGGGTCGGTTTCCAGCGCGTCAATCAGACATGGCCGAGCCCGCATTTTCCAGCGTGGACGGTATTGATAGTCACGTGTAGACAGTGGGTCACGGGCGATAACGATCCATGTGGGATGTGGTCACGTGGTGATAGACATGATAAGAAGATGAACCTTCAATGCTCAAGTTCGATACCCAATTCACTTGCCAGCCAAAGTGACGCAGCAAATCTTTCCACATCCTTGAACAGACCGCTTTTCAGACCTTCAATTGTAAACCGAAGAGCAAATTTACAACTATCTTAGTTTTTTTGAATTTTCTTATTGAAGAGAAGGTTGAAATCAAATTATACTGATGTTGAAAAATCGAATTTTTGATAGAAGGGTGTCTATGACTGTATACTCGCCAGCTCATGGTCTATAGCCTACCATATACGCCTACCTTGTACATACAATCCTACATGGATATTGTTGATATAGTCGCTCATCATGTCTCGTGTCATTCAGAACTACGCAATGCCTCTCGGGCAGTCATGTATCAGTATCTTCGCATCTTCAACGTAAATCCACAAGAGTGGAACGTATCGCAAAAAGCAGCCAAAAAGAAATCAGAAGAGAAACAGTACAGAAAAGGAAGAAGAAAGCAACGCAAAAACAACGCGAAAAAACCACCGGAACACCATGCAATATCAAATGGAAACCCAGAACTGCAATGCATCGAAAGAAAATCAAGAGCGGAGGCGCACAGGCAGACTAAAAACTTTTTGCGGTAAAAGAATAAGGGCCATCTGAAAGAATAGCAAAGAATGGAAAATGCCTCGAAATCGTAACGTCATCATGCGTATAGGAACGACATGTAAAAGTGGGGGGGGGATGGGAAAAACGTGAGGATGATCGCAGTAACGAAGATGGTCACATCGATGATTTCTCTCGATGCGAAAGATGGTGGCGATGAGCCAGGCAACGAATGATGAAACGACATATCCGCGGTTTATTATACATCGCAAGACAGTCGATCGCAGACGAAGCTGGTCGGCCAAACGGATAAATAGGTAGGAAAGCCATCATGCGATCATAGGGCGCCAATAGGTGTGTTGGCAAAAGGAATCGAAAACGAGTCAACTGATCTGTCCATATCCATGCAAGAACTCCCAGATTGTCTTCACAGACGTCAACGACATGCTTCAAAAGCGACCAGGGTTCAAGACAGTTATGAACAGTCCATGTTACTCACCCTCTAATGACGGTCGATGAGTGGGGGTCATTCATGAAGCCGCGATGGAAAGAATAGTGGTAGTTCATTGGGGACGAAGAGGGCCGTGGAGAGGTACGGGGACTGTGAGAGCGCTCACGAGGAGCCTCAACCGCAGGAGCCTTGATGGGCGCAGGAGAGCGAGGCGAAAGTGGCGGTGAAAGGCACGCTGCCACAACGATGTGTTTCGGGGCCTCACCCTCCTTAGCGTTCACGGCTGGCTTTGGGGTTGGTTCTTGTGGAGCGGAGCCAAACTATTATTAGGTTAGTCGCTGCCCAAGCGTGACGTGGCATGGAAGACTCACGAAGCAATATTTATCGACCAGTTCCTGATACTTGGTAGACTCGAGGCGCGGCTTGCTAGATACCAGAGAGGAAGGTTTCAGATCTTCCACACGACCGTTGCGGACGGTGTCGCTCACTGCGGGAGCATGGGCTTGCTCAGAGCCAGCTTTCTTGGCCGGCTTCGACTCCACGGTCTCTCCAGACCTCGCACGAGCAGACAAGGTGGTCCGATCGAGAGGGGACTTGGTCCGCATGGCTGCAGACAAGGACGCTCCAAAGTCGTACCGGTTGCCGAATGCTTGGCGGTTAGTGTTCTCGCGGCGCTTGGGCGGTGCGACCGTGTCAATCTCCTCCGAGGGAGTCCGAGTCAGTGGAGCGCCATTGGCACCGCTGAAAGGATCCGAAAAAGAGACCTTGTCGCCCAGGTCGGCGAAGTCATAGGTCGACGGCATTGAGTGGGGACGGGGCAGAGTGTGGGAGGCACTGGTGAACGATCGGCTACGGGGGAGAGCAGGACGGGACGAACCAGCAGGCTTGGACGGAACCGCCTTTAGAACTTTGTGGAAGTCGAGCTGATAGTTCATAGCGTTGTTGTTGTCCCAGAATTCCTGGCCATCCACGTTATAGCGGATGCACATGAACATGGTCTTGGACTCCAGGTTCGCTTGGTCATTTAACTTGATGTCAAAGGAAAAGCGATCGCATCCATCGACCGCCTGCTGGCGCCGAACATCATGACAGAATGTGGCTCCCACCTCTGATGTCGTCCTCCAATAATCCAACGTGAATCGAGCAGTTACATACTTCTGGAAGGCCAGGTTGGCCACCGCCACAGTTCCGATCAGAGTGCTCTTGTCCGCAGACAAGAACAACCGTTCCAGCCGAACCGGGGCTGGCGACGGAGCATCCTTGGGCCAATTCGAGAGCCGCAGCTCCCAATCCCACGACGGACCTTTCGACTCGGCCCCGCGGCCAAATGGAAATTCGCTCTCGGCATCGTGACTGTCCACCGGGGACGTTTCGGTACTTACGGCGAGCGGGCGGTCGAGCTGGAGGAAGTGACGAATATGTTCTAATTGAGCATCGAAGTGCACCGCCTTGGAATACACCGGAGTACCCGGCATACTCGAAGGACGCCTCCGGGCGGATGCCGGTCGAAGAGCTGGGCGAACCAGTTCCCCAGACTTCTTCCGGACCATCGGGGGCTTCGGTGACATCTCCACATCACTTTCATCGGGCGAGCTCGTCAGGGCCTCTTCCCGGCTGATGTCAATGGCGGTTTCCGTGGAGGACCGCGAGTGAGTGATCTTCCGAGCTTCTTTACATAATGGCGGATGCGCCGGCTTGATGGGCTTGGCTTCGGACGTCATCGGCACGCTCGATGAAGGCTTTGCCTCTACTTGCTTGGGGCCCATTCTCTCCGGCGAGCTCTCCCTCCGTAACTTGATTGATCGGACGGCCGCCTCGAGCTCGTCCATCTTGACCCCCTGCCCTCTGTCTGAGGACTCCTCATCACTTGAATTCGGTGCCGATTCAGGAGGCGAGATTACCGCCCCGGTAGGAATGATGGCATTGTTCACTGGTGGCGGGGACTGACGGAGGCTGGTATGTGGGTCGATGGAGGGAGACGCACGGGACGTGGGTTCTGAGGCGGAATGCACGGTCTTGGTATTGATCGAAGGGCTCCTCCGATGCCGACGAGTATATGATGTGGAAGAATAGGATCGAGAGTTCTGCAGACGTCCCGAGGCTGAACGACTTCCGTTGGGTCGTTCGCGGTGATCCGGTGAGTATTCGATATGTTGCGCGGAGAGCAACGGCTTCAGCGGCGCAGTGTAGGGCATCCGGCCGACTTGTGATTTAACACAGGGGTGGAGGGGGGGGGAGGGGGAAGGGGGAGGGGGAGGACTGATTAAACAAAGGAAGTCCTGCAAAATGTCAGTAACTCCCATCAATAAGCAATCGAACAACACGTCAGGCAATGGTGCCACTCGGGAAAGAACGTGAGTCTCACACGGGGGTGACACCAGAGAAAGAGAGGGAGAGGGAGGGATTATATCAATCCTACCTGAACATTGAGTGGCGATATATATAACACACTAATATCCGACAAGCCACCAAGTACTGCAAATGTACACAATATGAAGAGTCGAAACTCCGTGAAAAAGAGGCGATGAGGGCGCTCAAGTAAGTTATAGGGAACCACAGCCTTTCCCGCTATGACCGTTGATAAGACTGGAGATTTCCGGTATTTCACTACTTTTTTTTTTTTTTTTTTTCTTTTTTTTCTTTTTGGATTTTCGTTTTCTTTTTCCGTTTGACTTTTTCCACTTTCTGGCCAGGTCAGTGCGTACAGGTAGCATACTGTATTTCCTTTTTCTTTTTTCTTGGCTCTTCGATATGGGATCTTCGATCTTTCTACAGGACATTTGCTCCAGTACATGGATTTGCCATAAGATACGGGACAAGATACACTGTAATCCTCCCTCATCCTACAGTCCTTGGGGGTCGTCCAATTGCCACAGCCTGAATTCTCCGACATGTGGCTCACGGCGATCTCTACGGAGTACGGAGTACAGAGCTCCCAGCTTCCCTGTTTAAGCCCTGACGTAGAAAATTCGACACCTGGGAATCATCCCGTGTGCAACTGCACTGGACGATTGCCATTCACATTCACATTACGGAGTACTCCATTTCTACGTCCATTTCCTTCCCCCATCTCCACAGTAGTTCATGATCGTATGGAGTCTCCGGATATACTGTCACTTGAGAAAACCCACTCTCTTATCAGTCCGCGGAGAAGCCCGGGAAGACTAAGCCAAGCAACACCAAGGTTGCGAAAAGCCCAAAACCAGTTTGTTGACAGGTAAGGGATGTACTACGCTGCAAGTGTTGGAAGCATAAGGTCCACCCTCCTAGCCCCTCCCCCTTCGCGGCTACACTGGGGCTACACGGGGGCTAGACTGGGACTAAGCCTCACATTGGGGGGGTGGTCAGTCTGGTCAGTATGGTTTGTCGAGTCGGTATGGTTCGGTTTTTTTTTTCTTTTTCTTTCAGGGTACTCAATACAAAGAGCACAGAGGGACCCGATGGCAAACCATGTTTGGTACAGGACACGAAGGGGAGAATGAGGTGACCATTGGGTGATTTGAGGATTGCGTTGCGAGCTGGAATGTATAGAAATTTCGACGGTGACGTGCATGTGCAGTGATATTGGCCATTTGCTCTGCTGTACTCCGGAGTTTGGTGGATCGACGAGGCGTAACATGCACTCCAGGCTCCACCGAACGTGCCGCCAAATCCGGATCTGGAGATGTTGGATGAAGGATGAGAAGAGAGCATGTTGATATTGTACAATGGATAGCGATCGACTCGGGAGAGATAGCAATGGTGGATCACCATTCACCTGTTCAGCTGGGGGAGATTGGGACATGGACTAATCATCCATCCCAGATCCCTTTCCCTTCTACTGTGTATACGATGCAACTCGGCTATCCAGTGGTAATACCACGGCCGGTTCATGACGTCAAGTCGAGTAAATGACTGTCTGTGCCTTGGTTTGCGTTCCTTGGCACAAGGCCCAGACTTGATCACTTCTTTTGACATCCAAGAGGATATCCGGTTCTACGGTAGAAAAAGGGGGACGTTATCGAGCGTCATCTTCAGATCTCTCGATCTTCATATCATATGATGGTCAAGCAGAATCCAGGACGTGATGTACTGTACGACTATCTCTCCCCGTGCAGGTACATGTACAGCACCGTGCCCCTAAGTGACATGCACGTTCTGGAGTACTTGTTCGGGATAAACCAGTTGGTTCTCCACCGCGTTTCACGATCAGCCCCCCCACGGGTGGTCTCATTTCCATGTCTCACTATGCAGGAGAGAAGGGACCAGGGTCAACGTCCATACATAGAGACTGAGGATGGGAGAATGTGCCTTCTAAACGCCATGCGCCCGGGCCATAGATTAGCGGCGCAAAATTTTTTGATTTGCCACTCCCAACAAAACATGTGGCTTGCAAGGTGTAGAGAGAGAGGGTCAAGAAATAGATTTGACTGTATAGATTGGCGAAACTCTAAGGGAAGGGGGAGGGTCTCGACTGGGAGGCGTTCATCTGACCATTCTTTGATCTGCAAGGTGTTGATCTCTAAGATTTCGAGGCCCGCAATGGTCGCCAAGAGCGGTTGAAGGAGAGAAACCATTGTCCAAAATGAATCTCTCGGTGAAGTTGAGGTGACATCCCGAACCCTATCCCCGTAAGTTCCCCGTGCTCTCGCCCTTGGACCGTTGATATGTGCTTTTGGAGGTCTTTTTTTTTGACTTTTTTGGTCTTTTTTTTTTTTTTTATCTTTCCGGCATCAAAAGCCCGAGTCAGCTCACTGGCCCCGTATATCCCAACGGTCGAAGCGCGGAAGCGGTCTACCCACCTATCACTCGTGATGGTCCTTTCTTCAATGAGATCGATTTCGCCTAGAAGATCTCCAAACGCTGATTGATTGCTCATGTCATCGAACATCCCACTTATCTGGTAGATCGCCCAAACATGACACCGGAGCGGTGAGCTCCAGAAATCCACCGCGTCAACACTTCAGAATGCTGCAACTTCTTCCGAGGGCGTTACCGTGGCTGAACCTTGCCGCGGCCCCCATTACCGGAGGCAAATCAGCGGCAAGGTCACCGATAGCCCTCTCACAATACCAACTCCTGAATAAGCTTCTCTGTTCCACCCCCCAAGTCTGATACTGTCGGATAAAGCAGACATACCCGCTTTGGGCAGCGGGCTAGCCCTCCACGCCAAGAGAAAACTAACTATATGCAAAGCAGAGGCAGAAAGCAGCATGCAATCCAGAACACCATGGTACGAGCGGCAGGAGGGGCAGGAGGGGCATCTCCTAGTCCCAGAGAGCTCAAGCTACCAGCGACCCCGCCGACTGTCGCGTCAGCTCTCGATGGTTGTCTAGATGGGATGCAGGCTCAACCCTCGAACACTCGGAGATGATGCAGACCCCGCGCGCAGATCTGGGGCCACGCTGACTGCGTACGAGAGGGAGAGAGATAGAGAGCCTTGTTCATACCCCGCGAAGGATATACCCCAGGATTGGGGATCGGATATGATTGGTAAAAGAAAGATGGTGGACGTAGCTGCCAATAGGACGGAGCAGTTGGGGGATTGAGTTGGTTCGCTGTACTCGCTATCTACTGAAAGCCAAATCCCCAACCCAAGCCTTGGGACAGCAGAATGCAGTCTCCAGAAAGAGGAAAAGAAACCCGGGGATGGAGAATGCGAAGGGGATTACCATGGTCAGTTCACGAACCAGCGACCCGATCAAGACCAGCAACACACCACTACTTCCAATGCCCGTTCCACAACATCCACAGTATGCACTGTTTCAACCCGTTTCACCCTTGGGACGAGGGCCATTGACACGAAAGAAACCGATACGGCGAGAACAGCTGATTGGCCAGGCAGCATAGATAGCTCGAGAAATAAGAAATCGCACGCAAGCAGCGCATATGGGCTGACAAGTACATGTCGCACGTCACGCAAATCCCAGACGCCTCTTCTGCACTGCACCGCACCGAGCACCTGACCATCCCATCATCCCTGTCCAGCCTCGCTATCCCAAGGGGAAATAGCACAGAGCGTACGCAAACGCCGACTGTTGAGAAAGTGGCACCACTTCAGACATTCACATTGGCACTGACACTAGCACTGACACTGGCATTGACACTTGGCATGGTCCAACCACGCCCCAATCACGACTAATACACTATACCCTGTACTGGGGAGGGGGGGGCAAAGGGAGGCGATCAGGGACAGCCGCTTTCGTCAGTTTGGGATAAGTTAGAAGCCCAAAGAAGCAGGTTACCAAGTAACAAGTCCAAACAATCTTGGGAACACACAGACACAGGCACGGGCCCTGCAAACATAGCTCTCGATGTACAGCAGGTTATAACGGCATCCAATCGCACAACTCACCTCCATATAAAACTAGCACTAAACACAACTAAAAAAAAAACCTCCCCCCACCCCAAAAAAAAGGTGAAGTATACTTCAATGCCCCACGCTTATGCATATGCGAGACAGGCGCCCAGGGTGTAAATCGACCGGCCAGACTGGAGGCGCGGTAGTCAGTGCGCACTCCCGGAGCTACGACTCGATGAATGGCGGTGGATAGCTTGCTGTCTGCACTGGCCGTACACTAGACTATGCATTAGTGCGGCGAACTGACAATGGCCAAAGCAGAGAGAAGGTCAGTGCATGGCGTCATTTTGTTTCGTTGATTTCAGGGGCTTCGTCTTTTGGTTTTTCTATACCTTTTTCCTCCGATTCCTCCGAGACTCTTCCGTTGATACAGTCCGGAGTATGGGGAAGATGTGCAACCTTGCAGGTGTACCCCGAGTCGCGGGGGAGTCTCCACTGTAAATCGTATTTGCAGCAATTGATGGGAAATTGCTGCAATACGAAGTATCTTGGATGTGTTTGTGCGGTGGTGTTTGGTATCGCCTATCCCCACGACGGCCACTATTATCACCACCAGCCCTAACTTCGTGGCCGCCCAGGAGATAAGTTAGATTACCTAACAGATAGTGTGTCTGGCCCAAGCCACTTAAAATAGAGCAAATCCTGCCCTCTAAAACAAACACGCCACGTTACTAGCTAAAGCATTGGCCTAAATCCGTAGTTCCCGTTATCACGGAGACGGGAGAGGCGTTCAGCGCTATAACCAGGCTAGAACACAGCACATCACAGCCCCTGAACTGGGAGTCGTCGGGTATCGATATCCGTCGGTGATTGTGCAGAGGTGGATTGACTTTAGGGAGGAGGGGGATTGGGTTGCGAATCTATCACCCGTCCTCCCCTACTAACCCTGCACATGAAGCGCTGAGGGGAATACAGGATCGTCTTATCGGTGGGGTATACAGGAGAGAGTCTAGAGTGTACGGAGAGCGGTGATCATTTAGTCTTTAGTGGATGCTGGTGAGTGGAAATGGCTGATCACTTACTCGATCCTGGTTGGCTTTCTTTTCGCATACCGCGGGCTTCTAGCATGATCAGATCCCTAGGTCGAGATATAGAGGGCTATAGCGAAGAAGAGAGAAACAGAGGGAGAAGGAAGCGCCTTCAATTGCGGGGTGCATCTGCCACCTCATGCTCTATGATACACATACACATGCTGTTAGGGCTGTGCGAGCATTCCCAACGGGGCAGGTCGATACAATATGCGCCATTTGTCAGGGACTATACACCCATGTCGCTATCCAGTCTACAGCCGACCAGCCTGCAGCCTACTCCTCTTCTCCTCCCCCGTCTATCCGACTGTCCTCTGTACTGTAGATACTGAGAGCTCTCTTTCCCCTCCCAAGCCACAACCCCAGATATCAGCTCCCCAGACTTTCCCCACAAGCCATCATCAACAACAAGAGCAAATGAGATGGACACCTCCGACGTTCCGGCACGCTCAGATCCATCTCCCAAAGTCAATTGTTCTGGTAGCAGCCACCCCCTCCTTCACCGCTGTCCAGGCCCATCACCACGGAGGCGAGAGACAGAGAGAGTTCACCCCCTCTGGGATGAAGTGGCGGCAATACAAACTTAGAAACACCAACGGAACTGAAAATTTCGAAGATGAAGGTTTCTCGGCCTGGGATGCCACCGCTCAGACGTTGTATCCCTTTGTCACTGGTACCTCGGGGGGCTATGTCCTGCATTGTGCACTGAAGGTGAAGAATCTCATGGTTGGGTTTGCAATGGGGATATCAGGTGATATGCATAGAAGTGTGTAGAATGGTTTGTAGCGCAGTCTCTGTTCAACATCCTACAAAGATATACTAGGTTGCATTCTTTGCCAGTTGAGCAATGGCCTAACGTGGGCAAGAAGATGCTGGTGGTGGATGAACCGAGACTTTCATTCCAAGCATGAATATTATGAGCAACGTAGGAGTTTGCTGGGTTTGCTAATGGTCGCTGTTCTCCATTTGCTATTGTCCTTATGTGAATAGCCGTGAAATGCACAAAGATTCCATTGTATATTGGGCACAAACGGGCGTGAAACTCACGATGTTTCAGCTGACACGAGTTGAACATCAAATTCTTCCCAGTTTCAAGTCACATAGTCATCTGGGCTCTGTTTTCTCCATGACTCTCCACGATTCAGGCACCAGAACAGTGAACATCGCAAGGTCAAGGTAGTAAAGAAGGGGAAGGGGAAGCTGTAAGCGGGAGATCAGTGGAGCCATTTCCCACCTCACCGTCTCCGAGTGTTTATCTTCTTTACACCATGGCAGTTCAAGGTCTAGGCATCGCAGACCTGGAAAAAGAACTAGTCTGTTCAGTATGTGCACTTCCACTTCACTACCACTTCACTGCCCTTGACCCCCACATACCCCTTACATGGAAATTCAATCCATCTAACATTCCAACCCCGCCAGATCTGTACGGAACTCCTTTACCAGCCTTTGACCCTTCTGGACTGCCTCCACACCTTCTGTGGCTGCTGCGTGAGAGAATGGTTCCAAGCCCAAGCCTCGCGACGACCACACCCAAGATTCACCTGTCCATCATGCCGCGCCGAAGTCCGTGGGACGCGCCCAAATGCCACGGTGACGACACTCCTCGATATGGTGCTAAGCGCACACCCCGATCGTGGTAGATCAGCAGAAGAAAAGGCCGAGATTGCATTACAATATACACACGGCGAGTCGGTGTTTCCTACTTTGCCCTTGAGTGGAGAGAGCGCGGAGGAAGATGACGAGGGGAATACCGGCATGCTGCAAGAAGTGCAGCAGCTGAGTCTTCGGGAAAGTCGGGTGCAAGCTAGACGGGAGACACGACGGGCAGCCGGGAATTCGTCCCGAACGCGAGATCGGAGTGGTCATACCGAGAGACACGAGGATGGACGGTCGAGACGACGGCGGGAAGATGATGCCCGGCAACACACGTTGCGGCCTGGAGATGGCGATCGCACACGTCGTGTCGAGCATCAGTCCAGTCTGCGATCATTGCTCAGTCTCTCCTCGGATGCAGAGACAATGGAAGAAGAAATTCTGCGACAGATCCTCGAGGAGGGTTTGCTGGATGATGTCGACCTTGACAACCTAGGCCCTAGACAGGAGGAGGAGCTGAGCGAACGTATTGCGGACGCGTACCGGCGCAGACATATGCAGCGATCTAGCTCGAGACAAAGACAGGAACGGAGACAGTCGCCCGAGGGGGGCACGCGAACGCGGACGAGATCACAGTCGGCCCAGGCAGAGGCCGCGCCTGCTCCGTCTTCTCGTGAACATGGTGACAGACGGCCGCCGATTTCTCGACCACATTTGTTCGACTCGGGCCCTGCACGCCCGAGGGTATCGAATCATCAAAGGCGCAATTCAGAGGTCGCTGGGCGCCGACAGACTTCGCCAGTTCGAGCAAACCAGGCGTCTGCGTCGGATGAGGCTATACGACCTGCTGTTCGGGCTTCGAGTGATATGACAGCGGATCGCGTTCTTAGTTCACAGCCTGCGAGGTTGAGGTCGGAGTCTTCGTTGGCTAGAACTCGGCGTGCTACAGAGTCGGAAAATGTCTCTGGGGCTTGGATGGCTGCAGGACGAGAACGAAGCTCCTCCAGACAGGTTTCCAGTCAATCTGCTACCAATTTGCCCACTGTGGCCACGCCCACAGATCACAGCTCTCATTTGCTGTCTTCTCCCTTGGTTCCTCTACGGTCTGAGAGGAGATCCAGGCCTTCTTCATCCCGATCTAACATTCCGAATGGGTCCCATGTGCAATATCCTGAGCCCTCTATCACATGTGATGGATGTGGCAGGAATGATATCCAATACACTCTCCACAAGAGATGCACCCAGTGCAAAGGTGGAAGTTTCCATCTATGTCTACGCTGCTATCGTGAAGGAAAAGGCTGTTTTCGATGGGATGGGTTTGGTGCATCTGCGGTCACCAGTTTCCAAAGAATATTATCGTCCTCCACTCAACGCCCAGTCCAAATCCCCGACGGTGGTCATGTGTTGGGTTGGTTCAAATACCAACGTCCTTCAGAGACGGCCCAGCAAGCAATCAGTGGGGAGAGAACCCTGACCAGCGACAATCCTGCCGGCCGCCTGCAAAATGGTCTCTTCTGTGATACGTGCCAACTCTCGGCAAATGACTGTTTCTGGAAATGCAGCAAATGCAATGAAGGAGACTGGGGCTTCTGTAATAGCTGTGTTAATCAAGGACGATGCTGTACCCACGCACTCCTACCCATTCGACGCATCACTCACAGCACCCCCTCAACATCGTCTACGCCTACAGCAGAATCAACTCCCATTTCACTGCCCTCTGAAATAGAGAGCTACAAGATCCTATCCTTCTCAACAAACTGCGACATCTGCACATACCCCGTTCCAGCCTCAAACACCCGTTACCACTGCCTGGAATGTAACCGCGGCGACTACGACGTCTGCACCAACTGCTACTCCAAGCTAGTGGCAACTGGCAAAATCAGCAAAGAAAATGGCTACAATGGCTGGCGTCGCTGCCTTGCCAACCACCGAATGATCATAGTCGGATTTGAAGACCGCGAAGAAGGCCAACGCCGCGTGATTGTAAACGATCTAGTCGGTGGCCGCGCTCTCAAAGACGAACACGTCCTCCAATCCCAATCCCAATCTCCAACCTCATCCCCAGTAACAGGTGGTCCAGTCGCATCCCCAGAACCAGGAAGAGGAGAATGGAACTGGAAAGATGGACCCGGACTGGAACGCCGAAAGAAAGCCTCACGACTACGCGCCGGTCCTCCATCCTCCAACCCCGGAATGACTGTCTCAGCATCTGATCTCTCAATTACAGCCTCATCAAGCCCCATCCAGAGTATCCAGCCTATCCGCCGTTTCCCACCAGATGGAGGCGTGGGCCTCATTGTCCATGCGAAATGGGCCTTCTACCCAGACGACGGACTCGAAGACGAGCTTGTTTTCCCGCGTGGTGCGGATATCACCGAGGCGGAGAATATCAATGATGACTGGTTCTGGGGATGTTATGCTGGTCGCACAGGGCTGTTTCCCGGCTCGCATGTAGAGGTTATTCGTGAGATCAAATAGGCGGATGGTGTGGTTCAAGTTTCTTTTTTATGATGCATAATTACGATTGTCATGACTAGATTATGAATTTGATGTCTTGCATTGTGCATGGTATGAATGTTTACAGTATATAACTTATCACGTACTGTGGGTTTGCTGTTACTGTTTAATTGTTTCAATGATATAGCTGGTCAATATGGCCCCACTCGCTCAACCTTTCGAGTGAAATCATTGACAAGACAAAAGAGTACAATTGCATCTGATTCGGTTATAAGTGCAGCACGTAAATCTTAAAGGTAGAAATAGAAATCATTCAACAAAAGGTCCAGTAAATTCCACCCTAGATATAGACATAGTCTTCATCACAGATCATGGTATCTCAAAAACATCATACAAACATACAAGCATAAGGCATCAAAAATATATACACAAGAAATCAAGAATCAAGAAGAGCCTACTCAAGAAGGGCAACCATCAAGCGCCCATAATCCCCAGAGGTCTCACCACGAACCCGATCAACAAGATTCTTCCCAAAGCGATGCTGATAAGCGCGCTTCACCATCTCCTTGTGATTCCGATCCCAATGAACACGCACGACACGAATGACAAGACGCTCATCCTTGGTGCCCATGCCACGCATACAATCTTCCAACAGGACAGCATCCCGCATCGCAGGATCCGTAGCAGAGCGCAACATAGCAAGCAGCGCATCTTCCATATGGCCGGAATATGTCTTCTCAAGATGCTTCTCCAGCGAAGTATTATACCGCGACTGGAAGGTCTGATTGATAGCTCTTAACTCGGCATTGGACGCGCGAGCAAGGATAGCACACGTCTCCGTGATATTCTTCTTACCCTGCAGGGAACGGACATCGGCCTCGATGACCTGCGGGTTGATAGGCATTGCTTCCTCATGGCGGCTAGCGCGAATGACAGTCGCGAAGAGATCGCTCGTCTTGAAGGAGAGGTCGTTCTCGACATCCTTCGAGAGAGAGCGCTTATAACGCATTTCGTAGGCCGTGCGGAGAGCATGCATATCTGCGTTTGAGCGGCCAAGCAGGACATCATTAAGGAGCCATTCTTTCGTGCCTGCGCCGTCAATGGCGAGATGTATACATTCGACATCGTGCAAGAGCGGACCGTCGACGACGGCTCGGAGTCCATCGCCGAAGTAGCCGCCCGTCTCGGACTTGACGTCCTTGTATAGATCGCGGCCGAGGTGCTTGGAGTATGTATCGCGAACAGCGGCCATCTGGAGGGGATCGAGACGAGAAAGGACGGCAACCAGGGCCTTTTCGTCGGTTCCGAAGCCCTTCATTGCTTTGCGGAGTTGGTCGGCCTGGGGTCGGAAATCGCCTGGCGCGACTTGGCCTGGCGTGTAGCCTAGCGATGGTGCCGAGGGCATGCCTTGGGGTGGGAAGCCACCGCCGGGTGGTGGTGCGCCGTATCCGACTGGGGGTTGGCCATGCGCGAACCCGGGGCCGCCGGGGGGTGGCTGGTTCTGGGGAGGGCCATAGCCGTGGGGTGCCTGACCATGGGGCGCCTGGCCGTATGGTGGTTGCGGAGATGGGTTGTGGTATCCGGCTGGGGGTTGAGGAGAGGGTGCGCCGTATGGGCTTCCTTGTGGAGGAGCTCCGTAGTGACCCTGCTGGGGCGGTGGGTAGTGTCCTTGCTGCTGAGGGGGGTAATGGCCTTGTTGGGGAGGAGGATAGTGACCCTGTGGCGGAGCACCGTATTGCTGTGGTGGGTAAGCTGACTGGTGATAGCCCTGGGGAGGACCGGAGGGGGGACCCTGGGGAGGAGGTCCTTGGGGGTATCCGCCGTATGGAGGTTCTAGTTACGGGTCAGTGACCATGTCAATGCGCAGATGTAGGTCTTTCAAAGCAACTCACGGTTATTGTAGTAAGACATGAGGTGTGTGTGTGAGTGTGGGAGGGAAGAGGCTGGCCCAGATGTTTATATGTGCCTCCATTCGGTCCGGAGTGTGGCGCAGTACGGGGGCGTTCACAGCCTTGTCGTTTCCACAACTGACGTCTGCCAATACTTTTTTCTACTGGTTTCTGTTCTATTTAAAGAGAAAAAGAGATTGTTCCAAGGCTGCAATGGATCCTACTAGGCGAAATTTTTAACTGCCTAGGGTTTACACTGTCTGCCCCTCTACCCCCACTAGATTGGATCTATACTCGGTGGAGACTAACCCTTTGAGCCCCTTAATCTATATGCAAAGCGCCTGTTCACATATATTTGGAAGGTCTCGTCACTCAATCACAGCTTCATCCACTTTCCAACTCCTCCAGCATTCCCTTTTTTCACCTCTGCTTCGGTAAATGGCATATCGAACCCGCCGGTGATTGCAACCCCATTCCGGAGTCGGAGCTGGAAACAATCTTTTTCAATGGGTATTTCTTCAAAGTCTTCAGGTTGGAGCTGTAATTGATCGGCTGATTCAAAGGCGATATCGGCACTGGTGACAGAGAAAGACTGAGTAAAGGTACTCAGCTTGCCGACAAAAATGTACTGGGCTCCATCGACCTCGAATTGGCCTAGGATTTGCCCTTTGTCGCAGGTAAGGGTACCGTTTCCATGAGGCATCTAGTTCCAACTGTGAGTTGATTGCATGGACCTGGCGAAAAGTATGGAACATACTTACCGTGGGGCAACGTTTCAGGTGGTTGACAGAACCAACTAGGAGAAATCAAGGGTGAGAAGATTCAACCATCTTTAAGGTATCTGAGCGAAGAAGAGCGGTCAGTGGGAATGTTTAAGGCGGGGGATATCGTGCAGTAGGTCCGATGTCATACATGCAGGGCAGTGGAGAGCTGCCCTTGGCCTTGTTGATACATGTACAGTATGTTGGTATGGCGGTTTACCTTATTACCATGCCGCATATGCTATGCGCTCTGTGCATCATACATATCGGGGTACGTAATGATTTAGGCACTGTCGCTACTTCACTCATGGCCCCGAGACAGGAGCGTGGAGATACCATGTACAGAGCCTCATCCCCTTCCCCCCCCCTTCCCCAAGTACCGACATATGTCTATGAAAGGAGATTATTGCCAGTACAGAGAGTATATGTTCTATGGTCTCAAAACTCCCTGAATGACGTAGGCTTGGAGATAACGTTACAACCCGCACTCATGATTCGACCGTATCAGATATTGTGGCTTCGGCATGCATGACCGAGATCCTTTTCTCAACATGCTCATTGATGTGGCTAGTTGATCTTTTTTTTCCGTTTCTTACCTCTTTTCCCTCCCCGACTGATCCCCGTCCACCAGCCAAGTAATCGGAGACAAGACATTAAAGCCAAGCTTCTCCGCTAAGATTCCTCTCCGCTAACCGCATCGGGTTAGCGCACATTCCCCTAAGTTGAGGCTGCATTACTCAACAGGCTGCTAGATTTTCCACGTACAAGGGTGATTTTTTTTTATTGGTCTTTCAACATTGACCTCAGAATTGTAGAATTTGGGATTTCTTGTCCTGGAGATTGTCATGTCGACCATTCCCCAAGGCCGTCGGTCGCATCGCAAGTCACGAGCTGGATGCATGCAATGTAAAAGGCGGAAAGTCAAGGTGAGAGATTCAGTCCAGCTTGTGGAGAGATACAGACTCATGCGTTGGACTAGTGTGATGAGACCCAGCCACATTGTCGCAACTGTCACAGACATGGAGTGGTCTGCTCCTTTGCCGGTCCCATGACGGCGCTGTCTACGTCTCCAGCGGACCTGGCAGAATCGCCCAGATCAATCATATCTGGCCCAGAGAGTGCAGGCTCAGGAGCAGCTTCCAGTACAGCTCAAATCCCTTCAACTGAACCAAGTCGACCAATGATCAATACATTCCCTTCGGCCTTGGCTGTCTTCGACTTGGAGCTTCTACACCACTACACGACATCAACCTGCTACACACTCTCTCGAAGCCCAGTACTGCAAACAATCTGGCGAGACCAGGCACCACAAATTGGATTTGAAGTGCCACCAGTACTAAATGCAATTCTCGCCCTCTCCGCCCTCCATCTAAGCCATGTAGACGAATCCAGACGCGATAGCTGCATAGCACTCGCACAGATGCACCACAACAACGCCGTGAAAGAGATGGTTCCACAAGTATCAGCTATGGCCCAGGAGAACGGCGAGGCTCTCTTCATGTTCACATCCCTGACCTGCATGTTCTCTTGCGCAAAACCATCCCAAGCAGGCGATTTCCTAGTTCTCTTCGAAAGAGGCACGCTATCTGAATGGGCTCGTCTCTTCCGAGGCACAACGGCGGTCATAGATAGCGGTGGTGAAAGTCTTCGTAATGGAAGACTGGCACCTATCTTCCTAAACGGCTCGTATCTGGCAAATGCTCATCGTGCACCGGAGGCGCTTGAGCTGGGCAGACCTCACATCTGGGAACTGCAAGAAATGATGCGAAAGGATTGCTCTTTAAATCCACCCGTTCGGGACATCTATCAGGGGGCATTAGATGAGTTAGCGCGGACCTTGGGCATTGCCTTGAAGCCTGGTGTTGCCCGGAGGCTTGAAACCGCCGATGTTTTCCGGTGGCTTCTAGCTGTTTCGGATGATTATCTGGATCTACTACGACAGGAGAAACCGATTGCTCTCATTATATTTGCATACTGGTGCACCTGCATTCGTCAGATTGAGTGGATGTGGTGGATGGAGGGTCTCAGCCAGCGCTTAATGTCGCAGCTGTTGAATGTGATGGACCCCAAATATCGAGAGTGGCTTTGGTGGCCTCAGGATACTATTGATGGCAGCCTTACTGCTACGCCTTCATAGTGGGGGGTGTGTGATTCACGTCAATGGAACAAGACGAACCCTGACCATCAAAATGTTCTGCAAACTGATGAACAGATCTGGCTTTTTCTCTTCGGCCGCAGACTGCAGAGCGCGTTCAACATCCGCCATGATATATACCAGTTTAGGGTAGCACCCCGCTTGAGTAGCAAATCAATCCCTCGCCGATTTCTTTGTTGAACTGCCGTTGCCAATGGCGTCTACTATCTATAGTATTTGCAACTAGTTTTGAAGTTTGTGCCAGCCCTCAAAGGCGCCGAGGCCGCATCTGGACTTGTCTTCGGCGCTGCAATTTTTAAATATCAGTCTCTCGGATTTCTTCTTACTCTTTGGCATGAAATGTGTGCTGAAGGAAGAGCTTGATGAGCTTGAGACTGTAGTGCCTGACGCCTTCACTAGGCTCGGTGTCGCTCCTTAAAAGGCATTAGGGGCGTGATACTTGAAAGAGAAGGGTTGCCTTTGCGCAAACCTGTCTCTTCACCTCTTGAGACGTTCTGACACGACAAGAATGATATCAACAGGAACACCTTATTTAATTGCAGTTAGTCAAGGAGATTGCATCCAAGTCCATTTGAAAATGAACGTATCATTTCGTCTATCTCTATCAAACCCTTTCCTTCCATCTAAGCCGCTCACTTGGCAATCTCAGTGCCGTTAGTAGCACCGAGAGCCTTCTTGATGTCACCATAAATAGCGAACTGGCCAGCGGTAATGCCACCAACCATGACCAGACGAGTGGGCAGACCAGCGAAGGCACCTCGGAAGCCGAGCTCACCGGCGATCTTGACGAGACGGGCAACGGTACCCTCACCGGCAGCAGCCTTGGTCTTGTTGATCTTAGAAAGCATGGTATCAGCGGGTTGAGAGACAATAGCAGCGGCGAAGCCGGCAAGAAGACCAGCTCCAAGGTTCACAGTGGTTTGAGCACCATCGGACATCTTGGACTTGTCGAACTGATCGAAGATAAGTTCAGAGAACTTTTCAAAGGCGACAAACTTGGTCACTGTGTAAGGGACCCTATTGAGACGTTAATTAAAATGAAGTCTTTTTGTGACGGTTGGACGTTATGAAGCCTATCTCAGGGGTAGGCGATAACATACTGCTTAAGGAGGATAGGTCCGAAACCACCGTAGAAAGCACCAACACCCTCGTTTTTGAGGATCTTACTGAAACCACCAATAAGTCCATTAGCAAAGCCGGGAGTAGACACGAGACGGATACGAGTAGCCTCAAGCGGACAAAGAGCGATCGAAGCAAAGAACTCAGCAGCCGCGGCAGAGACGGAGTAAATAGCAATGCGATTTTGGCGGGCATTCTCGAGACCGACGCTCTTTACAGACAAGGCCTTGAAATATTCATAGCCACCAAACTTGAAGGCACCCTGGGCAAAGTAACCAGCGAAAGTAGGACCGGCACCGGTCAAGAGCGCACCAGCGCCCTCATTCTTAATGACTTGTCGAAAGGCGCTGAACATGCCCTTGTTGTATGTTGCAGGATCAAGCTGAATCCTGGTCTTGACGCTGGCACAATATTAGTCGCCCAGTGACAACAAAGAGCCAGTCTACTCACACATCGACCGGGGTGAAGCTACCGTGAGTCACCGAACAGCAAACCGCACCGGCAAAGGCAAAGCGACCGATGAGGTCGATGCCTTCGGGGGCCTTCTGGGTGGGAGCGAGGACAGACATGGATGCGTATGGAGAAAGGAGATTGGGAGGTTGCAGAGACCTCTGACGAAGGGGGCGAGTCACGGACTTGGCCCCCACGTCAGATTTCCTTGATTTTCAGCCTTTCAGGGTTTAGCGCTCATTTCATCTCAGTTGAAATTTATGCGCTGACCATGATTTGGCGAGCCTCCTAGTGTATGTATAGAATTAGGAAACGCCTCATGATATGGCCTCAGCTCGACGGCCCAAACAGACTGTCAAGTTTACTTTCTAGACTTTGCTTAACAACTTGCAATCTCCTCTGGAACTCAATCACTGTTTCTGCAGTTTTCCTGGCTCCAAATTCCCCGACGAAGAAAAAGTGATTTCCCATTATATCGGCCGTCAAGAGCTCTGGGATGCCCGAAACGACCTGTTGTAGGTCTTGGAAGTGTGATCTGTTCATGGCAAGAGTAGCCTGAGAAGATTCCTCTTTGCCTTGCAGATATTGACGTACTCGTCTGCTTCTGCTCAGCTCAGCCATAGCACGTTGAACGATGAGATATGACCAGGTTGTTTTGTCAGTAATTCCATGGCGTAAATCGAGCCCACTGGTAGGGAATACGGCGGCCATGGAAGGCAAACAGGAAAACTTATGTGCCTGACCATCTTCCAACAGCTTCCAGGGATTGCGTTCTTTGACAATTGTTCTGGTCTCCATGTCAAATTCATACCCACATGCCGTGAGGGCGACAGGTGTAGCACCAAGGTACTCCCTTTCATAGATGACAGGATCAATTAGGAACCGAGAGCCATCAAGTCCATTGATCTTTTCCTGCTCATCGAGATGTCGGCGAAAGGTCGCAGTGACATACGCCCTCTTTGAATAGCCCGATGTTGTCTGATCAATTTGATGCCTTGCCACAGGAGGGACCAGACCGGGCAGAGCTGGTGTCGCAGCCAGCGAAACAAAGAGATGAACATCAAGTCCCAACTTCTGTAGCTCTTCTGTGACAGGTTCCAGGATCTTCCCAGCCATACTCCAGCCCATGATGAGAATATCCCCGTCGAGGCTGTTCTCCTTCACGACTCGACTGATCACAATCGCAGTCTGAGTCCCCCATTCCGGGATCGTGAAATGTGGGCTTTGATTTGGCATGAGTGGTAGCTCTGCATCCAGAGGGTATGAAACGGCCAAGAAATTGTATCCATAGTGATTGAACCAGTGAGAGAGAAAGTCTTTACTATGGGATCCTGGGTGTCCGTATGAGATGCGCCCGTTGTGAGCCATTCCCGGCACGAACACCACCAGGGGCTGAGAAAATTCTCGACCAGGAATGTACCTGTAGACAACAGGATGACCAGCGATGGTATTGGACTGCTCTCCATCGTAGAGATTGAATTTGGAAGCCATTGCAAGATGTTGGAGAGGGATTCGGGAGGGGAGGGAATTGCGGGGATTGGCCCCGGGGGTTAGCATGAGATGACGGATCCTCAAGCAGAACAAAATCCAAAGACCTGGATATTGAATAACTTCAGTTTGATCCTGAATGTTTGTAGCTTAGCTTACGGCATGGCAAATACTAGTAGTTCAAAGCTTTTTGTCCATTATAAAGTCCTGCTTGTAAATTGGAGAATCCACCTCTATTACACATAAGAATCATGATCAACATCCACTCATGCAATAACAAAACACACAAAAGCAAGTAAAAGGGAAAAAAAAGGAAGCTAAACAATTGCAAGTCTTGAATACAAGCACGCAAAGTCCGCATCTCCCCAACGCTAATAATCATAAAGGCATGGGTATTTCCGAATCATGCAAAATAGGCAATCAATCATGGATATCATCAAAAAGCAAAAAGCAAAGCCCATCAGTAAATCAAGGGATCAGTAAGTCGGTAAATCGGTAAGTCAGTAAATCATAATCATGGCATGCACCTAAACACTCGCTGTGCGCCGCGGGACCTCGCTCGGTTTCTGCGCATATGCAATCAACATTCGGAAGCCAGTTCCTCGCCTTTGGCACTCGCGAAGGACTTTGCGGTCACTCCACATGCTAGTATCACTGTCTCCACCGAGGAAGACAGGATCCTCATAGCATTTCGAGTACCACCAGCGCCCAACACGGGCAACGATCTTCGCGATGGATTCATCGTTTGCTGGAGATGGAGATGGATCGGAAAGGAGATCACCAAGAGAGATGTTTGCATCGTGAGATGGGGATTTTGATGCATTCCTTGTGCTCTGGCTTCCTGTTGCAGTGGTGATGGAAATTGTGGGGAGGGAAAAGGCGTCGGAGGGGGCAGTTGTTGAAATGGATTGGGAAGAGGATGTAGTAGAGGCAGAAGAACGAACAACCATTCCTGCGACTGGAATGCGGACCATACAGCGGCGGAGATTGTCGAAACCCTGGGTGCCGAGTTGGCGTTGGACGCTGTCACTGGTTGGTTTGAGACTAATTGTCGAATCAGACAGGCAGGTCATTTCCTTGAGCTGGCGGACTGCTTTGCGGGTGTGCGGTCCCATATTGACCATGTCTCTGTCTAGCAGGCTCATCTCCAAATACCCGCCTGTTCGAAGTACACGTTTGCATTCTTGAATGATGTTGCCTTGGACGGTCTCAGAGCACATGGCGGGGAAGCGGAGAACTGCGACGGTGAAGTAGTCCTTTGGAAAAGGGAGCGGGTTGCTCAACCCAGCGTGGTATACGGTGTGGTGGTTTGTCGGAGGCTGCCACGCCGCGGGGTGAGGAGCCACTGTAGAAACAGGGCGACCACCGAGGTTATATACCTCTGCATCAGGGTACGTCAAGGAGCAGTAGAAAGACCAATCTTCATTTCCAAGTCCATCGACCACCAGAATCCTTCCATGGCCTCCAGTCTTAACGTGGTTATGTGCCGGACTGAAGAGAACTCGACCAAATGAGAGCCAACGGCTGGTCATGAGCGAAGCTGAACGCATGTTCGTGCGTGTCACGGCATCCCACTCACGCTCAGAGGATCCAGCTTCCCGTTGACGGTGAACCTTCGGCCGTGGAGAAGGCACAGTAGCAAGAGACTGAAGAAAAGTAGACCGGCGTTTCCGGCGCTGGTCATTGGAAGACTTTTGTTCTGTAGTAGCCGAAATATCCTCGTCTTTCTCTTCATTTATTTTTTCCTCTGTCAAGTCACCATACCTGGAAACAAGATCGCTGTAGGAAGGTTGCGACGAAGGAGCTGTAGATGAATGCAAAGCTGAGACTATGCGAGAACGACGAAGCCGAACAGAACTGGCACTTGATCTTACTGAATTCTCGCCATGCTCTCGCTGAATAGGAGTGGGATTGTTCAACTCATCCTGGAGAGCCCGACTAGCCATGGTAGCCAGTTCGAATCTGTCGTCTTCCTCAGACTTGGCAGGCACCTTTGGCTCGGGGCCTTCAGGTGAAAGAACATGATCTATCAGATCATCGAACTCATTCCAAACCTCATCTTCAGTAGGTGGCGAGCCAGGGACTGGAGCAACGGCAGTAACTGCTGCCAGGGCAGCAGAGCTATCCGACGAGGTTGAGTCTTTCTTTGGTGGAAACTTGAGAAATTCATAGTCTGAAAAAGGACCAGCGAGGAAGTTCAAAGCGCTAGCTTCTTCGGAAGCACTGAAAGTAGAATGAAGCCCCTGTCCCCACCTAGGCTCGCTGGGCCCTATTCCCATATCCAGAGGTGCATCAGTGACCCATCGGGATTCATTTGGAGCACTTGTCGTAGGAACAGTGAGAGATGGGGACTCGGCAACACTGAATGGACGAGAAAAGGACTGCATCGCTGGTATGTGTTGTCTATCGCGTCTTGAGACAACCTGAGGGATTCGGCCAACAGAAGCCAACCGCCTTGGTCGTTCTACTTCAGGTGACAATTCAAGTTCCGGAGGCATGAGGTTGCGATTGAACATAGCTGTCTTCGGTGATGGACGATCATGATCAAACTCTCCATGAAGCTTCGGCGGCGAAGGTAAAAGGATGGATGGCTCTCTCTTTCTGATATTCAGGCCTGCTGGGACTTCCACTGGGTGAAACACATATTCCTCTTCTGTTGGTGGAGAGTCTTCAATTTTATTGATGATATCGTCAAGCGAGTCGGAGTCAGCGTCGACTAATGCATAATGGGCGACAGGTCGAGTGTTCAGCACTGGAGAGATCGCAGCATGGAGCTGGGCGGTATGAGATGCAGCTGTGGTAGGAGGCCCGCTCTTGTTCTGGCTTGCATTCTTCTTCTGGAAGAAGTTCCACATGGATGTCTTTCCTTTCTTGGCTTGTTGTTGCTCAACCGGCTCTGGTTTTCGCGGTCGTTCAGAGGGCTGCTGAGCAGCTTTCTTCTGTTGACGTGGAGCTTTCACACTCGACTCTTGACTAGTAATAGAAGTGGCAGTTGCCGCAGCTTGAGAGTTTGCAAATACCCCGTGCCTCTTGCTCTTTGGAACTGGCATGCGTGATTTAGAAGCACTAGGTCGACTGGTATTCGGTTGGCGCTCAGCGCTCTTGTTTCTGGAGGTGGTCTGTGTGACCGTATCACCAAACGTGCCCGTCGAAGTGGCAAGCGAATCAGTAGACTGACCACTCGAGTATGTAAGGGCACCCTTTGGGGGCAAGTTTGAAGCAGAGGCAACACTAAGGCTGCTCATACTCTGCTCGCTCTGTGTTCGGACCAACGACGCACCGTCCAGTCCTCCGCCATTTATGATCACAGGCTCCAGACGAGTCATTAAAAAATCATCAATCTCCAACTCAGGCTTGCTAGACAGGCTTCCCTTGCTGGCGGCACTTCGCGTCGTGCTTGTTGACCTCGTTCTCGTGCCACTGCTACTACTCCCACTGGCTTTTCGGCCGCGTTGTCCATACTTTCCATACCCCTCATGTCCAGTTCCAGCTGCGGGTCCCTTACGTGGCAAGCGAGCTTGCTCTGCCGTGGTCTCTGCCAAATCAGGCTTAGACTTCTTCGTGAAAAGACCGAAGCGTTTCGGTGCAGCCATCTTCGATTCTGGATTTTCCTTAGGAGGCTCTTTCGTCAATGTCCGAGGTGACTTTCGAGACAAGACAGGATAATCTCCACCCCTGGATGAGCCACGCGATAGACTTCTCGAGTGCAGGGAGTCAATTGATGCAGTTGCAGACTGGTTTGGTGTAGGATGTGGAAGGTTGGCCGTTAGGATCTTTTCCGCAGATTCACGTCTTGTGTGACCCGTCGATCTGATATATCGTAGATTGCTCCGTACCACAGGCGAAGTTTCCAACTCTAGACGATGAGTTCCATCTCTGCTAGGTCTTGGTGGAGTGCGTGGGGTCTCCGCGATACGTGCGGGGGAGCATTCCATGGCCCCTTGCGGATCAAACAGGCGTCTTTCAGCTTCTTCAACCTCTCTGCGGGCCTTTTCGGTGTCAATGTATCCAGAATTAGATGGACTAGCATTTGAAAATGTGTTGATTCTGGGAGAGCTGTAGGACCGGCCTGGAACGTGGGTAGATGGAGATTTGATAGTTGACTGTTCATGGTCAGCCATCCCTACTGAGGTTAGGCCAGAAGGGGTCGAAGGAACACGCTTCTGGGCTTTTTGCTCAGTTCTTTCTTGTTTGGGACTTGATTGGATGATTGAAGGAGAAAACACCGGTAACCGTGTCTGTGATGGGCTGGGTTGCCGCAGACGGCCGATCTTTGTCGAGTGTACAATACCTGGAGAATAAGAAGACAATGAAGTGGGAGTAGATCCTCGACTCCAGATACTTGGAGACTCGGAATATCTTGTCGAAGGACTGCTTGCTGAGAGAAATGACGCAGGGGGAGGTGGCAGGTTCTGGGTATCAACTGTAGTCCGGAGGCTTGCTAGTTCTTCCGGGCCATTTAATCTGGAATTTGCCGAGCTCAGAGTCGCACTGCTCTCCCCTCTATGACTGGTCCGGTATGATGAAGCCGAGTTTCCTGATGGCAGGGACTCCGGCGTGCCCTGCTTTGTTGCACTGTTCATGTTGACGGGTTGAGCCTCTTGCGGAATTACGAGGCTGAGCTTGTGGGATTGTAATTGCTCCACATGCTTTCCTATTGTCGGTGCTCGTCTTCGAAGAACATTTCGTGACCGTTTCTGAGAGAGTACTTGTTGCCCGGTCACGAACAATGATGGGTTGTCGATCTCTGGAGTAGAATGTGGCGAAGGGAGTGGTTGCGTAGACTTCTGAGGAGAGGCAGCAGATATTGGCGTAGTCGGTGATACAATGCTACCAGTCCTGGGACGCGGGAGCATAGATAGTCGAATTCCGCGGTGGTTGTTCTTGGTATTTGATGGCGCTGGTACTGGGCCAGTCTCTTCGACGCTTGAGAAGGATGAAGTCCTGCTTCTGGGTGTAAAATTGACAGGTCTTGCAATTTGCGATCCTTGTGGTCGAACACCATGAGCATTCGCAGGCGATGTTGAGGAAAGGCCATCACGTGGCATATGATGGCCAGAACTGTACGACATGATGCAGGGTTGAATAAGGTCCCTGGCTGCAGTACGAAGACAAATGGCTCGGGTAATTGTCCTTTGGTATAGTAATCATCACGTATAATTATCTAGAAAGCAGTCTTGTCGGATCAGTATTGTTCTGCCTAGATCTGCTGGGAGTACTCACTGTAATACATGTCAGGAGATCAAACTTGCTGGCGCCTAGCGCATGTATAGTATTAAAAATATAAGAAGCAGACGAACTGCGGGTATCTCCAAAGTCACAACACCTAGGGAATATTAGCAGGGTATTAAGATTATAAAGAGTATAACTGAAAGTCCGTGAGTAAAACGTCAGGGAAAACTCACCGTGGATCGGCGAAGCCTAAAAGCTGCAGCTGCTTCGCCACACTCGATGTGGCGTTGGGATCTCAGGGTTTTCCAGCCACGTCAGAGGTCAAAAATAAATTGAAAGACAACGAAGACAACAGCAGATAATTATGACCTCCAAACATTTATGTGCTGACTTGCAGTGCCCCTCGGTGTGGGGAGGGGAAAAACGCCTTGTACCGCACCATATAGAAAGGCTTGCACGGCAGCCCCGATACCAAACCAGGGCCTTTCTCTCATTGGCAAACTGTAACTATTTCTGTGACGAGACCGAGGGAGTCGAGACTGCACAACAACTTCGAGCCTGTCAAAAGGACGAGATAGTCTGCTCGAACTAGTGTTGGATGGTCCAAAGTCAAAAAAAGCGACTCCCACAAATAACCAGAGCAATGCCCAGCCGGATCCAGTGCGCACGCACACACTTGGCTCACAACCGGCCCACAGGGATCTCAGGACAAGACAGCTCGTTGGTTCGACGGTATCGGCTCCCGGCGGTAAAAGCAGTACTGTATCAGCACACAACGTGACAGGGGGTTTGGCTTGACTCAGTGGAGAATCGTCAATTTTCGACTCGATCGCTTGTCAGCGGTGTAGACTCAAGCTGAGCATGAAGCAAACCCGTATTGGGAACCAGTCTGGTCGCGTCTCTCTCGCCTCTTTGACAACACATCCGGAGACGCCGATTTGGAAAGTCAGTGGGTGAAATGATCGTCGTTTGCATTTTTTAATCATTGGTCTTGTCCTTAACTCCACGCCTTCCCCATGCTTTCGGAGAATTTCCCAACGTGGTTTCAAGGGACCATGCGTATGCAAAGAGACGTATATGTTCGACTAGGCGCCGGATACTTCACATCTTCCCGAAACGGTTCATTTCCACCCGCATCACAGTTGAGACATGTCGAGTCTCAGCTAAGATTTCTCAACGGCCATCCAAACTTGCGTATTGTTTGGAACAGGCCCGAGCCGAGCCTTTACCAGAGAATCTCATCCACTGGACGTAAAGAGGTCGTTGCAGGTGGGGGCGAGTCTAATCAGTAGCCTTGTAAGATTCATAGACCAGTAACTGCGCTGGAGGACCATGTCGTCGCAGGGACTGCCATATTCGAGCAGCCTTGGATGTGGAGACGGGTTGTGATGGCCCACTGGGCGATCGAGCAATGAACAGGCCCTAGAGGAGTATCGAATGTTAGCTTGAAGCCACCAATTCTAAAAAAAGCGTTTTGTGGATTGCGATTCGCGGGAAGCAACTGAGCCCAAGTGGGGAGGGCGGCAATCCTGGCAATGAAGCTTGAAGTCGTAGAGCCAGAACATGCCATTTCAAATACGTGCTATTTCCTCGTCGAGAATAGTGTGTGCTCAGACTTGAGTCCTTCTCGATGTTGAGGCTTGTCGATCTCGAGCACGCCTATCACGATCTGGGCCATGCTTGACCTACGAGTGGTCGGGGCGCTGCTGCAGGAACAAGCGACTAATGCAATACTCAGCTTCACAATCACCGGGGAATTAATACCGGCGGCCGGAAGGAACTGTTGATTGAGTTTACAGTAAGTCTGTGCAAGAGTTGAGGTCTGAAGTTCTAAATCATCCTACCTTGGCAACTTTGCATCTTGGAAGGATGGTTTCCGCTGACTACTTTCTACTTCGAACGAAACACATCGAAATTTAGAGTCACATGTATTAAAACAAATCGAATTGAATGGCCTTGAAGTTTCCCAGTAGCATCTCACACAAACGCCCAAATAAATGATGATTGACCCAGCAGATACAACTAAGCAGCAGCTGCAAATCGCTTCTTGCGAGCCTCCATGGCAGCATTGTCCTTCTCACTGAAGCTCTTGGGTGCGCTTCCATTACCAGCGTTGGGCTTCTTCACACCAGCATTGGTCCGGTTTCCACCATCGCGGTTGCGGTTACCGTCTCCACGTCGCTGGTTGCGATTCCGGCCCGTGTCGCGCTTCTTGCCTCCCCGACCGCCTTGGTCGACGCGAGGCTCACGGCCCCTCTTGCGAGAGCGCTCATCGGGAAGTGCCTGGTCCAGGCGACTTACACCATCACCGGGGATAGTCTCAGCTTCGGCACCGGTACCGAATCGCTTTGCGCGCTCCAGTTGCTTTGTGGCCTCCTTCAATGCGGTCTCGGAATCCTCAATGATGCCAAACTTCTCGGCACGTGCCTTGCGCTTGGCCAACTCGGCCTCTAGCTCCGTTGCGGGCAGTCCGCGAGTATAGTCGACAGCAGGCTTCTCTTCCACGACAGCTTCGGGTTGAGCTGGGGCTTCGGTCTGAGGGGCGACTTCGGCGGCGCCGGCGGACTCGACCTTCAAGTCATCGGTCGTGGCAGGGTTTTCATCGAGCTTCTGGTTGGGGACAGCAACAGGATTCGGCACGGCACCCTGGCCACCGGCTGCAATGGCTGCAGCACCGGTTTCTGTTGACGGCTTCACGGCAGTCTCTGTAGGTTCGTCGTCCCAGTCGATGACATCCTCGGCGGCATCGGCAGTCTTGGCGGGGGCAGCGGCAGCGGAAGCATCGGCGGGCTTACTTTCGTCATCTTGTTGAAGGCGCGAGATGAGATCGGCCTTCTTGCCAGTGTGAGGGAGAGATCGAGACTTGAGGATCTCGACCAATTCAGGGTTGGTCTTCTTGCTGTAGTCGGTCGCCATATTGCGATCAGAGAAAGAATTGATAAGAGAATATCAGGTGAAGTAATCCAGGAGATAAAACGAAAGATAGTTGGAATGCGATGCGGGGCGAGACAAATCGAAATCGGAGTCAACGCGATGTCGCGTCCAGGACAGTCACGTGGTTTGCACAGGCCACCTTTAACTTTCCTTTGAGGCAATTTCTTTGTTATAGACCACATTCTGCAGTAGACCTCATTGGATGAAAGCAACTGCATTACTGTACACAATGCGATCAATACTGGAATTTCCATATGACCGATTGAGCTCTGGCTTTCACCAACCATTGCGATGAAAACGTGGAGACACAGTACATAACAACACCCTCCTTTTACTCTGTTATCATTGGCTACTCGTTCCCCCAATCATAATTCAAGGGTATTTATTGGTGGCAACAAGGCAATTCTTTGGGCTTGCGGACTCGCAAACAGATATCGCTCGGCCACTCCGAGCAAACGAGTCTCGAATATCCGAGATCCATACAGAATGTGATGCTGTCAGTTTGGACTATTCTCCGGTGAAGATCGGTTATCCCCGGATCCTGGAATACGAGATAGAGACCACATCTTATTGGCAAGCTCAGAGATCAACACGCCACAGAAGCTGGAAGAAGCGGTAGAAGCTGAATGCACAATAACACCGCTGATATTCTTAAGATCGTCTGAATCTGAGATTGCCAGTTGTAGGCTGCATGCACTGCGCCACGACTTTGAAAGCCACCGTTAGTCCCTCGAGTTTCAGGCACCAAAGCACCCAACTGCCCATATAGCCATATGGGCACCTTCAAGATAAATCTGATGCTTTGTAATCTACCAACAGTAGAACTCGTATATGCATCAACTTACACACATTGATTCTCTCAATGGACGAAAAAGTAGGGTTCAAACTACGACAAAAGCCCCTATCCTGCACCGCCAACATAAAGCCTACTATCTGGCCTTAACAAGACCAACGTTGATATCTCACCCATCAATCTAGACCACACTATCCCCGATCTCAAACATCATGACTTTTCCTAGAACACTGGTCGGGTTCTACCCTTTCCCCGACGCATGAGGCCGCAATACGAGGGAGTCGACGACTTTTCCTAGAGCAAAGATAAACACGCCGAATTGTCTACTCATCTCTCACTAGGGATAAATATTGTCAGCGCGATCGAGGTTTCCCTAGGCTTCGTCTTTCGTCTCGCTTTCAAGAAGTCTATTGAGAACGATGAGAAGTATGATCAGCTCGATACTTACACTATCTATCCAACGAGAAAGTATGTTTCCGACTGCCTGGAAAGGTTAGATGCATCTGTCACGAATAAGACGCCATGGGCTGTGTTTATGATCACCGAGTTGAAGATTGCAAAGTACGGAAGATCGTAGCACCGACGACACGGCAATCCTTAACCACGCTTTCTCATGCGCTGCTTCTTTAGTTTACGTTCTATACAGGATATAACGTTAGAAGATCTAGGGTACATTGTATGTGCCTATTGGCTCGAGCAATGTATTCTGAATATATCACTAGTATCTAAAGCAAAAGATAGCAACAGAGCAAAATTATAGGATGAAAATCACAAAGGCTTAATCGCGGATCTCGGTGCCTATCAGAGCAAGCGTTATGGAGCTAAAAACAAGATCACGCTCGTTTGGGCCTGTCGCAGGGCGACCCATCATCAGCTCAAATTCAAGCGTTAGCGGCGCTCCGTGAACTACCCTATTCTTAAGGTAGGCGTGTTGGCAAGACTTGAAAACAATACTCGGACAGGCTCGAGTTGGCGGGCCTAGTCTCGGATTTCGAATGGGCTTCTAGACCTCAGAATCGACCCTCCAGACTGGTCGGCGTGTGACTTTGATGAAGAAGACTTAGGAGCATCGACTAGAAGTATTAGCTCCCCACCACTGGCAATCTCCTTGTAGATGTATAACATTAGCGTTAGGATTAGAGCATTTTCAGTATGTTATTTCACCTCCTATTTCACCTCATGTTTCATCTCATATTTTGCCTCATATTTTGCCTCATATTTTAACTAAACAAATGCATCAAATTTTTGATTTTTGTCAAGGGTATATAGGGTTAATCAACGACGGATGTTGCGTGGTATCCAACGACTTTCTTGTGAAGACTTCTACAGCGACAAAGCTATGGTAAATACTGCTTCGGATCCAGAGGAAAAGGCACAGCGCCTCGCATTATGGAATATAGATACATTCAAAATGAAATCCAATGCTATCCTGATCGATGTTCCACAGGGAACCGAGGAAATGTTTGCCACATCGTTCACGAACGAGGAAAATCGAAAAGTCGTCTTAAATTTGGCTCAAAAGCTTGTTCACGCCGGTCTGTCTAAGCCCGAAGATATTGTTATCTTGGTCGGATATGCGGCACAGTGGCGTCTCTACATCAAGGATCTACAGGCTACTTAGCCGTGGTAGATTCGAGAAACCAATCGATTCATTTTCATAACAATCCAAAAAGTTCGAGATGTGAATGGGTTCAGTAATCGAATGAATACTTGAAATGGACAAATTTAGGACCCAAATGAATCCGAGAGTAATGTTGCCATTGTGACATCGGAGCCTGCCGTACTTGCTTAGGTCGCCTCTTAGCATAACCTTGACAACGTATGCAACTGAACCTGTCAATTGCCGACTGCCATGCCGAGGATGATGAAAGAAGCTAAAATCAATTCATAGTATTTTGCAGCGGTCTATTATGCATCAGCACTTTGTTGGTTTCCAGCACAGCCGAGGGATGGGTTCATCAGGCGATGAGAATGAACCAGGCAACCTTGAGTGAGACAATTGTTTCGCTTACTGGGAGCATCGGATTAAAAGATTACATACGTACATACCGTTGTAAAAGTCTCCCTACACTACCACTTTCGCCAGCTTAAAGGCCGGTTTTCAGCCCAAATATTTCATTCAACACTGCAACTGGATAGAAAACATGACAGTCTTTTAGCTATTTCTTGGAGACTGTGACAAAATCCCAGCTCTTTACACTCTGTTATATATTGCTCATACGTCTGAACTTCTCTCCTGTCACGACAGAGGCTATCGGTTTATTCGCCTACAAAGCAATCGTCTGGGCCTTTGTTTCCTTCAACTGCCTAAATATCCGCTTATGCTGTTCCAACATTACCAACGTTGCCACCGTCTGTGGTCCGAGCCTCACAAAGCTTGGGGCCCAGCCGCGAAATATCCATCTAGCGCCCTCTGTCGCCGTCAGTCCCTTTATCACTTGCCAAACCCCCTGCTTCTCAGAAGATCCCATAAGCTGCGTCTTGATCACATCAATCGGACTGCATAGCGTGGTAGCGACCAGTGCTGCTAAGAAAGAAGCCGACACCTGCAGTCCAGGGTTATTACCATCAATGCCCGTAGTCTTTGATAGTAATTCTCTAAAGCTGTCATAGGAAGCAAGCTGGCAGCTGGTCATCAGGCCGCAGCGGAAGGCATTAGGCCATAGTCCTTGTCCAAAAGCCCTCCAGCCTTCCAGTCTTCTGATTTGACCCCATGCATCAAAGACATGTCGGTAGTTTCGTCGAAGATGGGGAGGTAGCGAGCCGTCGTTCTGCATCCGGATATTGCCTATATCTGAAGCATTTCCGAATATTGCGCCGACAAATCCCGAAATGCCAGCTAGCAGTCCAAGTACTGGGGGTGAGACGGGAATACTGTTCGCTCTGGCTTCATCTTTCAATGTTTCGTAGAGGCCGATGCGAACAGAGCCGTATGTTACTGTCAGATAGATCAGAGCCCATCGAAACAGAATGGGAATCCAGTCACCTTACATTGTCTCATGAAACCTGCCGAGAGCTTGAAGTCATAAGCTCATGCCTGTTTTCGTTTGCTAGTTCAACTAACTCACCCCATTATAAAGTGCAAGTAAACCTTCCTCTCGAACGATTCGAGCGCAGCTTGCGAAAGTGCCAGCTTTCACACCCCCAGGCTCCATTTGCATTCGGACCTTGACTGTAAATTATAATGAGCTTAATGAAAATTAGAAGTATCAATAGGCAAACTCACGTAGGTCCAAAGGATGTGAAACAAGTACAGCCATGCAGGATGCAGAGCCCCCAAACCACTTAGGGTATATAATTGACGAGTCTGTTGATTTTCCCATTGTGATTGAATTGACACAATGAATGCAACGTATGATTCCACTTATCTGCTGAATGTTTATGTATCTCGTGGACTGGCATATAGCCGATTTGGTGATCGTCGCATACCCCAACCTCGGTGCGGGGATTGCCTAGTAGTAAAATTTATAAGTAGGCCAAGGCTACCAGAGTTGGTTAAGATAAGAATGAACATTCTCGGTTTAACTAATGAATGCAGACAGCGTATACTCGACGCATTTTTGTTGGTACGGGCCTTGGTATCTACTAAGGCTGTCATCATATATATTGACAAAGCGTAAGACCTCATTTATTTCCAAGCTGCGGCGAAGTTTGTTGTATCCAGATATATACGCCTACAGTTGGCTTACAGGGAAAAATATCTCGAAAAAAGAAACGGATGTTCACTGTACACAGGGCTTATATGAAGCAGTAGTAGAAAAAACAGACAAATGAGACGGACAGGACATAATAGAACAACGCCATGGGAAGAAAACATGGAGCATTTGGTATCCCCGGGGTAGTATCGAGAGATCCAGGGTTGACCACATTGAGGAAAGAGATAGGCGGTTCCTCTTTTCTGATTTGTCCCCCAGCGCAGGCGAATCTAACCATCTAAGAGGGTGCCATTGAAGGTTTTCTTCGGTTTTGGTTTTTCTTTTTATTATTGCGTTGACAACATGTTTACCGATCAACCTCACCGAACACGAGATCCATGGTACCTAGAATCATGTTAGTTATGCTTCTGTGGACATTGAATAGAGAAGACTTACCAATAATGGCGACAGCGTCGGCCAGAAGGTGACCACGAGACACCTGGTCGAAACCACCCAAGTGAGCGAAACCAGGAGCACGGATCTTGCAGCGGTATGGCCGCTCGCTACCGTCACTGACGAGGAATACACCCATCTCACCCTTGGGGGCCTCGATGGCTGAGTAAGTCTCACCAGGGGGAACAGAGTAACCCTTGGTGAAAAGCAGGAAGTGGTGAATGAGAGCCTCCATGTTCTCCTTCATGGCGGCACGGGGAGGGGGGAGATCTTGTAGTCCTCAACACGGACGGGGCCGGCAGGCATCTTGTTAAGACACTGGTGGATAATGCGGAGAGACTGACGGAACTCTTCCATACGGCAGAGGTAACGGTCGTAGCAGTCACCGTTAACACCGACAGGGACATCGAATTCAACCTGGTCGTAGGCATCGTAGGGCTGCGACTTGCGGATATCGAAGGGAACACCGGAACCACGGAGCATGACACCAGTGAAACTCATGTTGAGCGCATCGGTAGCGTTGACAACACCAACACCCTGGGTTCTGGCCTTCCAGATACGGTTGTCCGTGAGCAGCTCCTCGGTCTCATCGATACGGTCACCGAACTGGGTAGCCCACTGGTAGATGTCGTCCAAAAGGCCGAGCGGGATATCTTGCGACACACCACCGGGGCGAACGTAGGCAGCGTGGAGACGAGCACCGGAGACACGCTCGTAGAATTCCTGAAGTACCCGAAAAGTCAGCATATTATATCTTGGCGGTTCCAATTGGTAAAGCCAGGGTTCTTACCATGAGCTTCTCACGCTCCTCGAAACCCCATAGGAAAGGAGTCAAAGCACCAACATCCATGGCGTGGGACAGGATGGACATGAGGTGGTTCAGGATACGGGTCATCTCGCCGAACAAAGTACGGATCCATTTGGCACGATCGGGGATTTCGACGTTCAACAGCTTCTCAACAGCAAGAGAGAAGCACTGCTCGTTCGTCATCATGGAGACATAGTCCAATCGGTCGAAGTAGGGTAGGGCCTGCATATAGGTCTTGTACTCGATCAACTTCTCGGTACCACGGTGAAGCAGACCGACGTGAGGATCGGATCGAACAATTTCTTCACCGTTGAGCTCCAGAATCAACCGGAGCACACCGTGAGCAGCGGGATGCTGGGGACCGAAGTTGACAGTGTAATGACGGATCTTGCGGTCAATCCCTTCGGCCTGAGATTCCAGACCAGCAGCTTCGGGGTCCTCGGTCAGAGGCTTGTTGGCGAAGTGGGTGAAGGTTGGATCGGTCTGAACAAGCTTGGTGGCTTGGTAGCTGGTGGGCTCGGCATGGCGACGAGGAACCGAGGTGGCTATCGAGCGGGAACGAGGAATAGATGTGTTGAGCGAGGAGGGGCGGAGGCAGAGCCTTTTGGGCGCATTGCCCGCCAGGCGAGCGAAAGAAGCGGCCATGGAGGATAGATAGTAGGAGATCCTAGAGGGAAAAGAGGGGAGATGATCCTCAATCCAGCCGCATTCAATGGGTGGAGATGGCTCGCTACGGGTAGGAAACCTGGTGAACGAAGTTGGGAGTCGCGCATTTTGGAACGTCACGTGCTGAGCTGCTTGGGTCATCAGCCGTGCGCTGGTTGGCCTCTGAGGCCCACTATACTGTATTCAGGCTAGTGCATGTCTAGGCCGAATATGGCTTAGGGCCAACTGTCTACACAGAAATGATCACATAAGCATGTTCTGCAGCGCACGGAATAAAGGTCCCTTTCTGCCTCAGGCAACATAGAAAATTGCTTCGAGAAATTCCTCTTATCGGTGATCGCGGACTTTACCTTCAACCTTCACCAGACTCACATATTATCTACCATGGCGCCTCTTGTCCCTTCGCAGGAGGAGCTGCAGCGTCGCCGTGTAAGCTTCGTCTATCATTTTACTCACTTCCCAATACTAATGGTCTCAGATCATCGGCATCAATCCGGAAACCGTCACCAACATCCCCTCCACAGATTTTCCGGGTCACTGGCCGGGAGAGTCGCATGAGTGGGCGCTTGACACGTTCAAAAATGTAAGTGCAGAACTTTCGCAAGCAAGCGTTAATGACTGAATTGGGCTCATTTAATGATTTATAACGAGCAGGGCTTCTCAGTCGAGTTCCACCGCAATGAGCGGTTCGAATCTTCCTTTTCACTGATCGGACTCGACGCCTCCGTCGCCAATGCTTTCCGCCGTATCCTGATGGCCGAGATCCCCACCATTGCCATCGAAGATTGCTTCATTCACAACAATACTTCCGTCATCCAAGATGAAGTTCTCGCATCACGACTGGGCCTGGTCCCACTGAAGGGTTCCGTGGAAGGAATCAACTGGATGCACTGGGTAAAGAAGGAAACCGATGATGAGCCCGGCAGTGGAGCTTGTGATTTCAATACTATTGTGCTCCACCTTGACGTTGAGTGTTACAAAAACGAGTTCGCGGACAAGGACGAACAGGACCCTCGCAAGCTCTACACCAACGCCCATGTCTACGCCAAGGATCTTATGTTCCACCCCGTCGGTCGCCAGGAGGACTTCTTTGTCGGCGACGGTGCCATCGCGCCTGTTAACCCGGATATCTTGATTGCCAAGCTGCGCCCCGGCCAGAAGATCGAGATGGAACTCCACTGTGTCAAGGGTATCGGTGCTGACCACGCCAAGTTCTCCCCCGTTGCCACGGCCTCTTACCGTCTTCTTCCCGATATCAAGATCGAGCGTCCCATTATCGGTGACGATGCTAAGAAGTTTGCCAAGTGTTTCCCCAAGGGTGTGATCGGCCTTGAACCCGTTACTGCCGCCGAGGCTGCGCGCGGTGGAAGCGGATACGAGGGCCATGCCGGCGAGCAGAAGGCCGTTGTTAAGGATGCGTTCAAGGATACCGTCAGCCGAGAGTGCTTGCGGTACGACGAGTTCCAGGGCAAGGTGAAGCTGGGACGGGTGCGCGATCACTTCATCTTCAATGTGGAGAGCACTGGCCAGTTCGAGAGCGATGTGCTCTTCCTGGAGGCCGTCAAGGTGCTGAAGTTCAAGTGTGCTCGGTGGAAGAGAGGTCTGACCGATTTGATGGCTTAAGCAATCAGTCTTCCTATCTGCTGCACCCTATTTTATGCATTATCTGGCGTTGGATATATTTACTGCGTTTGCGCTGTACATTTACGAAAAGTTCGGTCAGGCTTCGCTTCACGGGGCTGGAGTCTTGATGTGGTAATTGTCTTACGAGAGAAGACCGATGACTATCTTCAAATTCCACAAATTCAACTAAAGCTACACATTCCAGCGTTAGGTTGTATGATTCTTGTAATATTGCAAACAAGTGGACTTAGTTGAAATTGAGACGGAAACGGAAGTCGATGGTATAGGCCGGGTCACTGACAGCGATTTCCTGGCCATCCTCGATCAACTCGTTCAGCTTGAGCGACAGGTTAGGTCTGGTCCGTTCCTCGAGCTGAGGTGGGAAGCGCTGATACAGGGTCTTCTCTTCAGTCCGCATACTAGGCTTCTTCAGTTGAGCCTCGGCTTTTTCGCCGAGACTTTCAATGAAATCGCCCAATGTCATATTAGGATCGACATTCATCTTCCGAGCAAGATTTCCACAGACGGGACAATCGGATTTCTTTTCCGCCTCAAAAGTATAGGTGTAGACTCCTTCCTCGCCGGCATACATCATGTAGTTGTTCAGATAAGGATTGCACGAAGTAGCGATCTTGAGCACTTCTGACGTGGTAGATGCGGCGATCACGGCATTGGTAGAGGCGATAGCTGGAATGATGTTCTTGACCACACCCTGGGTCATTTGAAAAGTAACACCGTGGATATTGAACTGTTGCGCTCGATCATGAGCGGCATTGTATATCCACGAAATATGCTCCATATCATCACTGTCAAAGGTGTCATCTTTGCGCTTATCTTGCCACGCAATTTGGTGCGCCCATTCGATGCAGTGTTGGGGCTGACGTGGGATAGTGGCAATGGTGCAGAGAGGAACTGCTGGACGGGGAGCATGCATATCAAGTTGGCATTCAATACATGATGAGAGTGTAGGTAATATGACACGGGCCTGGCCCTTGAAGCCTGTTAAACTGTTCAGTAACAACTTTCACTTGAATTAGATATTGGGCCAAACCTTCTGTTCCACCATCGATCAAAGGCTTCAAGCTCTCGGGGTTCTCCATATCAACCATCGAAATCAGTGTAGAGTTAATCCAACGCCGAGCTTCGATGCTGTCCAGTCCACAGATGATTATCTTAAATTGCATGTAATAATCTTCATCTTTATCTTGAATTTTGCCAACGTAAGGTGTGATGGTGACACCCTTAACTCGCTTTTGGACAAAAGCAGCGGCAACCTCAGCTTTCGGTTTCCCGATATCTGCTTGACGGAACAGGAACTGTCGATTCAAGTTCGAGATGTCGATGGTATCTGTTGGAGTAAGCATCTGATTGTGACTAGAAATGGAAGCACATACCCATATCGATGACATGGATGTCCTTGAATCCTGAAAGTGCCAGGTTCTTCAGGATTTCACATCCCAGTCCACCGGCACCACTATATAGAAGTCAATCGTCTGTCGATAGAAGATCAATCAAGCCACATTGACGAACATCACCCTAGGATCAACGTTAGCAGGGTTTCATACCGCGGAAAATACAACAACTTACAAAATTTTTGAAGATTCCAGCGTGTCAATGGTCTCTTGGCCAGGGACCCAGTCCTCATCGGCAAAAGGACCAGGCTTGCTCAGGACGCTATAGAGCGACTTCCTGCGGGGCGTTAGAGAGTCTGATCAACGACCACCGGAATCTCTCAAACTCACCATCGGCTCTGCTGGTCTGTAGTTAAAGTAGGTTCTGGGTTCATTTTGAGAGATTCTTGTCGGATGAGAGGATCAGAGTAGATGTTTAAAGGCAGTATCAATCCGGGTGCTTAGTCGTCGACACAAGGCAGCGAGGCTTCCACCAGGAACAAATAAATGTGGACTTCTTGTGAATAATCTTCTCACTTTTAACTGCCCTTTGAGTCTCTCAGACGATCAACAGCATGCAGCTCACAGACAACGAAATGGCTGCAAGTGACAACGCCGGTGGGCTGCGACGCCAATGGACGTCACGTGCACCACCCGCAGACGACGATTGCGATCTTCGCCGCCAACCTACTTTATCTGGCAACGTCTTCGAGACAATGGACAATCTTTTAACAGCAGTGAAGACTGCCCGGCAAGATTCTAATTTCTCCTTGACACCAGTTTCCACCCTCAACGAGGATGTATCATCAAAACAAAAACGCCACTTTGACCTGGACAATCTATCAGCACAGAACATCATAGATCTACTCCAATCCAATCCGGATCATGACCAGCTATTTGCCGCTTTGAGAATTCTCGATCCTTATGGCAAATCTAAAGTCGCAAAGGATATTGATCTCCGAATTAGCAACATCACAACTACTCAGATTGTCCGCTTGTTAGTCAGCGTCACGATTCCAAATCATTGGAGATCGCTGGACCCCAAAGCTCGAGCAACACTATTAAGATGCTTAAGCAGCCCTACAGGACTTGGTCTGATGGTGAATGAACTGCGACGTTTGACTGAATCTACCCGCGCTACGGCCTATGAAGTCCAGGGTTCAAGCACCCCACTCATCATTGAAGATCTTTTGGCTGTTCTTGTTGCTTTACTGGAGCCAAATGATGTATTGCTGCGTATCTTGACGGATATTACAGCTGCCTGCCCCGTCAAGATTCAGCAGGAAATAATATGGAAAGAGCTTGTCTCTATTGTCGCCGGCAGCAAGATTCTGTCCACAGCAGCCGAAGCTCTTACTGTTGTTGATGCTTCAAACCTTCCGTCCTCGATAACCTGGATTGGGACCGGATCTTCGTATGCTTCATGGCTTGGCCGCAATATTTCTCACATGGCGTTCAAGCTTGCTCCCGATAGAAAAATCAACCAAATTGAGTGGGCCTCAGTGACTTTGCTGACCACACGAGCTCTGAACCTTGGGTATACTGGTAAGCTCGGGTTATGAATTTGATGAGAATCCAAACTAACAAAGTTCAGATTCATTGGTGAAAGAGATCTACTCAGGCTTGCTTTTTGAGCGACACGTTCCAGCGTGTTTTGGCCTTCTCCTTGACAACCTCAGAATTGCAGATAAACTGTCTTTCTTAGAAGCAATCTTCCGTCATGTCCAGCGGACGCACTTTTCTGATGATATGACCGGCTCAGTGGATCTTTCAGCTACTTCCTTGGAGACCATCAAGGGAGTTGCAGCTTTGTGTTCTTTCCTCATCTCTAATCGACCTGAATTGGAAATCTATGTTATGGAATGGCTTTCAAAATCGCAAGGCGGTTCAATTAGCACGTTGGGCTTACGACGTGCACTATTGGCTTCATTCAGTGACCGAGCTGGTACGTTCTGTTGTGTTGCTAAAGAGATCAGACACTAACATCTTAACAGATGCAATGAAGCAATTGGTTATACAAGGCCTTGAGGAGTTTGGCGACAAGTTCTCTATTAAGCATATCCCTATGGTTATTCAAAATGGTCAGTCGATGCTCATGTTTATTCTGTTGGATTTGTTTTAACATCATTCAGCTATCGCACAAGTGATCCTCATTGCTGCTGGACACCTTCATCGACTAGAACCAACAAAAATGATGGAAATTGGTCGCTCAGGGGCATATCTTAATGCAGTCTCCAATCGACTTGCTGCATCCTCGGACAGGGCGCGACTTTTGGGTATGATCATTGGAACGGGCATATCCGAGCTTATCGAAGAACCAGGGAAAACTCTCAAATTCGATATCGAGGAAATGCAGAGTGAGGATACCAAGTTTTATCTGAGCTTGACCAAAGTCAAGGACGAATGTGGCACGCCTGAATCTATCAACTTGCTGCGAGAAGTGCTTCCAAAACCAATTCGTTCCAAGCCTACACCAAAGCCAAAGGCACAGACTTTCCTTCCCCCCCAAAGAAGCAAGATTGTTGCCATCGAGGAAATTGAAGATAGCGATGAAGAAAAGTCTGCAGATGAAGACGAAGATGATGATCTCATTCCGTATGAGAAGCCAGACGATGATGCATACGATTCCGACGACGACCCTACATTGATCCAACGTAACAAGCCAACGGCTCCTGTGTAAGTTCTCCCCTAATTTGATGACTGGCGGTACTAACAAATCAGGTACATCCGTGATTTGGTCGTTGGCCTACGAGACACTGAGAACATCGAGCGCCATCATCTGGCCATAACCACAGCCCCATCGCTGATCAGGCGCAAGATAGGATTCGGAACCGAGCTTGCCGACAACATTGAGGAACTGGCACTGACCATGGTTGGCCTCCAGAATGATAACAAGCACCCTCAATTCCATGAGGCTCGTCTTCAAAGCATGATTGCTTTGATCGTGTCCGAGCCACTTAAGATGGGCCGCTGGTTCACTGCAATCTACTTCGATGGAGACATTTCCCAAGTCCAGAGATCTGCCGTTCTTACAGCTTTGGGTCTAAGTGCTCGTGAGCTCGCGGGTAACGGAGAAGATGATGCCAAGAGGCTAGGCCTACCAAGCACCGGTGATACCTCTTTCCCATCTAAACGACTGCCGCCTGCTATGGAGGCCATGTACCTGGGTCAAAACGAATCTCCTATCGCAACGCTCACCCGAGAAATGTCTCGCACATCTTTGGAGCCACTTGCAGCCAATGCAGCAGATGCGATGAGCGGTCCGAACGCTCTCAAAGTGCGTACCTTCTCCTCGCGGATGGAAGTCGAGAAGAATCGACAGCAGCGTGAGACCAAGCGCAAGAATGCCACGGCAAAGGATGTACACGAAGTGCTCGCCAAGGGCTTCTTCTTCCCAATGCAAGGCAGATTCGAAATCATGATGCTGCAGTTTTCGTCGTATGTCTCCTATAATCACCCCAATCCCATGAAAAAAAAAACACTGACCTCACTATCCAGCTCCACCTCCCCTGCCTACAACCCATTCTTTATTCCTCACCTTCTGACCCTCTTCCTCCAAACCCTATCCCTCATCCTTTCCACAACAGGCCCGCATACCCCTCTCCTTCCAGGTCTAACCCACGAAGCACTCTCCCTTCTCCTGTCCCTACACAAAGTGGCAGCATCCAACGAGCCCACCGTGACAGCTGCACTTCTATCCCTTTTCCTCGCTATCGTGGATCTGAACATTGAATCCGGCTCGAACGGCGAGGAACGCCTTGTTACGCAGTACGCACAAGAGGTGATTGAGCTGCGCGAGTGGGCTTCTCAGGTCTTTGATCGGACTCCGGCTTCTTCTGCTAAGGCTGTTCCTACTCCTTCCGACCCGCAGGAGCAGGTGCGCACCCTTTCTGCTGGTGTTATGGTTCGCCTTGGGGAGATTACCGAGCGATATCAAGGACGCTTGATGGGTGTTGGTTCCGGGTTTAATTACTAGTGAATGGAAATTGTGATATCAAGAGCATTTCCTATGGCGTTTCATTTACTGCATCTCGCATCTGAAAAGCATGAATTTCATAAGAAGGCTGAACATCCGTTCCGAAGGAGTCGGGCATGAATTTCTCGCAATCTATAGAACCATGCGTGGTTTCTGAACGTTGTATCATTATCGCTAGCTATCCCTGGTCTCTAATCTGATTACTCTGCCTTGGCAAAGCTACCCTTCTCAATAGCAGCCTCCATCATCCGATCACCACTAATGATACTAGTAGTGCAGATAATAATCTTCCGCCTCGGTGCCTCCTGAGCAGCAATGAAGCGCAGCGCCGCAATCTCAGTAAAAGTAATGCCACCCAAGAAGAAAACATAAACAGCCTTCGTAGCAGAATTACCACTTAGAGTCTGACGCGCTCTCACAGCCTTATCATCACCTTTCTGCACAGTGCTAAAGGTAGCCCCACGAGCACTCTTGACAATATCCTCGAAACCAAGCCAGCCTGGCGAGGTAGTATTACCCGTGTTCAGCGACGCGGCAGGCGAACCACCCTTGATAAGGGAAAGGATGTACGGTTTCTGTAGAACACATTGAACAAGACGAACACTAAGTGGTGCAAATCCACTGTAGACGTATGAGATATCGTTCGGGTCTTTCTCGCTTACTTCCTCGATGACGAGGCGGAGGTTCTTGCGCAAGTAACCGTAGTTTGTCTTTGTGCCTGCTTGAGCGCCGGATGTTGGGAGTAGCATGGTTGTTGCCGAGGAACGAGGTTGGAGAAGTTCCATTTTCTCTAGGGCCCAGAATGTAAGGAGGTGTTGGTGACCGTAGGCTTGTACGACTTGTCTTTTGAAATTCTCCAGATCGCGTGGGCGGAGACCGCCTGACATGCAGGATTCTAGGCACAGAAGTCGTAGGACGGTCTTTAATGGGACGTCTCGGGCGATGAGCTCTTCGATGGTTTCGTGTTGGTATGTGGAGTCGGCGCCGGCTGCGTTGTTCTGTTGGACTTCTAGAGTTTTGCGGAATGTTTCAGAGCGGGTCAGTCGCATTATTTCCTCTGCGAGATTGGTGTGGGTTCGGAGGCTTTGGTGTTCCAGCTGGTAGGTTGGTAGGCGTTGGACAAAGTCTCGAAGCTCGACTGTTGTCTTTGCTGTGTGGCGGCTTTCATATTCATTCTCCAGGCGACGTGCCACCTTATTCAGGATATCACCCACGATGGCAAAGTTTGCATCTCGAAGCTGACTGAAGAGTTGATCGGAAGCATCAAGCTGAATCTTCCTTTTCAGCCCCTGCTTCGCTTGTTGGGGTGATTTGGATGATTCTTGAGACTGAGGTGCAGGTGCAGGTCCGACAATGCTTGTATCAACATCTGCTTGGTTGTTCTTGATGCCGACGTATTCGTCAATCAGGCCCTCATACGTTAGCTGCGTGAGCAGAGCAGTCCCAAAGTCCACGTCACGGTCAATAATGATCAAGTTCTCTACACTCGCACTGGGTAAAAGTCCTCGTGCAGATGGATCGGCTAATCCGGAGCTCTCTTCGGCATCGAGCTCCTTTCGCATGCGCAATAATAGATCTGCTAGACGACGGGCATTGTCGCCTTTCCCAACAATGCGTGGGAAGTAACCATGGCGCTGTTGGACACCCATAAGAGCCTTAGCGGCATGAAATATGCATCCTGGATCTTTGTGCTGTGACATGTCAGTAGGATTCTTGTCCAATTATCAAGTCACATACCAAGTACAGATCACCAAACGACTCGTCCAGCTCTAATGACAAGATATCTTGTTCTAGAGGCATAAAATAGAGGGGTAATTCGGCGATATTTACATCGCCAATAATGCCCGCCTCTTCCAGGACAGCATTACTCACAAGAGTCCGCCTGGGAGCGAAGAAGATGGAGAATTCATGTTCAACGTTGCCATTATTCTGCAACCGCTTTATTTGTTCTAGCAAGAGATGTTAGCTCATCCTGATGGCATCCATTTGAAGGAAGCGGAAAAGAACGCCAATGAAACGGGCTAATAAGGACATGTAAATGAAACATGTAGATCAATATAGGGGGACCATTCACTGAATCACATAGAGTAGGAAGCATCTGCGCAATCTTATGATGCCCCATTGCCGAGGCAATCAACTGAGCAAAAGTATAACGATGAAATAACCTACCTGCAACAATTCGAACGTGGCGAGCTTTCTCGCCACGAACCAGGAAGACCACATTGCGTTGTGATGAGTCGATGTTTGCATTTTCCAGCAGGAAGACCCGGTCCACGCCATACTCCTGGAGCACAGAGAATTTGACAAACAGCCCGACTGGACCCGCCAGCTCCTGGCTGATGACGAGGTTCTTCTTACCCCGAGTCTGGAGAGTAGTTAGCTGCTGATCCGCGGCCATTCAAGGGGAACTCACGGCTTCAAGCAAAGTCAGTAGATCCCTTCTGGCCTTGTCTCTAAAATGATCGGCATCGGACCCCATCTCTTCTTCCCAGGCAGCAGAACAGCCAGAAATAGCCCAAGTGGCCAAATATAAACAGAGGACGAAGTGCCACTGCGCCCGCATGCGGTTTAGTGCACTGCCACTGCTGATGTAACTTGTACTGGTATGGTAAATTGGGTGGTATTTGGCATTTGTGGGCTTGTAATGCTCGTATGTCACTTACCATCAGGCGGCGGTCTCGACATCGAAAGCTCCCCTGAAGGCGTCTCCCATTGAACATTTCTCTCTATTGTCTCACTTCTTCGCTTCGTTCTTCTTTCTTTTCTTCTTTGGCACTTTACACTTTCCAAGACTTCTCTGATTCAAATTTCGCTGTCTATCTGGCCATCATGGGTCTGTTCAAGAAATCCAACGACGACGACGATTCCAACCGCCGAGCACTCTTCGGCCGCAAAAAAGACAAGAGCCCAGCGCCCCCCTCCAACCCTTACGCCCAACCAATTCCAGTTGATCCCTACACCAAGGCCAAGATTGGCGCCGGTGTCGCCCCTTTACCTGCCGACCACCCCGCCGCCAACGGTGGCCCCGCCTCCCACAGCCCGCATAACATCCCTTCCGATAACAAGTATTCTTCCGGCTACAGCGCCAACCGCTTCGGCAACCAGGCTGGCTACGAAAGCGACCGATTTGGCTCGAACAGCGCTGGCGCTGGCAGCCCGGCCTCGGGAGCCGGATCAGGATCCGGATCGCGGTATGGAAATGGTGGCTACGGCGGTCTAGGCAGCTCAGACCCCAACGACCCCGCGGCTGCGGATGCAGCTCGCAGCGAATTGTTCGGAGGTGCCAAGAACCGCACTGCGGACACTGGATCCGGCAATGCGCCTCCGCCTTACTCGGAGGGACAAAGTCCGGCGAATAACTACGGTGGCGGTAGCAACGAGTACAGCATGTCGACCTTCCAAGAGCGCCAGCTGACCGCAGAGGAAGAGGAGGAGGAGGAGATCAAGGCCACGAAGCAGGAGATGCGCTTTGTCAAGCAGGGTGATGTGGCGTCTACTCGTAATGCACTCCGTGCCGCTGCACAGGCTGAAGAGACCGGTCGCTCCACTTTGGCCCGTCTAGGTGCGCAGGGCGAGTCGATCCACGATACTGAGAAGAGCCTGGATATGACGACCATTGAGGGTCGCATTGCCCAGGAGAAGGCCAGGGAGCTCAAGACACTCAACAAGAGCATGTTCGCCGTGCATGTGGCGAACCCATTCACCGCATCCCGACGTCGGCGCGAGCGGGACGAAAAGGTTCTCAACACTCACCGCGAAGAGCGTGATATTCGCGATGGCACCCGGTCCGAGGCTCACGGCTCCAATCAGCGCATGGACCGAGTGTTCCGTGATGTTGAGCGCGACGCAAGCAGGCAGGGCAAGGGCAAGAAGGCCAGTGTTACTGAGCGGGCCAAATACCAGTTCGAGGCGGACAGCGAGGACGAAGCCATGGAAGACGAGATCGAACAGAACCTGGATCTGCTTGGCGGTGCCACTGGTCGTCTGAACGGTCTTGCCAAGGCTACTGGCAAGGAACTGGACGAGCAGAACAGACATTTGGAGCGTATCATGGGCAAGGTGAGTTTCTTCTTCTCTTTTTACACCACCCCACACATGTCCTTGAGCACGGCACTAACTATATACAGAGCGATTTCGTCGACGACCAGATTGCCATGAACCGGGCCAAGTTGGACCGTATTCATTAAACGTGCCAGTCTCAATGGAGCTACGATATGCCTGGTGCTGTCGAGCTCAGTAATTACCAACTCTACATTGGCATGGATCACAAATTGGCGTTGGGGCGGTCCTGCATCTGCTTACGGTCTGATATTCGACTAAATTAACAATATTGGTTGAATACCGAATATCATAATTGCATCGCGATCATTACAACACAAGTCAGTCATAAATATCACTATCCAATTGCCTAGTTCAGCAATTCTATAAAGCCTGTAGAGGTCTACATCTTCCCTGCCAAAGATCGACACTCCAACTGCGGGGGTGGAGAACGCGTAGATCCCAAAGCCGTAAGATGTGCAACGTGCATTTCACTATCAACTTCATGTCCAGAGCGATCTACGCCAGAAACTCTCCAAGGGCAGAGTATAAAGAATACGCAACTCCGTCTTCGCATTCTACAAAGAATTATCCTAGCACCCAAACAGCGACAAAGGGATACTGTTCAAGAAGAAAATGTACAGCAACGCCGTTTAAAAATCAAGCCTGCATACATAGACTGACTTCGGCGCCATATCTACACACCTAATAGTTATCCTCAAAGTGTCTGTATGACCGATATCCAAACACGCACTCTTGTGGCGCTTCAACCTCTCACCCCTTGACCTTGAAAGTTGATCAGAGCCTAGGGGCTAGTGACACTTAGGAGGTAGATCTACTGTGAGGATTAAAGGTATCACTGTTGGGAGGGTAGTATGATATATGGAAGAGTTGGGCTTATCAGGGAAATATTTTTTGAGATGTACTCGAGCATGTCAGGATTGTCTGGTGTGGGCTATTGAACGCAAGTGTGTAATTGCAGTTTCGTCATTCTTGTTCAATAAGTTGGGGATGCGTAGATAAGTCGATTTCAGGTGTATTGATTGGCTTTGGCTATGTAGGTTGCCGTTTGGAGTTGAGGTTTCGAGGCGGACACTGCTCTTTTTGGACTAGGATGTTTCAAGAGTGTATGACATTGAGGGTGTACTGGTCCTGCCTGGTAAGCCTCATTTAGAGTAGGTCGACTGCTACGAGTGTTTGGATATTGTGCTACTCGAAGGGCTGTGGAATGAATTAGGGCTAGGAGGTCATGATTACAGCCTCAGAGCATGGCTTGATAGCGTAAGGTGAAAGTCGGGAGTGAGGGTAGATTAATAAGGCACAAAAACTATGATGATTGCAAGGAATGGCTCAAAAGTTTGTCTCAATGAATTAGACAGAATGGCTGTACTATAGCGACAGTTAGGTAAAAACAGCCGGGCACAGCTGATTTAACAAAAAAAAAAAACGAAAAAGACAATGCTTCACCTATGCTCGGGTATATCATCACCAACACCAACCCAAAAACTAAAACCACAACACTCAAAGACCAATGGCAAAAATAGACGACACTTAAACAGAGAACCATCCCCAAGCCAAGGCTAGAGGGCATATATTGAAAAAAAAAATCAGGCAAGGGACCAATAGTGAAAGGTAAATGTGTAAATGTAATAGGTCTAAACCATGCAAGACACGCCATGCAGGCTAGAAGATTAAGAAGAAAAAAAGGATGAACAAGTGCAGTAAAGTGATGCAACCTGTACAAGGGGGGCAACAATAATAAGTAAAAGAGTAAAACCAGACACACAAAGTGGTCCCAGGAGAAATGAAGAGAAAGCACATCGAATCATCACAAGCCCATGGTATCGAAAAACAGCAACAAAAAATGGTGACGCCCAGGTCTAGCGAAAGAATAAGAAATGAAAAAAAGATAAAACCAGGAACGCATATCCAGCCAGTACCTCTATGGTCGTAACGTAAGTCAAACAAAGGAAATAACAAAATGGGTAAATGGTTAAATGGGCTCTCTCAGCCCAAGCCCTCGAACCGAACCGATATCCCAAACCGGGCCTTTCGAAAGTGGGTATCAAGAAGTTCTCTCTCCGATGAGTAAATGTATCCGGAGTGAAATAGAGAAATAGAAAAGATGTGTTCCATGCTGTTGTACAAGGAGACGGGAAACCCCCGAGCCATTAATATAAGCATGCCAACGCAGTTGGGTCATGCGAGGGACTCGGAGTTGCAGGGGAAAATAGGTTCGGGGGCGGGAAAGGCAATCTGGCGCGTTGAGCACCGAGTAGTTCGAGGGGGGAAAGAGAGAGCATGCTCAAAGGGGTTGACCACTTCGAGTAGAATATGGCCAAATCATGGGGGCGAACGAATTTACTCGTCGTCGTCACCGGAGCCGGTGTCCTTCTCGCCCTTGTGGACCTTCTTGTGTCGACGCAGGTTAGACACAACGGAGAAGTGCCGCCCGCAGCCTTCAACATCACACGCGAAAGCTGGAATTTGTCAGTATCAGGGTATAAATGTCCAAGTATCATGGGAAACTCACGCTTCTCGCCAGTGTGGCTGTACATATGTGTCTGCAACGAAGAAGGACGCGTAAAGCGCTTGTCGCACACCTTGCACTTGTGCTTCTTTTGGGTGTTTGAGGGCATCTTCGAGCTGAATTGGCTCATCATAGATTGGGGGCCTGGGGGAGCGCTACCAGCCAGGAGACTGGTTGGTCGCGGGAGAGTGCGCGATTCGTATGACTCGGAGGTTGTAGAGCTGTAGTCTGTCACGGAGGAGTCGACGGATCCAACCGAGGCGCTGTAGTAGGGGTAGTTGCTGCCGGATGAGATGGAGGAAGTGGAGGAGTGTGTTGAGGGGAATCCGTAAGAATCCGCTGAGCCGCGCGCGCCGCGAGGACCAGGGCCGTAGATGTTGCGCGGTGTCAGGTCCTGGCTGAGAGCGACCATTCCACGGCTTGCATCGAGCGCATCACCAAAGGTGGGCGCGGATGCAGGTGAGGGGCCCACACGGGGATCTCTGTATCATCTGTTAATTCATGTTTCTTCCGCGCGTTTCAAGTCAATCAAATTTCACTCACGAGTGCGAAATGCGACGGCTGTCTGTGGGCGAAGGGTGGATGGGTGCATAGGTGACGGGGGCATAGCTCGCAGGCGCGAAACTGTTCATCGGCGGGGCAGTCGCGTAGGACGAGGCATGGTCAAATGTTGTGCGCGGCACCTCATGTTGCATGGCCATCACCTCGGGGCCATAGTTGGTTGCGTAGGTGTTTCCTGGCACCATTGACGGCGCGGAAACTGGGATGCTGGGATATGGCATCGACATGCCCGGGCGGTGCACCTCCTCCTTGATAGGCAGGCTGGCGCCATTGCCCATGGAGGTCGCATAGACTGGAGGTGTCGAGTGCGATGTTGAGTGTGCCCACGGATCCGTGAATTGCGGCGGGTTGTGGTAGACGCTGTCGAAGCTCATGCCGCCATAAGGGCGGTTCTGATTTTCCATAACCATCGTCATGAGGAGAGTGTGTAGTATAGATCGTCAATTAAGAGAGAGTGATAGACCCGATGATCAGAAAAAGTGTAGAAAGCAGTCTGGGGAAGGGGATCGGCGAAGCTTATGAAGGGGACAATATAGCAGTGCCACTGACGACGTCCCGTCGGGGGTTGCAGATCCATACGTGTATTGTAATTTTCATTTATTTTTTGGGGGTTTTTTTGGGGGAATTTTGCATTTTGTTTTAATTGTGTTTTTTTAAAATGATTTTCTTTTTCATTTCATTTCTGGATTTGACGGATTGGACTGATTCTTTCCTTTCTGGAATTCCTCTTTGGAGTGCCTCGTCCTGATTTGATCCTCGTAGGTCCTCTTTGGTCCTCTGGACTATTTACTTCCTTTTGGTCTACTGGAGAGATTCGACTAGTATATCCATAGTTCCCTTTTCACCACCACTAAACACCACTAAATACCGACTCTAATAGATTAATTTGCTTAACCTGCGATTGTGTTTAGTGTCAGCAATCCGGTAACCACGTAAGAGACCAAAAAATCAGACTCAAGGGGGGAATGCTCTGTGCCGTGTCTGAAAAAAGAAAAAAGTAAAAAAAAAAAAAAGAAAACCGAAAAACCCGAAAATCAAAAGGGAAAAAGAGAACTCGCACCCCAAACTAAATGCCAAGAATAACACCACGGTTCGCCTCTGTTTCACGCCAGCGGGGCTTCTTGTCAATGGGTATACCCGTGCCGTTAATATGAGAGTCTTCACTGTGAACACGTTCGATAGTGGGCGGACCTCGGAATTTGGGCTTAAGCCACAGCTTCGACACGGCACAGAGGGGGTTTAGCGTTGCTGCCCCGTCGAATCACTAGCTTTAAGCAATATTGACTACATTCGAATCCCTCATCATGACGACGGACATCTTCATCAGGGACTGTTTCGGGTCCCAGTCTCCATGTGGAGGATGTACAGTGCGTACAAGGAGCCCACTCGGCACTCCACACGGGATAGTGAGCGAGAGCGAAGCCAGAATCTTTGGTTTCCCTCGGAGTATGTCCGCCATCACTGGAAGGGTGAAATCATGGGAGATACGAGGTGGGTTAGAACAGTACTGTATACGGTAGAGTACTGTACAGTATGTAGGATAGGGTTAAGTAGGGCAACCCTACAGTAGTATACTGCAGGTTATATGCTATTATCCGGGCCATGCGGCCTGTATCACATCAGTCATACTAATCAAGTACGAAGTGTATGACGATAAGGGTCGGCAGAGTGATCTGCCATGTCCAGTGAATTAAGACGTCACAGTGGACTATAATCCATCATGGGAGGGGAGGTGGCATGGGGGGGGGCATTGGGGGGGAAGGGCTTTGGCCAAATTAGCGGCGGCTGCGCGGTTGATGCGACCGGGGCCTAAATCGGATAAATCACACCCTGACCCTTTTCTTTTTCATGTTTACTTTTTTTCTTAATTTCTCCTTTCTCCTTTTCTCCATTCTACTATTCCTGTTTATAGTTGGGAATCTGTATAGTGGGCCTGCTTCGTAGACTTAACAGGCCCGGGAACTATACAAGGTCCCCGAATGTTGGGTTCCCGAAATGAGAATCACAAGTCGCTACATTAACAGCCGAGGAGATGCTGAAGAACCGGGAACACATCCA